TTTGGGTATTACTACGTCAAGAAATACTGCGCACAAAGCGTTATTTATGTGCTGTTCTAAGATGTGCACAAGGGAGCTGCCGGTGACCTTCAGGGTTTGGAATGTCCATCTGCCTTTCATCTGGGTTTCATCTGTTTTTCGATAAAAGAAAGCTTTACTAAAAGTCAAGACCGTTGTTGAAGATCAACGCTGCAGACCTTTTATTATACATACTTCTTTTCTCTCGATAAATGCGATTATTATTATTTGTGACGTTCCAAATGCTAAGACTTCTTGAATCAACTAGCAGTATCAGAAATAGGCGACTTTGCAGGGGAACCTGAAAAACGTAGTTTTCGATATGGCAGAACGTCCTTGCAAGGATTGCTAGCTATATATAGGCCGTAATAGCGTTGCACTGTACCAGAAAAGGTTAATTAAGGGCTGCGTGAACTGTAGATATTACGTAGGTTTTCGCTTGTTCACAGCAGACCTCTAGAGTATTAACCAGTCCTGCTACGACAATTTATTCCGTTCGTGTATCGCATACAGCTTTAGATAATCTGTTGTTTACTCAAGTCGTTTTATTTGGAGGTGTGCATGGGGACATATCCAGACAAACACAATGACATAATGAAGGCCTATGATGACAGCGGTGGCACAGGGGTGCACTTTTTTTGTGAAAGAAAAATCATTGTTTGGTTTTTTGTTCACATGCAAATAAATCTTCTCCGGGTAGAGGAGGTTGCTTACTGTCTTGCGCGGAGCAGGGGTAGGCTCATGGGCGGTGATCTTAGGCGGGGTTATACTCGAGCAAGACAAAGGGACATAAAAGGTACCAATGGTGGTCAAGCGTAGCCTTCTCCTCTGGCCCTCGTCTATGGTGGCGGCAGTAGATGAGAATAAAGCAGTTCAGAAGGAGGTTGGACACAGCAGACCACAAGGCAGACAAAAGAAACGAACAGGCCTATGCATATTTAAAGAACAATTGGAGAGGGCCTATTTGGAAAAAAAACGCAGGCAAAGTGGGGCTAAGGGAGAGCCAGTGAACTGTAAGTTTCAAACTGGAGGTTTCCCTACGAGACATAAGGGGGCGCTGCAAAGAGACCGTTGCCTAGGGGTCGGTGCGCCCTTGCTCCTGGATTTATTCTAAAAATCAGAGCAGAGCAGTGAGAAGAGTCCGCTTAGAGTTTATGGTGGAGGAAAAAGGGACTACGGTCTGGCTTTATAGCTCGTGGAAAACGAGAATAAAAGACGGAAAAATGGTTGAGTGGTGGAAAAGAACAATGCTAACACTTTGTTAACGTCTCTCCTTCTACTAAAAAGCCGTCATGAAACATAACGTATTCGAGGACGTAATAAAGTGAGAGGATTAAAGAAGAAGTGAAGCAAGAAGCAAAGAAGTCCTCAATGCGAGCACTCTCGATTACCTTTGCTTCAGCACCTGGAAAACTCATCGATCTTGGGTGAGATGCCGCCGAGCTTCGGCATTACTTTTACCTTTCATTGCGGGTATGCAGTTTATCGACAAATAGCTGACTCGACTCCAGTCGACCCGTTCTCATGAGTAAGCGAAGTATTGAAAGTATAGCTCATTTGTTTTGTATGAGCAGATTACTCGAGCTATGGACAGTTGTCCGGCTGACAAAAAAAGCAGGCGGACGGGCGGACGGACGGGTGGCAAAGCTCTACCGATAAACTTATTACATTAGCAGTGGCAGCAAACGCTACGAAGGTTTAAATTTGAAAGGGTTCGAGTACGACGACTAAGATGTACGGTACTGCGAAGCTGTGACGCAAATAATGACGATGCTAACGATCATTGGTGATCTTCTGATTCTGCTAGTACGTGAGTATTTGTTTCTATAAGTGAGTGCGGATCCAGTGAATATTTGCTTAAATGTGCGGTGATGGTAATTGTCGTTCACACGAAAAAAAAGTATAACAGGAGACGTATATATGAGCATCGCTGCACTGGAAGGTACACGAGGCAGGCAGACTGAGATGAGTGTTGCGTATAAGACGACAGACTAAAAAAAGGTTGTATCTCGTGTATCCAGATAAGTTTATAACGAGATTATGATGACCTTAAAGGGTACTATGTAACTCTGGAGAAGCTGTTGCCAAGCGTCCTGTACTAAACCTTTATGATGCCATATGTCATTCCCTTTTTCTCGTCCTTAGCAATAATGGATTACCGTATTGGTTCTGACAAATATTTCGACTTACGTTTATCTGTGCTACTGCCTTAGCGCACTGAATACAAGCGTCTTTGTTGTCGGCATTCTCCCCCTCGTAAAAAGTAAAATGTACAGGAAAATACCTTGTGTTGAGCAATGTAATCTGAATCATTTTACATTAGTTCAGCTTTCGGTTTGTTAGCCAGTGGCTGGCTATTCCTCGAGTTGGCTGAAGATGAACTAGTCAACATTAGTCGTTGTAAGCAGGGACCGTTTGCATTGTAATAAGACTAGTCCTACCGTCATTTGTACGCAACGGAGCCGCAGTCCAAGCTACTGGCCATCAAATCCAGCAATTGACAAGGAGGGTCCAACGTTGCCACGACCGCGACGGATTCGTTCGGTACAAGGCCGCCCCACTAATTTGACACTCCAAATTGCAAAACGACGAAAAAGGCGAAGGAAACGCACCAGGGAGACCACCGGCCGATGCTTTCCGAGTACTGCAGCATCAGGACCAACGGGAACAGCAATGGGTTTGTCGTCCCTTTGGGGCTCTCCCGAACTCTGTCCCTTCCACGTGCTTCCGCTCGCAAACCCACATTCGCACCATTTGAAATCCATATAACTAGATTGGCGGTGTTACTACCACTGCTGCTGCTGCCGATTAAGTTGATTATTATTTCGAATTAGCTACCAGAAGCTTCCACCCATCTATTCTCACTATGCCCTTCACCTAGCGGCGTGGCTACGTGCCATGACTCGTTCCTTCGCCAGTACAGACACGCTTCGTGTGGATCGCCTCACCGCTTCGTAACGGTGGACTCCGGCACGAACGTCGATCGGGGCGATGAAACGAAATCGGGTAATATAAATTCTATGCAAAAGACCACTGGACCAATCGACAACGGTTCGGTCAGCAACAGCGGCAACTAAAGCACCGACGAACCCAGGAACTAACGTGGCGGTAAAATAGACGGCAGAGATAGGGACGGCAGAACTGGGTTGAGCCGTGAGACTCCCGAAACTTCCCCTTCTACGCCAGGGGAATTCGCTCGTGTCCCGGGGGTGTCATTGATGTAATGAAATTTGCCGCTCTTGTCGGGCAACTTTTGGAGCACTGCGCAGACAACGGTGCTGCCGCAGTTCATGGCAGCAGCAGCCGCAGCGATGAACGACAATGACATCGACGTGGATGACGGCAAGGAGTCAGTCGACTGAGAGACGCAAAAGTTCTAAGAGGAACGGAAAAAATGAAGGCTGCATGATTCCACGGCAAATGGACTCATCTATTGACCCATGCTTAACAAACGAGGAACTGTTTCTAGATATATTGAAACAAATATAATAGGGTTGAAATAGTGACGGGTAATCGTCGTCAAATACACTTGTCTGGATAGGTTCAATTTGTGTGTCCGATTTCACATTTCCTTAATGTAGTGCGTGCATGTTAGGTTTTATGCTACTTTTATATTTGCGAGGTCAGTAAAAAGCGTTTTGCGTATGTTCTAATCGTATGTATTAATCGTACCGATGCTACATCGGCGTTCTCTCTGTGTTCGCTCGGTGCAGCTCTATGCTAATAGTTTATTCTACGTATATTCAGTGTAGTGTCATTATCTGACAAGCAGATCATTGCAAGATAAAAGACATCTTTTATAAAACGAAACCTTCTGACCCAGGGAAGTGCATTAGACAAAAAGAAAGGATTACACAGGATTTATCCGTATCCCTGGACACGCCTAGGCGTTCTAGCACCTGTATGCAATATATAGTTGATCTCGCCGATGACAACCAATGATATAGGCTGATATTTGAACCGAATGTTCAGTATATTATATTGCTCTTGGCGGATTATTTGTCCTTGATTAGGTACGGGATGGACTGGATCATCACCCTCTAGGCGCAAAGCGCTATACGCAAGCCATTGAGGCCTACAGCCGACTGTAGTAACCGTAGTGGTGCTCATCTACCGATCCAATTTTGACAGATAGGCCCTAATATGGCCCAGGTACGAAGCAGTTGTCGCTCCCAGGGACCCCAAATGTATCACAGTGCGATATCAGCACTCGTCTGTGTACAGTGGATCAAACGTACGGTCATCACCCTACGAATGATCATATTTCAATAAGCAGTAGTCTGAATAGTAGAAGGAAATTAGACATGTAAGAGCGTTTTGTCTGTTATTTGCACTACAGCACAGAATGGCTACTATCGCCGCTTATTGCTGGAGTAGACTCGTAGGGTGCTTCGGTCAGAGTAGTTAAGTTCCGATGGAGCCCTGGCAAATATCCAGAAGAGTTCTGCCCGCTTGAAACTGGTTAGCTGACGAGGAATGACAACGAGCAACGATAGCTAAGCACGGCCATAGGCCCGTCTGCGAATCGAACAGGCCAAAACGGCAGAGGGAATAGACGGTGTGTAAAAGAGAGCAAAGAACCTGCTAGTTCAGGTAGAAGCTAGCTTGAACGAGCAGGAAAGAACAGAAGCTGCCATTGCGTATAGTGCGCGAACATCTCGATAAATAGTCCATTGGTTTGGCTCGTTCATTGTCACGTATGCATAGCGACCTACCCATGCTTTTGCGAGCAGCCGTTCTCTAATGGCTCGTTTAATACCTGAAATAATCGCGGTAGCGTTTGCACGGGATTGCATGCATTATTGACCGTCTTTAAGAGCATCGTACTAATGGTAAAAACATACATTACGTTACATGCTGTCACATCTGATCCAACCTATAGATAATATCTACGTATTATTATGTATTGATATAGTACATATCGTTTAACACAATGTGTGTTATTGCGATGTCCCCCCTTTTATTTCATTCTGTTTTTGCAGCGTGTCCACACGGAATGTTCAAATCGACGGTTGGCGACGCTCCCTGTCAGCCGTGTCCACGTAACAGTGAAGCACTGATCGAAGGTTCTCCCGAGTGTCAGTGCATCGAAGGCTTCTTCCGTTCACCCAGCGATCCAAAGTCAATGGCGTGTACCCAGCCGCCTAGAGCGCCCCAGAATCTCACGTTTGCGTTTGTTGATCAGAGCACCGTAATTCTAGTGTGGAACCAACCGAGAGATGATGGCGGGCGACGCGATACAACATACCGTGTGCGCTGTGACGCGTGCGGTGCCCAAGCAACCTATACGCCCGCTCAGAGCGGATTTAACGAAACGCGCGTGACGGTGTCAGGTCTTAGTCCTGTGACTCGCTATCGCTTTGAGGTGTTCGCCGAGAACGGTGTTACGCCGGTTGCTGGAGAAGAACTGCGCAAGGCAGAAATACTTGTTCGTACCGAGCCATCAGTGGCATTCGTCATCAAGAAGGTCTTCGCTCGACCTGTGCGTATAAACGAAATCATGCTCAACTGGGACCCGCCGAAGAGTGCAAGTAGCAGTACTGACACTACAATAGAGCGTTACGAGATTCGCTACTTTCCGCGGAAGTTCTCAAAGAACGAAACGATCGTTCAGACAAATATGACACAGATTTCCATTGGCAACCTCATGGCAAACACCGAATACGGCTTCCAAGTGCGCGTTCGCACGCAACGAGGTTTTGGCGAATACAGCGAGGCATTGTACCGTACAACGGGAATCCAACAGGGCTCACCCTTGGCGGGAATCGGTGGCATGAGCGGTTCGGCATCGGTCGGGGGTTCCGGCCATTCAGGCTTGCGCCAGTCAGAAGGAGCTACTGATTCTAGTACCAGTGGTCAAGTGACCGTGATCGTCGGCTTGTCTGTTGTCGTAGTAATTGTCATCATTGCGTTAGTAGTGGCCTTCCTTTACGTGAAAAGGTACGTAGTTTTTCACTGATAGCCAGCGTTCATTTTGAATGAATGCTTTCGCTAGAGTTCATAGCCGACCTGTTTAACTTGTCTACAGCATCCAGCGTCAATCGTACGTAAATATTAACCCATATAAGCGTGAGTAGCATGCAAACGGGCTACTCTCGACGACACTGACGGAAGTCTAAAGCTTCACGTGATATATATACATATATACATAGCTAGCAGTTGTTACAATCCAATGAAGGTGTATATTATGTAAACAATCGATTTGTCACTATCTAAAATCAACAATGACGGCGATTGTGTGTAATTTATCTTCAGGAATAATGAAGAGTGTAATAAGAAACAGCCAAGCGACTGTGACACTCTCGAGTATCGGAACGGGGAAGGTAAGAAAAGTAAGTGCAATCTCTAATGCTTTTGCCGCTTTTCATTGAATCCATTTTAATTAATCGATTTCTCAACATTTCGGCTAGATTATCGTGAGCAGCATGAATCTCGTTACAACTCGTAGTTAAAGAAAAGCTGTGGTAAACAAACGTAAATGGGGCAAACGTCTACCCTATGTTGCTTCCCCTCTTCCTTTCCTACGCATGACTAGTAAAAGCTCTTTGAGTTCCTTTAACCTGCTGCACAAGATAAGTTACAGAAAAACAAAGGTAACAGATTTTATGATTGGTGCTTCTGTATTTTTTTCTATATATATATATATATATATATATATATATATATATATATATATATATATACATGTTTTATATTTGCAAGCATTTGCGTTCTATCCCACTCTAATTATACCTGTATCTGTGCACAGATATTGCTTTAATAAACTTTCATAGACACTCAAAGATGCGCAATACTGGCCATCGGTTCTGTTTCTTACTCAGCTAACAATTTGCCTGCTACTTAACATCTGTTCGCAGTGGTGGATCAAGGGCCCCTGGTGCAGACAACGCCTCTCTGTAAGTATACCCCACAACCTTGTCGCTATAGATTGTTATATTAAAGTCGAAACCTTTAAACCGATATAGTTGTGAAGCTCCATAGAACCAAGGGTTTATTGCTATTTTGGCAATACTTGGCCGATTGGTTAAGCATGACCTCTAAAAAATTGCACATATTTCTAGCGTTCCGTACAAAACATCGGAGAACCATTACTTCAAAAAAAATGCTTCAAAGACCACTTTTCATGTGCCTTCTTTGGCGGTGTACTCGCTGCATACTGATCAAATCACCGTTGATTGATTCTACTCAAAAGATCAGATGTTTATTGAAGCTATGCAACCTAGTAACCTATATAACCCTTCATAATGTCGTTATTCTATCAGTAACCTAAGTAAGCTAAACTTATTCCTGCCTCTTCTAACTAACTTGCGCATATAGGTTTAAGGTGAAATGGGTATCATAAATATAAATACAAAAATTTGTTACCGTACTCACACATACTCTTTACCTAATCGTTAGCTACAATTTTTTCTGTATTGCCCACATTTGTATTGTGTTGTACATATTGTATTGTAAGCCCACATTTTTTTTCATAGTTTATTCATTTTTTCATGTTTATTCATACTTGCATCGAAGGATAGTGAGTCTACAAAGCTATCGGTACAGCAAGTATAACCCTTCATTCAAGCACCTGAAATTATTCAATGCAGAAAAGCATAAAGACAATTTTATGCGAACCCAAAATGTGCGTGCTATATCAGTTGAAAGGCCAAACCTGCTACGAGAATAACCCAAGTGTTCCCTAGCGGCAGTAGAGGCCGTTGATGTTCTTCCGTCATCGTTCGAGTTAGATGGCATTGAGTCGGTACCTCCCCGTTAGACGACGTTATGACAATACCAGCGCGGACCAGTGTCCCAGGCTCCAATCCCATTTTTTCGGATGCATCTTTGAACGCGTGTTTCGCGACCCTTCGAGGGCGTCGTCTTTCTATGCACTCTGCTTGTGTATGTCTTCCTTGCTTCCTCCCCTCAGTTGCCCATTTTTACCCCGTTCTTCCGCTATGGACAACTTGTGTACGACAACCATTGCAACACTGAATAGCGTGTCTGGCTCCTTACCGGGCGTGACTGGATCCGTTTCCGTAACCACGATATACACGCGGACGCTCTGCTTGTTGTGCCCGTCCACATGGATACTAACTGACCGAATGGCCATGCGGGTAACCGGGTATCTGGCGTGCAGACGGATCAACGTCCATACACATCACTTCCATAAATAATGCACTAAGAACCTCTCCCGATGGGTGGTATGCGGATGCTTCCCGTCGACTGCCGCCTGCTTCTATTGCGGTGACGAACGTAGCTGCCACGTCCGCCGTGGTGCCGAAAAATAAAGGGTTGCTTTCCTTAGTTGAACCTGCGACTAGTCGCAACGTCGAGGAAGCTCTAGTTCGCTTTTGTTCGAAAGTAGCACCGCCCGGCCGCTACGACATAAACGAGAGGAACGTTGGATGACCAGCAGAGCAGGACAATGGCGGAACAATGATGTTAGTTAATCGATCAGGACTGGCAGCCTGTGCCAGTCGACGTACTGATAATACAAACAAGAACACACCTATACAGATAAATAGGCGGACTGCATACGAGATGTAGGGTGCTTGAATTGTTTCAGAACAAAACTTGTCCATGTTACCTATGATCCTAAACCAAAAACGTCTGTATTCGCTTGCTATAGTCGACGAAGTTCACAAATAAGAAGGTGAAACCTATTTTGGAACCAAAGCGACCTAAAGCCCTCGACTGACACAAAGCAACTTCCACGAAAATGCCCTAGATAGTAGATACATGAGATTGCCAACTAAATGCGCACTATCTGGCTTTTTAATAAATCACGTATTAAATTCTTGCTTGTACACATTTATCAACCTCAATACTTTTCGACGCCTTACAGAAGTAGCAACCTTTACGGGATCACTCAAGAAAACACTTGAATGGCTTAAACGTTTGCAAAATAAATCTACCATTACAAGTATTAATTTGAGTTCGTGCTCCTCCTGCTTTTATTTTATATTGCAGTTACCACGCCGCTATTCACGAACTGTGGGACGATTGGCAGTCGATCATACGTTGACCCACATACTTATGAAGACCCACAGCAAGCTATGCGAGAGTTCACTCGCGAGATTGACCGAGAAGCCATCAGCATCGAGGACGTGATTGGGGCAGGCGAGTTCGCAGATGTGTGTCGTGGGCTGCTGCGACAGACCACGCAGCGTGGCGAAGTACGGCTAGTTCCCGTTGCCGTTAAAACTCTGAAGCAAGGCAGTACCGAAAAGGCGCGCAACGACTTCCTCACCGAAGCGACGATCATGGGCCAGTTCGACCATCCAAATGTCATCTACCTCGAGGGCGTAGTCACACGAACATCACCCGTCATGATCATCACCGAGCTCATGGAGAACGGATCTCTAGATCAATACCTTCGAGATAATAAGGGCCAATTCAACATGATTGAGCTGGTCGCCATGTTGCATGGCATCGCCTCAGGCATGCAGTATCTGTCGTCAATGAACTTTGTTCATAGAGTAAGTTAGCTTTAAATGCTACTCGTTTGTTGTAGATATATGACACATATGTCCTATAGAATGCTGTATGGTAGCAAATGGCGCACAGGAAGTCGAGTATTTTCAAATAAATTTCTATATGACTATGACGACATTAAATGGTTGAAAAGCCTGAATTAAAGAGAGTTTTGTGGTCGTAGTGCATTCAGTTGTAGACTCTTATTAACTTGCTTATATTCCACCGCTTCTAATTTACGCGCCGGTACAACACCCGTCATAGCTTATTGTTCTGAACAGTATCCCACTAACACCAAACGGTCATCTGTATGTATCTTTTTACAGGATTTGGCCGCACGCAACGTACTCGTTAACGCCGAGCTCGTGTGTAAAATTGCCGATTTCGGTCTCTCGCGCGAAATCGAGTATTCTGCATATTCTGGCAGTAAGGGCGAATATCGAACATCGGGCGGAAAGATCCCGGTACGATGGACAGCGCCGGAAGGCATCCAGTTCCGAATCTTTACAACGGCCAGTGACGTCTGGAGTTTCGGCATCGTCTGCTGGGAGGTCCTATCGTTGGGCGAGCGGCCCTATTATAACTGGCCAAATCAGGATGTCATTAAAAAAGTGGAAGACGGCTATCGGCTGCCTCCACCCCGCGACTGTCCTGAGGCTTTGCACATGCTCATGGTCGATTGTTGGCGGTCCGATCGGACACTTCGACCAAGCTTTACTAGTATTGTAGGCACCCTCGAAGGTCTTCTTAAACAACCAGGCACACTTCGACGACTGGCCGTCAACAACAACAAGCAGCAGCATCAACTTCTGCAAGGCGGTGGAGCTTGCCACCAACGTTCACAGCATAGCTCGACGCTACAGCTCAACAATGTAGGCGTTGCAGGGTCCGGCCTGAGTGGTATGGTTAGCCTAGGAACCCAGCCCCACAGTAGCATGCAGCATCTTCAGCAACAGCAGAGCGCCATCTATGGCTGTACGCCGAATTCAGTAACGTTAGGCGGTGCGCACTCCACGATGCAGCTGCATCATAACGCAGTAAGTTTACAGTACAGAATTACAAGACGTTAATTTAATTGGAAAGTGCCACCTGTAAGATTCTTTGTCGCGGTATTAATATTTTATGTGATTTGGCTGAGGTATTCAATTGCGGATGCTACCCCTATTGCCTCAATCAGAGGCTAATTTAAAAAAAAAAAATAGCTTCAGTCCGATATCACGGTTTTGCTATTGCCCAACGTCTGTTCGAATAATAACAGAGCTATGAATCTAATTGAATCCTATTCGATGCTTGACGCTTTTAATACTCGCAGGCCAACGCGCGTTCAGTGGAAGAATGGCTCACAATGATTAAAATGTCACGCTACCTTGATCATTTTCTACGTGGAGGTTTCACTACCCTTGAATCAGTTGCGCACCTAAGTCATTCGGACTTGGTTCGGATCGGCGTCCAGCTCGTCGGCCATCAAATCAAGCTACTCAACGAAGCCGAACAGTTGCGAGCAGGACGTCAGGCAGGTGCTCATGACCTCAAAAGTCAACAAGGACATGATGGCTTCCTTGTATGAAAAGAAGAAATACAAGGCACTGTTTTCTGCCGGCGCACATTGGTCTCAACCGAATACATCGAATATAGAGAAATAGCCGCACTGGAGATTAGCGCGAATATATAAATGATAATAGTGAACTAATCACATACGATAATTGCCCGCTTAAAGCATACGCGGTCAGGCTAAGGGGTCACATGAAGGGGCGTAGAGGCAATTGGGGGGAGCAACACGTCATCAACGACAGAAAAAAGGTTGCCGAAGGAAGCTGACGTTGCTCAATGAATATACAGCACGGGTTAGAAGACGCGGAAGTACGTTAAAATGCAACTAAATATAAGGCAGATTAAGGTGACGACTGTGCAGATTTCGCAAATGCATTGGCTGTATGGGCTTGTAGTCTTCGAAATGCTTGGGCGTATGGCCCATGGCCAAAAAAAGGGCACCGTACTGCTCACGGTCGAGCTATGCTGGCGTCCTAATCGGACAAAAAAAGCTCGCTGGCCCGACGAACACAAGGCGGATAGACTCTAGCTACACACAACGACAAGACTGATGCAAAGTCACATTCCTACATAAACAGAGATAATGAAAAATAATAACACACAGGGAAAAAGGGAACGAAACGCGCAAGAACGCAAAAGTGAAAGGAAGATTGAATGAAAGAACATTACCATGCCGATAGTGGTCATGATAGCTGATGAGGGCCTTAGTCGACCACCGATTGGCTTTGGTTAAAAGCTCAGCCGAGTCTGCTATGGTCGTCAGGACAAATTGTGTTTAGGCGTACCAAAAACATCGGATTCCTGTCGCGATGACTGACCGACGTCAAGGCAGACACCCTCATCCGCGCATTAACAGCGTGCGATCAAGCCCAGCAATCGAATGGTGTTAGCTATACATATATATATATATATATATATATATATACACACATATATATATATATGTATATACATATATATATATGTGTGTGTGTGAAAAGAGCGGATCTAGTATATAGAGTACATAAAATAGAATCGAGGAAATGATGCGAGGTTTGATCTTTAGACGCAAAGGAGGATTGGTAGCGGCGGGTAGAAGAACACCTCCCGGATCCCCCTGCTCTGGGATCGACTGCGGCGGAATAAATGAGGTAATTTATCGAGACTAATATTTAACAGAGTGTACTAGCCGCTGCATAGATGAAACACGTAGTGGAATTGCATGGTATTTAGCTGTTAACGAATGCTTGAGTCAAATGGAATGGAGTTATTTGCAAAAACGAGCGAGATTGATAAAAACGTAAGGCAAGCAATGAAAGGAATTGTTTCAGGGGGTAAAAGAGGAATGCTTCGTACTGCTGCTACTCTGGATCACACGTGATCTATGATATGTATTTTAGCAAAGGATAAGAAATCGAGGAAAGAATGAACAATATAAAACGTCATTAACGCATACATTAGAAGAGATATATTTATCAAAAACAAAAGAACATATATTGAGCAACACTGTTATATGGGCCACACACACAAATGCACATCGATGTATTGTTGGTGACCCGCTGTACTTGGGCGGCCACCATGTTCAGCTGAGATCTGAAGCCAATAAATAATGACAATAACCAATAAATTAGCAACATGTTGACCAGAATGTAGCCCCTTCCCGACCTGATGCCCCCCGTCAAGGAGGAAGCGCATTGGACTGGCTAAAAAAAATGTTTACAAATCAACCCAGATGCAGAGACACATCCCAGTAAGCACTGCATTGCAAAATACAGATGTACTGTACATACATACTAGCCGTTATATATATATATATATAAAGCACGACTGCTAATTAAACCAACAATTATTATTACCGATTAAGATAATGATGATGCTGAGCAGTAATCCTGTAATAACGACAGACAACGAGACATGTGATTTACGTGAGGAAAGAATGAGTAAATCCGAAGGTCATGAGGTAAAATGCGCGTTCTCGCCCTGTTTTTCCCCACGAGAATGAAAGCAGAGCACTTCTTGCCAGCCACAGTCGTGCAAATGTGTCAACTACTAAAGAAATACCTCCTAATTGTCGATTTTTAAAGGTAGCGCATGCGGTACCCAATAATTGTTGAGATGACTCACAGAGAGATGAGTTGTACTTAAGAGCGTAATTGTTGAAGCCTGAACACGTCTATCCATTCGATTTTGATTTTCAAACATACTTTTCTCCTTGGATGTAGAAATCTATCTACCTCGTTTTTTTTCCTTTCTCTGAGCATCAGGCCATCATGGAAGCGTCAAGGCGTTTACATTCTGGTCATCATGGTCTTCGTTAGTGTACATATCTGACAATATTATTGACGATGATGGCGAGTAAAGCAATGGGGTGACAATGATGATTTAATTTAAAAGAATACAGTATATGAAGTAAATTCACAAACGGCAACAAATGTGTTTGTTTCTAACAAAGGAATAGTAGCTAGGGAAAAAGTTCTCTAGCGGGGCCACGACCACAAGACACAGTGTCAACAACACATATCAGTCAATTATGCCAACAACATTGTAAAAGCATGATACTGAGCAGCACTGTTCGGGCGATGACTTCATCGATTACTTAATTTATCGTCATTGTTTGAGGTACTAGCGAAAAAGGCTCAATTTTAAAGCGCGTCGACGCGCTTATACATGCGACAATGTACCGTAAACGCACTTCGCGCGATACCATTTAACATAATTTTATGTCGCATCACCTCTCAAATAATGTTTCACCGGTCAGTGTTCCTGAGGACTGTGCAATATTGTTAGCCATATGGTGGGTCACTTGGACTTTGACCACTGGCTTCATTTCATTACAGCCTTTATGTTCCAGCTTGTAGCATATCTATAGAGGTATTTATTTCTGCAGTCTTACTTCTGCTTTCCTCGTTCGTCTTAAATCTATCAAAATTTAGCAATTTTAGAAAAATAAACACGTGTATAATGCTATGTATATGTGTATATATGGCTCCAAAATCGATTGGTAAACGAAATCAAAATATTCCTCTATTTGAAACTTCAAAGTTTGTCGTCGATTAGATGCTCACTAAGTGTTTCTGTAGATTTATGTATATATTCTCTATATCGAAATGCTGCTAACAAAATCACAATGAAGTCGAAATGACTCACCAGTACCATGACGCGTTCCAGGAAAGAAAATTTACCATGGCTATTTAGCATATGTATATTTAATAAACAACTTTCAAATATTTGTGAGGTGATGCTGGGTACTCGGGTCGCGAATGTGTTCCCTCGCAAGTGACCCAGCGGTGACCGCTGTTCTAACTGAGGCGAAATAGTGGAACCCGAAAATGTTGGAAGCGAAAGCCAACATGATGAGAACGTATTGACAAACGCGGAAATGGCCGATTGTTGAAGCTAACTTTCGTTCCGCACAAGAAAACGTCTCCCGCTATAATAAGGTGGAGGAACTTGTATTATAATTAGTTGTACATAAACCGTGTATATAGAATAATAATTATACCAATGCAATGGAACGCAAAACGATGATAACAACAGTAACATTAACGAAAAACCAGGCCGCCGTAAATAGGGACTTAACCGGCTAAGCTGGTCGAAGAGACGGAAAAAACTAATTGGCGGATAGAAAGTTGATTGTAAGTGAAAGTAAATTATTTCGGTTGAGAAAAAAAATCATCAATACACATACAAATAGAAACTGGTCCGAAATGTCAACGTGGGTATAGACGAGGACGGGGCAAACAAATGAAGCATACGACGATTTATTAAGTACTACTAATAATAACAATAACGAAATGATGGTCGTAACGACGAGACAAGGCGAAGCTAATGAGTGAAGCTAGAGATAATAATAATAATAATAATAATAAGTAATAATAATAATAATAATAATAATAATAATAATAATAATAATAAGTAATAATGAAAACAATTAAATGATGGCGAAGTGCAGATTATATACAAGATGCAAGACAGAAAATATGGACGAGAACATTGAAGGGGGCTGAGGTTTGGGTGTATTCAAGCCAAGCATAAGCCACTTCAAAAGGTAACTATGAGTAAACCTGCTCCCAGACGGGAGCTTATACTTCAACTAACTTGGTTAATGGAATAGTGGCAGATGTCAAGCAAGTACTCTCTGGCACCAGGGACTTCAAGTTACTTCCCACATTGCCAGCAAAAGCCGCAGAAAGTGTTCCGTCACTTTGGTTGTATATATGTTTTCCACCGGCTTTGTTTGGTAAGAATAAATTACGATTAACAAAAACTATATTTATTGTTTTTTACATTTGTACAGTTTTACATTTGAGCTTAAATACGGTGTGTCTATCAGTCACAAAATAGCTCATATAGAAACTAGGCAAGCTATATTTATAGTGGGTAATTACACTCGAAAATATCCGTTGAGTCAAATGGTTTACAAAAATAGGTATAACTGGTTTACAAATGTTATTTGAGTGTATTAAGTTAGATAAAGACCATTGATTTACGCATCGCCAAATGCGGAGGACTCCTGCTTCATCCAGATATGAAGGTTCCAACACACAACTTACTTCTTTAAATCGCGTTAAAGTAAACCGAGTAAACAAGGTGTACGTCTACAAACAAGGTATACACTAACGGTACCGTACGAGACAAACTGCAATCTACAATTACAAATTACATAAATTTACAATTTTGCTGTAGAAAAATAAGCCCACTATTGCGACCATTCCGTGAGTGACTTTCATATTTAGATATCCCAAATGTATCTGGACGTCCAGGCTAAAAGCACCCTGATTAGTTCGATGCATGAGACATAACAAGTCGTTGTCCAAGTTATAATACACAACTTAACGAAATAGGTTATTAAGTCGCTTCGTTCGAGCGGTAACTTCCACAGCTACGTTAACAAACATGTTAAGATGATCGTATCTTATCATCTACAAATAACTAAACACAATAGCGTTTCTGCTTGAGATGATGTCTACCAGCAAAATCCTCTTTTGGGAAAATTACGAAAAATTCACTCTAGAAGCCCACAAGCTCTGCAGATGTGGTACGTAATTCAGATTGATCACAGAATATGATTGTTTATTTAATGACAAAAAATTCAGATATATACAGATCTGCTGACGCACGCTCAACTGGAATAAATTCATTGTTCTACCCAATTTCACTACTTCGGACTCCATTTTGTAGCAGCCAATTTCAAACATATATTATTTATTAGAACGTTCAATTCTAAGGCCTTTATTTTTTTTTAACTACGCTGAGTTTCTTGGACTGTATTCGAAAAAAGTGTTTAGGCGTTCGACGATCATCGCTGCTAAAATGAAAATTTTCAATAAATATAGAGAAAAATACTCTTGTGACTTTAGCGTTGTACATTAATTCGAATATTTCTAAAATGTATAACAAAAGAAAAGCCAAAAATTTAGCCGAAAGGTTTACCCTCTGTGCGGAGAGCTATTAAGCTGCTAGACTGACTTTAATTTATCCAGTTTGACTGGTTGATATCACGGTCGAGTCTAGCGTCTAATATATCTCGGGTACGCTCCGAAAGTTTCATTCATGAAAAAAAAATTTCACCATATTTATTTTTTATCCATTTATAATGTTTTCATCAATCTGGTCGATGCGATCTACGCAATTTGATGGTTATAAACCTACATCCAGCTATTGTGTTGCAGTTCTCCATAGTGCCTGTTGCGACATTGCTTAGCATTATTACATTATTTCAATAGCCCCGCTATTTTAGATTCGTTGTAACAGTGACTATACGGAATTTAATAGTATGTTTTTTCCTTTTTTTTTTTAATAGTATGAAAGGATTTTAATTTAACGATTCTGTTCCTCTATAAGAATCTATTGGAACTTACCTCGTTAGTTTCTTTTAATCAGGCCATCTTTCTGTCTCAACTGTCCCACGGCGAAAAACAGCTGGACAGACTTAACCTCATCTATATATTATAATCCAACACAAAATCGTGACTGTCGAGACAGACTAACTCAATTTTAGCCTTATCTCAAAGAGCCCTACACAAAAATCGACTTTCCACTAACAGCGTTTATGTGTTCCCTTAGAGTCGCCGTTCCGAAACGAAATAAAAATCTGCGAAGTACAATACTTTTGCGAAGCTGTCAGGTTTTCAATGTTTTTGTTGGTAAGAACATATAAGTATGCAAGTTTTTACAAAGAATATCTTGTCTTTGGCGGCACCCTAAACGGTCTCAACGTTTACCGTTTGCTGGCCAGGGAAAGCATAGAAGCTCAAGTCACCGGTATAGACCTTATGTCAAACTCCAGCTAAATAAAAGTTTTTTACATTAAAAAATATTGCACGGAAGGGAAAACGCCTGGAGCACAGCTAAGAAGTATGTTCAACTGTGTCATAAAACATATGATTCTGAATGGGTTCGTATCCTATGTATACATCGCTGATCAACTCCTGGTTAAGAAGTTTATCTTATACGGTAAACTCAATCAAAAGCCTCAGGAAAATTGAAGTAAATACAATTAACGCGGTGATTTTTACATAATGCCTGGTACTAGATAATTGTGACAAGTTGCGGTGCCGTTGATTTACGCTTGAAAGGCGAGGCTACAATATGGCTACTATGATTTAAATAATATCAAACCGATAGGTGTCACATCCTGTCTAATCTGCTGTTCCAGTCAGCTGGTTACGATAATTCTCTCTTCCAGATTTACTCTGTTAATAAGCTCATCTCGTCTCCCTGTTGAATCGTTCCAAGAACCCGATCACAAAACTCTACTTACGAATTAAGTTTAGCCGGTGTAATACATTTTGCCTGAAACCGCGTCACGTCATAAGTGCCATTTACTCCTTTCTCCTTCTTCTGATTTGTTATCCTGCAAATCCAGTTGTCTTACTGAACTGAATCCGTCTTCCTCTTTGAAACTTTGTGGCAGTTCGAAACTTACCTGCGGCACTATTTTATCATTGGTTCAACTTAACCGATTCGTTAACTTTGGCCCGCCGCCTGTTGCCACTCCGCACGAATCTCCCATAAGAACGCTCTAAACGTTATGATACCACTCTGTAATAATCGGGAAACAAGTTCTACTGTGCGAGTAAGGTTTACCTCAGGCCGTGTACGTGATGCCAATTCGAGACCTCGCGTAACTCAAAACTGTTACAGCTATTCCCGTTCTCCCACTGGAATACGTTTGTAGTATCACTGCGCTTGGGAAACATCATGTTTCCCCATTTCAACTTACCTATTCTCCAAGCCGAATATCGGCGTTATTTAATCAATTACTAACAACTTCAAAACGAGGTTTTAACTCTTAATTTGGAAAATGAGAAAAGTACGTCTTCTTCCTCGAATTGTGTTTTGTACTGCTGATATAGCGCCTGAAAGGATAACAACTTAAATTAGGAAATGTCGATTAACTATTTGGAAAAGGATCATCGGAGCAAAGGACTTCGACCTATATATAAGTCCTATTTTGTGTTACGAATTACCTATTTTGTATTAATCAGTTCTCATTATTGCTCTAAAACTGCTTATAAACCATGAATCGAACACTCAATAATACTTAAGAAGAGCAACGAAACATGGGAAACCAATACATATTTAAGGCTGCCGCCAGAAAATTCTTAATCGATTCTTTCCCTTATCGAAGATAATTTTTATCGCTACTCAATGAAGGGGTGATGTCCAGAGTGACTTTAGGTTCTTGGTTTCAAAATCAAGTAACTGCCTGTTACATTAGCTGAAAAGAGACACCGCACAATCTCAAGAGTAACGAGTTATCATTAATATTTCCTTATTTATTTGCCATTATCATCGTTGTCCATTATCCATCATCTATGTATATCATTATATTCATCGAGTCCTTACTTTCGCCGGCTTTCCGATGACATTTGTCGACCTTCTGTTTCGCGTCTCAGTTTCAGCTGTGTCTCAAACTGTACAGTCGCGTCTACGTACCTCAACTAACCTTTAAGTAGCCTTCCTTGCACGCCATTTTCAGGGAACACCTTGTCGTTATAACATAAATATTTCCAATTACATTTTTAATAAGCATTTTTGAACTTAAACATTCAAGCGTTAGTTGTCAGCGGCTTCAATTCATCATCAGCACCATGGGGCATCGTCTGTACCTCGCATCTATTACGCATCTTGAATTGGTTCGAAATTTTATTAGAAAAAGCATTCACAAGACGCCTAGATGCATTTTTTCGTTGTTGTTTTTTCTATTCGCTCTATAGTCAGCTTGTCTTTCCATCGATATGGCTTATCAATTTGTGTTGCTGCGCCTAACGGTTTCGACCGTTCCTTTTAAACAGCATATCCCCTAAAAATGTCCTCCACACATTCTCTCGCCTGCGGAGCCAAGAGGTCGGGAAAATGACTCTTTCCTTCCCCCTAAAGAAAAAGCACACACGTTAAACACTCTGTTATGTTGTCCGGTTTCTCTGGTCGTCAGCCCGTTACTCAACCAGTCTTCACGTTTGTCATTTTCACAATTCTCTGTTCCCTATAGCTATATAATCGTCGTCACGTATTGATTCAATGATAAGCTTCTCACGTCAACTCAATCTTTTTCTCTGGTTTTTTTTGCGTTCGCGTTGTCATTCGGTATAGTATGTTCGTTCTAATCTACTCTTTTGTTTTCTGTACTTCTTCCTCAGCGGCTCACATACGTCGCGTTTTCATTGCAGGCTATGCTGTCTTTTACATGATGCCTAGCCTAGCTCTTTTTTCTGTACTCGCCCTATTTTTTTCCAGCTTCCTACCCGGTTAGTTTACCATATTAGTAATTCTTGTAATTATAGTATTTATTATCTCTATTTACATGTATTTGCACAACGGGGCGGTATCGGCCGCCTCGTCGCTACCGTCGTTTTTCATTTCAGTTATATTTTACTTATCTGTGTATATATATATATATATATATATATATATATATATATATATATATATATGTATTTTGGTCTTGCATGTGTATTATGACTGTCTATCTGTCTGAAAGCGCAGATGCTGGCGCGGAATGAGTCATTGTTTTTTGTGCAGACGGGTTACGTAACCGCCCGCAAAACGATAGGGATCTAAGATGGCTGTCTATTTCGACTCTGTTTCTTTCTTTTGTTGCGGAAATCGTCTTCGGAAGTGATACTGACAAGACTTGCCGACATTTGCAATTCATTAGAGTCGTTATCATTCTCAGTTTATTAGCGTCTCGCGTCCACAGCCCATTACTTCGTTTTATTCGTTCGGTCGGCGGTAAGCTAGTGAAATAATCACTGAGAACCTCTACCCTGCCGAATCGAATTCATCCTTATTTAGTTTACTAGCCATCTCCCTTTTAAATCTGCTCCTTATTTTCGTCCCACCGTCACCTACAGGTCCGCGATACATCCGCATGCTCTATGTTTGCGTTGTTTCAACATAGGATGTACAACATATCCATTCAATACGAGAGAAACAGAATAACAGAACTCGACTGTTTCACCCTCAATCAGCATCACAACACTATAATGAATTGCAGAGCCGACGTCGCCAATCAACCGAATGCGTGACGTCGTTGCCGCAACAAACATAATACGTTTGATGTTATAAACCACCAACGGTAAATAGCAACGAAGCAGTGAAATGCGTATATATCGTTTGTTCTCGTGTAGCGTCATCATCTTTACTACTATTATTATCAGTCTGAACGTTGTTTTGGTATCGGTTCATGGTCGCTGAGGTTGTCAGTTGCTGTTACTGTCGTTGCTGTGGCTGTTATGTGACAATGTGTGCGTTCGATGAAGGGGTCGACTTTCCCGAGCCTCGAGAAAGCGTCAAGGAATAACAGTCACTATGGATCTTCTCGACGGAGTGGCTATATCTATATGTATCCACATCGACTTTTCATACGGCTAGCATGAAACAAGCAAATGCGCTAAGTCGTCAAATTTTGAAACGACTGGATCTTCAACCTCGAGGAGGAGCAGAGCGTAAGGTCCCCTTTCCATTTCTACGAGTGATCAAGCCAAGCGCTTGTATCAAGGGTGAGCTTCTAGATCAACGGTAACTTGCTTGGACAGTTTCTACCCAGACTCGTATCAAGCGTCACGTTTTGATATTGGCTTCAGCGAGCGTTTTTCTATTTTAAATCGGCTGTTCTAGCTTCCTCTCCCTAAGCAGAGAGACGGTCAACAATGACATAACATTATTCCGGAATATGATCTCCGACATTCAGTTGCCATCCAAGGTGTTTAATCTGTTTATGTGTTACAATTGGTTATTTTGAATAAATAGGAAAATCGTTGACGAGCTTTATCGTAACACTGAGGGTCATTGCATCATTCCGTTGACGCGTCTAAGAATACTAAGCCTTCATTGAAATACGTCTCCTCTGTACCTTACGGCCTACTATGTACCTTCAGCTACCACCAGTTTTAATTTACATGTCCCGCTCTTTCGTGGGCCGTAACTTCGCACTTCAACTACTCATTGATCTTTGATTTCTAGACCTCAACAAGCCTCTTAAAAATGGCTACGTACATAAAGATAGATAGCATGTTTCTACTTTCGTATACTATGCTAATGATCCGTTTGTGTGTGGCTGGCTTGACGCAATGGCCCAGCAACGAAAAAATCGAAATGGAAGAAGATGACTTGTACAGCAGGAGAATTTACATGCAAAGTCAATAAGGTTCTACCAGTGGCAACAATATTAGCTAAAGCTTCTTTTTTTTTTTTTTTTGTTTTTTATTATTGTTAGATAGTCCTATTGTAGCCAGAATCATAAAAAAATGTAGCGAACTCCGACCAAAATTTCAGATAACGGCGTTAAATGGACATAACCTCCATTCTCTGCCTGTTGCATTCGATCGGTCAAGCGTTCTACTCTCTGATTTAATCTGTGCCTGTGTGTGTCTAGGTGTTTCAGTGTTGCGGATCACCTCGTCCGTGCTCTCCATTTGTGTTACATTTTTGGCGCTCAATTTCTGCTGATTTTTTATCCATAGCAGTTGCTCTAAGGGTAGTGAATAACTAGACAACAAATAATAGTAATTTTGTCGTTCCCGAACAGGAACATTGTCCTTGCGAGAGGGACAGATACAGCGCTACAGGCCGACAATCCCCCAGAGCCTAATCCTTGAATTTGCGGCCACATGTATCAATCAAGGTCGCAGCTTCGTTAACGGTGGCGGCGACGGCGGCAGCACCAGCAGTAGGTTTACACTCTTTGCGTCTTCATTAATTTCATCTTTGCCATTATCACCATCACTGCCAATTTCATTAAATGAGTCAGTCACTCTGGTCACTCTTGTGCGAAACCTTCAGTTTCCTCGATGGCGTACGTCAGCTTCTCCACAAGCTGTTCGTACGATTTGTATGGTGGAAGATCTAATCTGTTGAAGCACGTGTGACTCCGGGGCAGCCACGTTTCTTTGCCGACCTTTTCCACACAGAATCGCTGCGGGCCGTTACTTCCTGTAATTAGCAGACATCACGGGAGGACGGCGAAATCCCGTTTAATAGATGATGGAGTCGAGGGGAGCTGCTAATATCTTTGTATCTAGAAAGAAATCTAGATAATATGTATGGCTTATGTTTGATTAGGAAATGTACAAGATGATGAATTGAGCTATTACGTAATTATGGAAGTATACCTAATTGCTCATCGTACTATATCAATACTAATGCAAAACAAACCCGGTAGCTAGCGTCTTTTCAGAATCATCGTATTATGACACCTATGCATTAAGGCAAGTGCGTAATGTATTACCCATAAGTTCGGCGAAGCCGCCAACAGGCACACGGCACGTGCCTGTGACAAATTGCAAAAGTCTCATTCGCTTCTCTGAGTCCATCTCGCGGATAAACTGCCACAGCCAGATCACCTGTAGAACAGCGAATTCAGATTTGGCATTTTCGCCGTAGACAAAAACGATGCATACTACTACTACTACATGTCGAAGGTCGGTCCAGTTCCGATTGTTTATTATTGAAATACTGAACTTGGATTACGCAATTACATCCTTTTGAAACTCACCAGTTATAGTTACTTTTTCCAAAACCGTCCGTTTACTTCAAGATACATAGCGAAAAAGAAAGAGATGAAGAACTTGTTTAGACTCTGACCTGTTTCGAAGACCTGGTGTAGTGTCGATATATGGTATTCTTCTGCCAGTCATCAATGTCAATTTCCTGCATTCCGCAGAGCATCAGTTCCAGCTCGCGTTCGTCGAAATAGTGCAGCCACTCAAGAGGAAGAACCTCGTTAAACCTGAAAAATAGTGTACTTTGATTTTTTCCTAGCGAAACTTTATATATTAGTCGATCAATTTTTGTTCGCCTATAGTCAAGCGAACATTTTTTGTTTTTTTGTAGAGTACAACTCTCCTGACCCACCCATCGATAATGGACATAAAAAAAAAAACGAGCTGACTATACTGAAGAGGCAAATATTTTATTACCCGTCAAGGAAAGATTTTGTCTGCTCTTCTTGACCACGCGAAAAACGCCAGTCAGTCATAAGACGAAGATACTCATCCTTGTTCTCTTCGCACACACGAATCTCGGCGCCACCCGATTTTAGCTCGTGCGACTGGATTTGCCCAAGAATCTCGAAATCAACGCTGAAATACAACTCAAGCTGGCATTCCTCGACATTGTTTTCGCGAATCCATACGAGTGAATTGTAGAACTCGTTGTCTATTGATTCGATGTCTTTCATCGTTAGCTTCTTACCCAGCATACGCTTATAGAACGGCAACGTAAAGCCCGAGTAGATAAACTTGCCATGAAATAGTGCCATCGCAATAAATCGGCCTGGAAAAAAAAGATATATAAAGATTACCATTTCTCTAAAGGCTGTTGGTTCACGCATAGGTGCAATGATTTACGTACATGTTTTGACGTTTGCTTTCATCATCTCGTAATGCATTTTGGCTTGTTAAATACGATATCTTCAAATAGAGAACGACATTATCTTACGACGGACATCGTCTTCTTAGCACATACCAATGAAGCGGAAATACAATAGATGATCAGGATTCACTGAACTGGCAGGGTTGATTTGAAGGGAATAGTTGTTTTTGCCCGCGTATTCAAACAAACAGTACATAGGATTGAGCACCTCGTGTGATAGGAGGAAGAACCACTCGCGAGCGATTCCGCCATAGTCTAAACCTTCCTCTCCCTGTAGAATACATAGAAGTAAATAACGTACAGGCGGTTAGGTGCAAACGTTCCACATTAAAAATGTTACCATACAGATAGAACAACAGATAAATGTTTTATTATGGCATAAGGACACTCTCTCACGATACAACGTATCGGCAGGAGGTCTATGTTACCCATACAACCCTATTCTAAATGTTAGATTAAGTAAACGGCAATTGAGGTAAAGTCGTGGCGTGTTAGACTCACCTTGAACGTAATGAAAAGTCGACGGCGTAACTCGTGGGGAGCAACACGCATAATTTGACTAAACGAATCTTCGAATATTCCATTCCGGCTCACAGTTACCTTCCGTTCCAATAGTCAAAAGCAGTTATTATTAATGAGGCTGATAGGATAGGATAGAATAGGATCAGTAGTTAAACAAGTAACGTAACCTGCGAAATTTCTACTAAATACCAAGTAAAGCCCCTATTAAATTTGAAGCAGTCATCAAAAAATAGTAACTCTACGATCCAAAAACATAGATACTGACCGTGAAATTTGTTTCATATTTTTCCCAAAATAAGTATCTTTTCGTTAAGTGAAACCTAGATAAAATAATCACAAGGCCATTATAATGATTTTTAAGGTATGCAAACGTTTCTCATTGATTTAACCAATATGTTGTTCCAGGCAAACGCATGCATCCCGTGCGGTTCCATTGAAGCTCCACATGCAGGTATTCATACAGGTTTGGTAAAGATAGTATATCGGTAGGGCCATTGTTGTGTTTCGTCGTAATCCTACCTTTATATGGCTAGGTAAAGAGTTACAGTGACAAAGATAGCGGAACTGCGTAAGTTTCCATTTGAAGTTTCTCTCGTATGCCAGTGGCACCCCATATGCTCCCTTAGGCCCTTTTCCTGGCGGGTATGAACCGGGTCGAGGGTCACTGAACGTCGTTGTCCTTCTGTTGTGGTCCACGAAGTATCTGACTCCATCCTGAAATGAAACAGTTAAAAGAACTCGATTGTGAACATTGCTGGGAAAAATAAAGCCTGTGCGAGTAAGACATTTCCAGTAAGTAATATGGATTACTGGATAGGTGTAGAAATTACGGATTATTATTATAATTAAAAATTGTGCATCATGGATAAGTGTAGAAATAAAGGTAATATATCGGTAGGGCTATTGTTGTGTTTCGTCGTAATCCTACCTTTATATGGCTGTGTAAAGAATTACAGTAACAAAGATAGCGGAACTGCGTAAGTTTCCATTTGAAGTTCCTCTCGTATGCCGGTTTACCATTAACCAGCAAGTACCATAACTATTGCACCTTGACCTAATTTCAAATGCAGCCTTAGCTAGCGATAAAGTTGCTTACACTTACCTTGGTGTACTTGATCTCCCATCCAGGCGGGAGCGGGTCTTCTTTGCCCTGCGTTCGGGGGTCCTCCCACTGTGTCGTTTTGTTCTTGTGGTTGACGAAGTAGACCCGGCCGTTGGGGTCGATTCGCTTTTCCCATCCTTCAGGAAGCGGGCCAAGTGGGTCGTCTTCCTCGACCTGTACAGGAGTGTGGTAGAGGAACCGTTGTTGGCACTGCTGCATGGCCTGAGCCTGGGTTGCCTGTTTGGTTGAAAATTACGAATTTACAACATTTTCAAACGGCTCTGTCTGCACAAGCTGCACTGAAGGCACGATCGACAACCGAAACCCCCCACTATTCATACTGGCATAAACTTCAAACAACGGTATGCGCTATATGTGATAAGCATTGGAAACGAAAACGCTGTAGTTGATTAATGGCAGAGTTATGGCAGGGATAGCTTGCCTCACAAAGCCAACTATCAAGTTTATGTTGATAAAGACGATAGCTTATGGGAGTGATGCTAAGTCCAACGTGCAATCTAAAGGCCCCTTTGAACAAATTCATGGTCATAATGAATAGATAAATCATTATAACTCTTTCCTAAATTGACACCATTACGAAATTGGGATGTTTCTCTGATGCTGCTTTGGGTTTTCTTATGATAGATCAAAGACAAATTCAGTAACGATATGAATTGGCACACGGGTATCAGTAGCGTCGCCATTCAGAGCCGTAATCTGATGAATGATTTATGGTGTTTTTTCGCGGCAATACAATAAACGTTAAATGTTGCAGTTAAGTCTAGCACGTCTGCATATTTTACAGCGAATAGCCGTCAGCTGAAAACCCACAGGGATAGGACAACAATCATCTGTATACACATCCAGAATGGGGTCCTGATACATCACATCAATTCCCGATATATTTGCGGTACACAAATCAGACTTAGTGTCAATGTTAGCTCTTATGAAAAAAAAGGCGAATTTGTAATCGAACTGTCATTAACTTTACTGATCTTCACACTTTGTCCTACGGCCTCATCTCATAAGACCAGCACAATTAATTCATTAAGGTAATTGCTAAAAATTAACTAAGTCACAAGTGACGATACAAGATAAGACCAAACTTTTTCCACGCTACTATCAACCGAGGCACATCGACAATAATCCTATAATAGCCGCTGATAAAGTAGCGCTCTGTCGTGCCCTCACAAGTAAAATGAACACCAAATTATTGTGTGACAATGCTACAGTCTCTTCTATATCTGGGCTGATGGCAGTTGTTATATATCTGATCGCTTGCAGCTGATCGTTCATCAGCGTTGCCGGCGCCGATGGTTCAGTAGCGGAATTATACTAAGTTTCCCTTTGCAACGGCCGCCTTTACCGACGCTTGGTCAAATACTCGGACGCACGTCGTCATCGAACCATAATGTCAGTTCTGCTATTGAACCCGCCCGCAGTCGACGTGGGTACGTTTATAAATACTTCAGTGACCCAGTACGTCGAGAATAACATCAAAAGTCGTCCCGGCCTGCAGCCGGCAATATCGCCGAAAGACATTTACTGAGGGACTAATGTTTCCAGTCGAGTACGTCAAACGAAACCGTTGCTGTAAAGCCATTTCTAGCATTTCTTAACATGCTTTCTCTATTAAATTTCACCATCCTCATATTACGATTCACAGACACCGAAGTAATGTCTATAGCAACGTAAACAGGGCTGATACGCGGCCACGCAACGCATATTGTCTGCGCAGAGATATCGGCAATGTATATAAAAGACATAATACGACCGTACGCTTGAACGGCTCTATCATCGAACAGGGTCCCAAAACCGCGAAACAAATTCCCAAGCTGGAGCAGTGCGTCCTTGTGACCATTTTAATAATCGGACATCTGGATGGCGTTTGATACGGTAGTTATAGATGACGTTCAGTAGAATACTGATGACTAAATAAGGCTGTTACGATGCAATTCCTTACAACGAAATAATCTTCACGGTCCGTTAACGACTCCTTTTAGAGTAGACTGATTTATAGTTCAGATATCTATAATATAAGAAGAGTTGACCAAATTCGGCTAGGGCTAGAGTTAGGCTGCTTAGGTTGAACCGAGAAAAGCGTTGCTATACGTGTTTGTCTACGCAGCCGACTAGTAACAGTAGCATCATTTTGAATATCTCGGCCATCTATGAAACGCCTAATGAGTAACATTTGAATTTTCCCTGTTTGAATTGGATGAGTTTTGCACTTGAAGGGTTCATTTCCCACCTGCCAATGCTGATAGTTGCGAACGCTCTCTGGCGTCGGACGTTGCCAGGTTGTTGTCCGCGTATTGTGATCCACATAATACACCCGTCCCCGGTTATCCCGTCGCATCTCCCAGCCTGAAGGTAGGGGCTGTGGACGCTCCCAGGTCGTCGATCGGGTGTTGTGGTCAACGTAATATTTTCGATTGAATTGGTCGAAGCGGACTTCCCAGCCTGGAGGAAGTTCCTCGTTTGCGGTATCCTCACGACTTGAATTGCCAGCTGAAGTTCCACTGCTGTTGCGAGCCGTCGCTCCACTGCCGCTTCTCTGGTCACCTCCGCTTCCACCGCTTCGCGGAGGTCGACCCCCAGCGGATGTCGTATCTACAGTTGAGGAAAGCGGACCCGATCCCGCTGGTGCCATGTCATCCGGTCCTGAATAGATGACTGCTACAGGTGGCAAACTGAATACCCCCCCTGGAACGACGAAGTCAAGGAACAACGATCAAGAGTTAGAAAATTCGACGCTAAGTGAACTAGACATCTATATGAATACAGGACAAGCTGTGAATTAACAATTCGATTTTTCTAGCTGTCTGTTGTTAAAAGATTGCGTATAGCCCACTTTGTAAGAAGACGATCGTGGAATAACATTGGAATTAATGGGCAGATGGGAGTAAACAAGTGTGGCTGTGTGAGTGAGATCTGCTAAGAGATGAAGATGCTAATATGGTTGAGCTAAATATAGTAACATTATCAAGTTTCGTTTGTTTCGGCTTTATAGGGAAATGCCTAGTTTTGCGTTTCTATTCGTGGCACGTTATGAGACACATAAACCCACATTCTTATCAGTAGTAGCATCAAGTGATAGAGTAATAAGATCTTGACGTTATCAGTTGTCACAAATCAAAAGTCGTCTGCTAAAATACAGTAATGTCACTGGCTGGCGACAGACTGGAACTACAGTAGAATGATTTGTGGTCCTCGATCGCGGCCCCCAAATGATGGACGATGAACATCTATTATGTCACCATTCAGATTAGCATTTAATGTTTACGAATATTACCAACATGGAGCTTCACTCTATACGAACGATTGTCAATGTCTCCAGTTAATAGGCTGGTCCAAGGAAGTATTTCGATTTTAAAGGCACTCCTCAAACTGGATGGACTATGCACTATATAGCAATAAGGTCGTTTAAGGACTATCACATTGTCTAGACGTTGACGTCATATATGATGATTAGCAGAACCTAGATACACATTATATATTAGGGGAACTTGCCATGGATAGAATGGATCTTAAAATAACACGGTTTTATATGTTTTCTTTTAATAACAATTAATCATTTTAATATATTGCGTCGAGACATGTGTGATGTCCACGGTAGGTCGTACAGCTCACGATGCGAAAGTTCGAACGTTGTTGCCTAAATAGAAGATATGGGATCTATCATAGCGTGAGTTCTATTCTACATTCGAATCTAAGCGTTTCTTATCACGTTCTGTTCGTAGCCCTATTCTCCAGTCCGAGAAGACTGTATATGTAGTACAGGTAAACAGATTGAGAACCTCTCAAGCGTCGATCTATCTTTTCTTGTATCTGAGCTAGCCGATGTCATTAGTCATTTCGCCAATGCCTCTGTAGACCTTGCTAATAGTTTCGGCAAGGTATGAAGACTTTCAGGCGTATATGACATAACTAGCTGAGCTTTCTTATCTAAATATCGAATTTGTCTATCATCATTTACCAAATACGCGGCAAACAGCTGAACAGGAGCCGATGTGGACTGGTGCTCAATCGCTTTTTCCAGTCATACGCAGTCACGTAATAATCAAAATCTAGCTACCCACAAGTCGAGCCAACATTATGCCACTAATCACCGAGGGTGATGCAACAAGGAAACTGTAACTAAGAAGTTATTTAGAAAGCGTTTGCGGAGCTAAAGTAACTGGTCAAGAATACGGAACTTGCTAGAACAATGGCGCCTACGCAGAAAAATTCAACCACGGTTAGTATTTCTTCGATCGGTAAGAGTAGGCTGTAGATTCATGATAAACAACGTGACAGCAGGAAGACAATGGCTCACTAATGAAGGGACAGAAGTTACATGCCCCTTAACGGTTTTCATAATCAAGTCGAAAGTTACGATGTTTTTATTTATTAGGCCCAAGAAAAATTGAAAATGAGCTCGGAAAAATAAAAACCGCTACGAGCACACAGCTTCTTTGGCGTATAGCATTTATAGACAAAGCAAAAGAAGCGGTGTGACTCCGGTCATGAATTGCATCAGACCAATAGTTGGGAAGAAGCTAGCTTCCAGGAAGCTAGAAGGCGACGTTTCGAATTCATCACACCATTGAAAAACTAGCAACAAAACAAATGTTTCGTATTCGGAGACTAAGCGGAACGGTCCCAAAATGGCAAAAGCTCAGGTTTCTCTACGGCACCGACAACTTACCGCTAGCAGAGAAAACTAAACGTGTTTTGTTTCTTGCCTTAAGAGCGGGTCTTGGTTTGCGCCTAAATAAATTCCATTAGTGAGAATCGATCAGAGCTACTTGAAGTTGCCGTACCTGCTAAAGTTACGCGAAGCTTAATATAGCCAATGTGACAGTGAGTGCGAAACTATAAAGCACCGGCTCGTCGGAGCTGCCAATTCGTGAGTAGCGATGGCCGGTACTTGACGGTAACCCTATGCCTGCGAATTCTCGTGTATCTAGGTGGGTAAAAGAGACAGGCCTATGTCAACGGAGATAACTGCGAGACGACATGACCGTTTTACATCGAGCCTATATCAAGGATTGCTTGGAAATCGAAGCGAGAGTATCAGCTTAATTAGCTACTACCGTATTAGAATCAGAGGACTAACATTTTTGTTCATCAGAAAAAATTGCCATTGTAAAGCCAAATGTATGAGCTGCACTTGCAAATGTTGTGCAGCCAATATGGGGAACTGACGTGAAAAGTCAAAGAAAAAAAAAAGAGAATTTATGGCTAAATTGGTTAAAAATTAGGATGAGCTAGGGAACATGTAGATTAAACTTCGATACTATAAAATTCACTAGAAGATAATATCTATATAAAAAAAAAAACGTACAGCGATAATAGCTTTCCCGCGCATTAACACCGATATGATTAAGTTTCTCCTGATCGGCTCCGGTTGAAAAACGACCTTTGTGATCTTCAGTACATATTTATTTCGTCGAACACTATTAGCGGTTGCTTATATTATAGGTCAACACATCTCCATAGATAATCTACAATCTACATAGGTACACAGACAGCACTGCAAGAACTTTCCTGCTATGTTCAGGACACCGAACCCGATTTTCACACTTACAGCCTCATAGAATCCATTTGTACTCTAGCATAGTCCTGCACTCACACCGAGAGAGACTAGCGGACACTTGTTAATGAAGCGAACAACTATGTAACTTTGTATGTCAACGAAAGTTCAGTTAATTAACTGGGTGAGCGCTAAATATGAGAGGTCCCTCTTTCAACATTATGTCGTAGGTTCTCAAACTCTTGCAGGTTCCACTCGCGCAATTTGAAGCGTAGCTTCATCTGGCAGCTCACAACAGCAGTTGGCGACCGCTAGAATAAGAACAGCTAGAACTGGCTTTCGCAACTCTTGTTTAACGATCAGTACTTTGAACCCTGTGAGTAGACTAAAGGCGACGGAGACGCAAACGAGTACGTGAAAACGCCAATGAAAAGTTTCTCGTATTCGCGTAAACAGCGCCCATGTCCTGTCAAACTAATGTCGACTCAAATCGTCATAAACCGCACTGGTAGGCAACTCAACGAATCTTGTGTTAGAAACGACAAATGAACCTAAGGCGACAGTATTATACCAGTATAGATACCCAGTAGGGGCACGTAAGCCTACCGATACGTAGGCTCTGCTCTCAAAGACATGCTACCGGGACCCGAAACGCGTAAACATGTTCTAGCAAACGCAACTAAAATACAACGTTTCTATAATTTATGGTTACGAAAATGCAGTTAATCCGTGCAGCACGATCAGACGGTATCAGACATCGGGCGATGATTTGGTGACTCAACAAGTTCTGAGATATCGCAGGCCGTCGAATCCTATACAAGTGTGATCGCAATGATACTCTTAAAATACTGATACCAGCAACGTTTCCATATGGAAAACAACATGACCGTTTTCGATTGAGTCAGTTTGGTTAAGCAGATATGGTCATTTAATGGCGTCACATTGAATTATTTATCATATCAACTTTAATAATAATTGTCGTTGATCTTTAAAGGCTCCCGCAGGTTTTTGCGAATATTCTAGTTCTACTAAAAATTGTCCAATAATATGGAGGTAAGAGCAACGCGTCGGGACCGCTGTTCAGTGTCTCGATTACCTCTATGACTAATTTATTCCCGTGATATAGGGAGTTGACTATGCGGAATCAAAACAAAGCGGAATCTCTCTATGTAAATCATACTTGGATTTGCGTAGTTGAGTGCTCATTAGGGGATTGAAGATCAGCCAATCTAGACAATATCTGGTTTAGGCGGAAAACGAGGCGAGAATTTAGTAATATTAACAATGAACAATAACGGATCAACCAGCTACATATCATCGACTGGACTCCAATCAGTTGTTTAGCATAACTAATGCAGCGTCCGACAGAAGCGAGGAGATCAAACAGGCCTATATTGGGAAAAAAATGTTTGCCAACAATTTCTGCAGTTATGTTCTTCGTGTGAAGATCCGAAGCCGGTGGTGTGACATACTGATAGTGACTTCCTTATCATCATGATACTACAGCGAGATAAGCATTTTCACTGACATGTGACAAGGCAGCATCGGCTTTTATAAATAGTGCGGCGTCCTGGCGGACAGTCGTGTCGATATTTTTACATATTTTGTGCCTGCCTGGCTCGCATAGTGGGTAACACACTTTTGTATTTACCTTAAAACCGTCTTCTCTATTTATTTATATCATATGTAATCATTCTCGAAAAATTCTTGCCCACAAAATATGTTTTCGATTTGTTGATATCGTACTCACCTTGACCAGGCTGTGCGCTCGCTGCACTTTTGGCTTGAATGGCGTTCGGCGTTCTAGGGCTCGAGGTTGGTCCGGAAGTTCCATTCATGACAACAGAGTTTCCTCCGCCAGAGGTATTGCTCGTCGAGTTTCCTATCGAGTTTGAGGGCACTGCGCCGCTCGTGGCGCCTCCCGCTGCTCCACCCTGGCCACTTTGGACCGCGCCGCCGTTAGCTTTGCTCTTGCGTTTGACTCGGGCTTGTTGAGTTCCATTTTGAGCCTGGCTGCCACCGGCCTGGGCGTTGCTTGTTGCCGTCACCGAAGCTGCCGGCGTTAGTAGACTATGACCGGCTGGAGGAGAATTTGGAGGCGGATATAGTGACACGTCAAGGTGAAGCCCGTCCAATACTGTCATAAGGTAACATCCACTGGATAGATCTAGGTGCTGAGGATATTGACGTACTTTAATGGACAGAACAGAGAAGTTGAAGAGGAAATCAACGAGTCAAAATTCATGAATAGTGAACAATGGATGTGAACCTGACCTATGTATTGAACCTATAGTATATTATACCTGTAAACATCCGCATAGGAAATTGAATAATTTTCTAGCTGCTACTATTGGGCAAACAAAATTTCAACAAACAGTACTGCGGGTAGATATGATGAAATAAACCTTTAATTCTGCTGCAGTAAAAAACATGTCTTTTGCTAATTTTTTTATTTATTATTTTTGTTAGACGCCAGCCGCTATAGGCTGTAAACGATTTAGACAGTAACAGTTAGCCATAATAATTTCAAAAATCGTTCAAGAAGAAGAAGAAGAAGAAGAAGAAAAATCGTACAAGATATCCTAGTCGCAAAAAAAAATGGACAAAAGCCAACGCTATAAATGCAAGAACATCTTAAGGTCAGGCTATTACATTCGATAAAATCGTGCAGAATGGAGAAACAAACAGGCGATGCGACGCTCCACCTTATCTATAAGCAGCCTTGTCCCTTCAACAGACTACATTATAAAAAAGGCTATCACGGAAAAAGAAACTTTACTGTTGTGGTCTTTATGCGAACGGCATGAAGCAATTAAACCTAATGCAGGTTCGGCTTGCTAGCAGTCAGCTAAAAATAATAAACGACACCATAGTCGATAGTCTGACAGACGTTTTGCCCACCTAGACGCTGCTTGCAAAACGTATTCGCTGGTCCTAAATTGAAATACACCTAAACCTATCGAATGTGTGCCTATTTTTTTTAGCGGTCTTGGTGAACGATTACAATTTTCAGTGGTAACGGCATGTACTATACAATCGGTCATAATGAAATATGCCATGAAAAACAATGACTGCCAGATACACAGACTAATCCAACGCTACATTTTTTTTTGACCCAGATTCGCTATAGAATGGACATCCTTGATAATGATTTGTGACCTATTGGTCGTTCAATTACTGATGATCATCTCACTTAGGCTATAGCGCTATGCGTCGTTTGCAGCTTCGGAAATCAGCGTTAGCGGCACGGCAATCTATCTTCCAGTAAGGCATCTTTTAATGTATTAATATTGCGGGGGTTATGCAAAACGCTCCATTATCTCAAAGTTTAAGACAAACCCAATCCTGCAAGTTCTACTGGAATTCTCGAACCGCACGGGGTGGCCAGCGAATAATAAAATTTAATTATTTTTCTGCTTTATTTACATTTATACTGCGCCGTCTGAGGTCCCTTTGAGATGAACTTTAATTGGACTGCCTGTATTTTATTACGTTTTACTACAGTGGCTACTAGTCGTAATAACGAACTTGACGTCTAAACGTTGACCGTCATCGTGTAAGACATGCCACTCTGCGAGTCAATAGTTCCAATGCGTATTTTCGCTTGATCTCATAAGTCATACTGAATTGTGACTGCCTGTATTTAATTTGAATCAACTTATTATTTAAGTTAGCTCAACGTCACGGCGAAGAAACCATTTTTTCCCAACCACTCTGTAATGGCACACACAACCTAGTTACATCATATCGTCATTGACCGAATGAATGTTAAAATCCCAGTGGAAAAAAATGCAAACATTTTAATTAGGATCTAATTTGTCAATCAAGTGACAATTTATCTAGTTTACCGCGCAGCTTATTGCATTCAGTCAAGCTAAGTATTTAAATTAGTCCAACGAGCTAAAATAGGCTGTGTTGAGAGAATGTATTAAGGAATACTATCAACATGAGTCAGAGACGTTTGATTGATACGTTACATTTTCCTGAAGTTTTCTCGAGCAATGAGTATAGGTCGAGAGTGGCCTCTCCGATTAGGTCGTCCTTCATGAACTGGTGGTGATTAAAGACTCGAAATAGAATTTTCGAATATGGCGAAACGAGCACTGGAAATGTTTCATCCCACTTTGGGTGCGCGGTTCCTTTACAGTGGTCTGTTTTTACAGCCGCCCCACCGTCGACGCTGATCTCTACGTATGGATCCGGTTTGAACAATATACCTGCAACAACGTGAAAGAGTTATGCTTAGAATGGTACAAACTATATTAGGCTGTGGTACAGGAATGATCTCCTCAGTAGCTTCTTACTTGGAACGCTATTTGTAAGCATGTTTTTGGTTTACTGTAGCCTACGTGTGCATCTGCATGGAGCAACGGGTTATATGAGATGCTTTCGTTGTCATTCTAGGCGATATCTGCGTGAAAATCCCTCAGAATCAAGCCCCCGTACGACACCAAAAATTTGTTCCTAGTAAGAACTTAGCTGGAGTGGCTCTTGCTGGGCTTCTTTTTTCAGCGCGCTTATGAAACCTAATCGTAACCATACGAGCAACTTCTTTGTACCTATTAGTCTACTTTTCCTTGCTAGCTATCATCACCGGTATTCAATTCCCTGTAGAAAAAAATGTTGTCAACGCTGATATTTCTGGTGTGCGTCTGCTCGTTCGTTCATAGTCACTATGGCGACTGATTCAGAAAAACGCGCAGAAGTCACCCAGGCTACGCTGTTGTAGCTGAAAAATAAATCTGGCTAAAGGAAGGCAAGCCCCAATTTCTAGATAACGGTTTTACTCGGCAAGGCGACACACTGTCCAATACATGCTTCGCGAATTACTATCGCCTTGTATATTAGCCATCAGCGCTCGTTTCCTTTATAGCACGCCTTCTAAAATTTGCCTACAAGGTATCAAAAGACGGCCCATGCTTTTTTCAGTGCTAACTTACTTTCGATATATAATATCAAACCTATCCCACACGTCTGACGTGCAGACTAAACAAAGTAAGCTATAATTTGAGCTCTTTTTATTCGTGGCGACGATTAAAGCATTGCAGATTTCTACGATATTGTCTGAAATGTAGTCCTTACACGGCTGAACTTGCAGTTCAAAAGTTAGAATACGCAGAAAACGCTAGGTATTGACGAAATTTTCGCTATAGTCAAAACAGAATTGACTCTTTTTATATACACATCTGGTTAGGTATAAACTAGCTTATTCATAGATATAAACAACGATGATTGGATCCAAGCTCGTTCCGTGTTAAGAATAGGACCAGTGAAGTATATAAGAAAAGAACACGTGCGGTGGGACCTCCATCTTTATCAAGTCCAGCGAGCTTTTACGGAAGTTGTAAACTTGCCAACATCTGCTACGTGAATATTAATACTGGCGCCGCGAATAGCGACCAATGTTTCTTAATACATCAAACAGATATTCAAAATAATTATTTTTCTATTGCGACAATCGGGAATTCTTGACTGATGATTGTAGACCAGCGATGTCTTAGATTTTACGTAGGCAAAAACGCCTTCCAAGGATCGAAAAGTATCCAAATAATTAATAATAAGAAAATAGAAATAAATAATAATAAATAATCCATTAAAGTTTATATAAACTTTAATGGAGAAAGTACTGATTGAAGCTACTATTGAATATTTATTAGATTACAACCACCTGTGAAAGTGTCTTACTTATAGAACATAAATATTCTACACATAGTCTTTCTTCGTACTTCAAACAATTTTTCGTTCCACAAGCAAAGTTCGACAGACTGAAGAATCTATTGAGCGCCTTTCTATGTACCAAGTAACGTGTTCATATCGGTAGCAGATGGGACTATCGAAAGCAAGTAAGACTGCGGTTTCATCTTCAGTGCAAATATGATTCTAGCTTAGGTACATAAGATGCTGTTTAAATTCTACATGCAAAGCCAGACACGTACATTTTTTTCAGCTCTATATGAGGTAACAAAAACACGCAGCAACAACTATATTTGGCATCGGACCGCCCCTCACTTAACTTAGCTGGGACTCAGCTTTGAAAAAGCTACCCTGACAATTTTTAGAATTGTCAGTAGGCATCTCGTGAATTTCCTATCCATATATAAATGCTGCTCCACGAAAAGAAGCTACAAGAAATTGCCAGTCATCACCAACATGTCTATACGTACCAATTCCATGGACCCATCCTCCGTCACCCGGAAGATTAAAGACACATCATGCGTTACAGCAATCTCCGAAAGTCGTGTCGACCCGATAGATTAAAATGATGTTTTATTTAATCGCAAAGATCACCTCCGAGCAACGCTCTTGCGCCTGCGACAACTCACAAGCAAATTTCAAATTATTTCATGAGCGTCACCTCGATGGCTGATAGACGAGCTAAGTTTTCTGCATGTTCCTGCTATCCTCACCTAACAAACACCTCAGATTTGTTGTTGTCCTTTCTAGGACAGCTCAGGGCTAAGTATCCTATATTCAAGAGATGCTTTGGAAGTGAGTCTTCTTGGAAGCGCGCAAATGCGGGCTAAAATGGTTCCTGGCGTAGCTTTATTAGCCCAAATGCTTTTGTTCGGTCTATTCAAGTGAATGCAAGTACACGTGTGTATTTGTGTATATGGTGACAAAATCATCAATCACGATTTTTGGACCAATAGGTCTTGTGCCATACCGTGAATGGCAAAACTATTAGAATCACTGAGGTGTTGAAACCTCTAGTTGTTCTCAGCTAACTAATAGTTATAGTCAGGAAGACCTCTTCCCTGTAACTCTATTCACCTCACCCATTCATTTCCGGAACAATAACATAAGGAGGGAGCACCTGCGTGAATATATGACTAGCTCAACGCATAGCTCTAATGCTTCCCTTCCGGATCAAGACTACGTTAGGTCGTTGCAGACGTGGTTGAACACAAAACGAATTAATTCATCCTCGTTCACTTTTACCTATCGATCAGTGAATATCATCAACTCACGAACAATCAAATTTATAAAAAAATAAAAACGACTTATACGATGATTGAAGTGAGACGCTCTATTCAACCGAAAGCATCATTTTTTTGACACGAATGGAAATAACCCCTTGGGGGCATATGTATGGAGGTAATGTAGAAAGAAAAACATTTGAATTAAAAGCAATTTCCAATTATAACATTTCGCTTTTTACAACCTTCGTACAACAAATATCAATACAGCATCGTGCTATTGATTAAATAAAGCAAACATACAGTAAAAAAAAAAAAACGAACTCTGTAATGACTCTCCCTCTGACGTCGAGTTTCCGTATCACGCTCATAACGTCTTCAGTGAGTACGTTATTCACGAAGTAACTTCGAGCTTCGTTATGTACCCGTAGTACAAGTTAAACGAGTAAGCGTGGCGGAAACTAAGCATGTCATCGGTCTTTTTCCGGTTGTTCTCTGTACGTCATTCATATTCTACCAACTGGAAAGATACACTATCAAGGCTTAGAATCTATATACATTTCTCCTCATTCACATCCATTCCACAATAAACAAACACAATTTCTATTAGAAGTTTTTGGTTTCATAGCCAGAAACGTTAGAAAAACTACGGGTAACACTATATCGGTGCAATAACGTAGGAAGGTTAATTGTGCCACGCCTTACTGCACTAAGGAAAAACCAGCAGAGCAAACTTCGCTGTTCAATTGAGGTTCTTGGAGTTTCCATTTTCGAAAGACCTTTACCGCTTGAAGAGTGGATGATAGCACGGATAATTAAGTTCGTTATGATAGGTATTTTTGAGCCCGACCTTATGAAAGCAATAGCTGATTAGAAATATTAAGAAGTCATCATGATTTATGTATCATATATAGATGGTTCGTCGCCATAGCCTATTGAATAAATGCTTCTGGTTTTACGTCGGAAACTACGTAATCATGGTATTTGACGACCCGCTTATTGTACTGCTTACTATCTTAAAGTTCCAACGATTTCAATTTGAGGCGTTCTATTAATGGTCATTTTTTTATGTAAACCTGAATTGGAAAACTTGACTAAGAATTTTCCCTAGTACCATGATCTTTAGACGTGACTCAACAACAATTTCTCATAAATTATAATACTTTAGACTTTTCTAAACTTGAACAGGAAAACACTTAATTTTTCTTTCCATCGGATAATATCAGCTACTAGTACCGCAAGTGTAGATGTACGTATAAAATTGAAAAAAACACTAAATAGAAAAAGGTGATCAAGGTTAGACATTACAGGAAATTTTAATATCTAACATACAACGTTAGGAAACAATTTAATGACAAATGATGCAAAACGCTAATGAGCTAATTTGCCAGTTAAAAATGGCCGCCACGTCCGAAAAGCGAGGACAGACTGCAGATAGTCGAATTTTCCTAATGTACTTCGGTGCATGTTTACTCGAGATTTTTGCTTACACTTGCATCATTTCATTTTCTCTGGATCAATGCAAGAAAAACGTACGAGTTCGCCTTAAAAATAAACTTTAATCTTGTATGTTTCTAGAAGGGGTCCCTTTTTAAGTTGAGATTATTATACAGTTATAACAACACAGTAAGGATGATGCTCAATAAGCTTGTATTAGATCATGCTTTAACATACATTCTCGTCTCAATAGAGAGAAGCAAACTCTTTCTTATAATTCGGTGTCGGGAATTCTGTTCCGTTTTATACTACCATGTTTTCGTCGAAGTGTATTCGAATATTCAACTTCTTGTAAAGATCCATCCGCTGGTTAACAAAACATACTGCCGTACTTCGAAATCTATCTAGCTAAAGTGGAAAATAATTCCAATATGGATTCGTCTATATTTTCAATAAAGTACGCCAATAATATTTATCATCGTTACCCATATTTTCACAGTGTAATATATAGTTCATCGTCAACATCGTCGCATCTTAAATAATATGATCTTAAAAAACCCCATCTACTATTAAATGTTTGATGTCTTTGCAGTCGGATAACAGTAAATAAAGGTAACGATTAGTTCAAAATAGAATAAGATACTGAAATTGTTTACAATAGGACGTTTAAAAGCCAAAAAAAAAGATATACGATACTCTTTTATTCAACAGACAATAACCTAGGCTGTTTCGGATAGGTAGTATCTCGAGCGTTTTCTATTTTAAATATAGGTAGGATTACATAATCGTCGGAAACATCTGACCTTGATATGAACGTTGGTCCTGTCATTTGGATGACCTTTTCCAATTTCCTGAGTTCGCAGAACTCTGGAGCGTAACTTATAGCTCATATAATGTTCGTATGTGGCTCTTAGCTTTTTTACGGTTTGATAGTAAAAATATGTTTACGTCGTGTTGGAAGATATCAAATGCTGAATAACAAAAACTGTGTAAACAAAGTGTTTAAATCAAACGATCCGATAGTTTTGATAGATCTGATAGTGCATGGGCACAGTGAACGGAAATTATCTGCCGCGAAGTGTTTCTATATTGACAGATTTCATTAACACCATCAGAAAGATAAATAGAATTAAACTTTTAGGAGCTTCGGCAAAATTTCCTTCGCATCTTATATAGGACCTCAGCAGCTTCTATATTTGATCATTGATTTGTGTTAGAGTCTCAGCCGGGGAATAACCCACAATTCAAGAATAGTCACCTAAGAGTTTCTAGCTGTCTCTATTTATGTTTATCGGTATAAGGGTTCTTAAAATATACTTATTACTTTGTAATATTACATAGAAAAGAACAGATATGAAAATTCAATGATTCCCGTCGACAGGATCGTACAGAAGAGCCTGATAAAAAGACTGAACATTAGGTAAGGACCAGCGTCCTTTATCGTTGTCTCACTTACGTAAAGTAAGCAAAAACCTCAACGTTGACAAATACGTCACATCAAGACGAACAATAAGTCAATAAAGCACTATATAAAGTCACTAAAATACCGCAGTTTATTTTCTGCAATAACTTCTCTCATACAAGATTTACGAGGCTTCAATTGAGAACGAAGTGAATCTTCGAATGTCATCGTAAACTCCACCAGATCATCTCCATATATATAGCAAGCATATTACAATCGATTTAAGAAGAATCGCCGCCGAAAATTGTCCGGATCTGCCGTTCCTGAGTATTTATACTCCATGCATTTTTATTTTTATAAAATAAATAAGTTTCGTTGATATTAGTAAACAAGGACATTATGAAGACAAGCGATTTTTTAAATGCAAATGATAAAATACCGGTGTGTAAAACAGCGCACTTTCACAGTATGTCATGCCCCTGATTGTATTGCTTGCCTCATCTTATTTTATACTCACAGAAGTACCCTCCCTCGTTGGATGTAGCATTGTATTCAATAGAACATGTTGCAAGTTTATGTCGAAAGCGGCCTTCATCCGTGAGCAAGCCGAGAATTAAGCGAAACAAAATTGCTAAAAAGATGTAGTTTTTAATTGGCTCATGTGACGTCAATACATGGCCCATCGCATTATCTGTCCGAAAATTATCATACTAAATACAAATCATTATAACTAAATTCCCCATATGCTTAGTACATGATAAGCCTTGAATGTTTCTGTTTTAATTAAAGATGATAGACGTTTATTTATTGTGAAAAGAGACGTTAAATTTGACAGTCACAATTGTTCTCGACTTCGCCACTTCTAGCCTCAGAAGAGTATCTGCAAAGGCACGTCTGATTCGAATATTGCACGAAACCGCTTATGAAACAGAACAACCAGTGCTTCACAGATGAGTCTTCGACTAAATCTCTTATGCAGTTTTTTATGCAAAATCGCATAATTACACTTAGCCACATGTAATTTGTCATTGCTTCTCATAGCATGAGGCTATAGTTATCATGCATATTGAAGCATTCTCTAGATAGGTATAACTGAACGTTCGTTATGATGTAACTTTGAAAATGTTCGGAAAAGTTTCGATCGAAATATTCCATTTGGCGGGTCAAGTCTCACCAAAAACAAAAGCACCAGCAGCGTCTCGTTTCATATGGTAGCCTAAAATACATGTGAGTATATCGATATGCCATGACTGGTAAAAGCCCCACTACTGCATAAAGAGATACGCCTGCCATGCATGTTAAACATATTTAGTGTGCGATACGCATGTATAGTACCTGTAGGTCTACCTTTCTTCTTCATTTTAACTCTACTTGAGAGCTTAATTTTTCTTTCTGTACACTCTGTTCCAGGATTATTCCCACTCACATCCTGCTTCTAAGAGCAGCTCAAATAAGCACAAGAAAACCATAGAGCTGAAATAATAATGTATTACCTGTATATATATATAGGTGTCTAACGCGTGTATAAAAGATGATTTAAGACCGCTTGACAATGCGACTTTTTTCAACCACCTAATTGACCATGCTTAGTTATTATAGCTCGCGTATGGGAAGTTGTCTGTTGTGCTCCCATTTGTTACGTTGTCCTTGCTCCAACTGCTTGTTAAACCCTGCATGCACATCGGTACACCGCAACAGATTCAACCTGCCCCAGCTGCGATTTGTAGTACCGACTGCCTCATTGCACTAGAGGTAAACCAGATTGGCATCTGTCACGCACCAGGTAGAACTTCAGATTTCGTATTACGGTCCTCCGGAGACAGTATTATCATTATGATTCCGTCCCTTAGATTCGGATAAGGATGGCTAAACTCGTTCCGTGTATTCTGCAGATCTGGCCATATAACAGAAGCGCTTCACCAGAAGAAAGGCAATACGCGTGACTGCTTTGTTAAGCAGGACTCATAAGACACCCACTTCGGAAAATTCGGAAATATATATATTATTATTTGCTTCTTTGTGATGTGTTTTCACAGAAAAAAGCGAACTCTGGAATTATTAGGCCTACAAGACAAAGGCGGACTCCCAAGCTTTATCAAACGAGATCTAAAGATAAATAGGATAAAACCTGGACAAAACCGCCCTTAAACAGCCATCTTGGCAACCATTTCAAATCGCGCGAATGCAGTTGTATACTACATGTTTATCTATCGGAGTTTTGTACATTAGTGTAGAACATCAGCGGCTCCAGTTTAGATTTTCGACATTTTGCTTTAAAAATTGAAATTTTATAACATTTGATATGGGAACTCTGAGCTAGATCTGCAAAAGTGCTGGTGTGTAACTTGTTTAGGAAAACGTAGACCGATCTGCACAGATACATGGTTTGCTAGCAACTAATTCGTCGGTGTCGTACGAAATCTTGTGCTGAAGCACAGTATCAGTTGATCCCGAGTCAACTCGCTTTACCTTATCAGATGTTTTGTAAATAATCGTTTAGATTATCAATGCATAATACCAGTCTTAAGAAATGACATATTATGGGGGGCCAGTCTCCTTGTTTCTTATAACGATTTTTATTTATTGTCCCTTTAGGATTTTTTCAATTTCTGCTTTACCAAGATTGTCCTCATCAGCTGAGACTATCAAAACAGGCTAAATAAACACAATACAGTATGTTTATGACAATTTCCTATATCGATCTGTGTTAATTCTATTTGTGACACTTCCAGCAGGCAGTAGGAACAACGATGGCAACGTTCTCCACACTGAGCTACTTGCAACCCTGTTTATTAAACAACCCATTCCGATGTCGCTTTCGCTGTTGTTGTCCTGCTCGCACGCTGCTGAAGCAAAAGCGCAACAGGACACATTGACCAAGGCTGTAATTAAATCGCCATTATCACTATGGTCCTTTTTGCGTCCGTGTTTACGTATGCCATAAGCTTCAGCCGGACATCAGCTCTTGTGGTGCGAGGGCAGATATGCTTAACACTGGGCTGTTTTTCCCTAGTCTGCTATACGTGAACGAGCCTTTGTTAATGTGTGCGCTCTTGCATCGCTACCGCTATTACGTACTACTACGGCGATACGTAAAGCCGGTACTGGCTAGTAGAAACGATTCGCATCTAGGTGGTGAGACCGATACCCAGCCAGTCTACTATGGACTGCCGCAACGGTCGCTCTTGCTGTGCAACTAACTGATCAACGACAGCAATATGATCATCACCAACAGCAAAAACCACAGCAGAAGGAATGGTACAGGCGCTCCTGTTGGCCATCCGCACACGTAGACGATAGGCAGCTATCAAGTCAAACAAAACGCAACGCAAGTAGCAATCGAACGGCAAGACAGACACGATAGCACCATCTACTTTTACTCAAACTAAAGATTGCCAGCGCGATAAAAATGAGCGGAACAGACGACGCTAGGCGCTGTTGAAGCATCGACAGCGGCTGCTACTGCGAAGCTCAACATAGAAATAAATATATGCGTATAGTCGTGTTGTGTTTATGTGTATCATATACTAATCAATATCTACTTATTTAACGGTCTACGGCAATATGAATTATATAAAAGGATAATCCTTGTTTGTTCATCCATTATCATCTTATTTAGTTGATGATGCTGATTCTGTACTCAGGCAAACGTCCCTTGGGTAACCTGATGTTATAGGTAGTTAGTTATAGGTAGTACATCCTCTGACTTATTATGCCCCCATAATAGCCTCTCGTAGTAGCACCGCAATGGCTATTTAGTCGATGTGTTATAATATGGATGATGAAATACTTCCGAGATATACGAGACCTTGATATTGTCTGTAATAGGACACAAGCTCGCTTACTTAACCTGCCTGCCGTTCCTCCAAGTCAATAATATTATTAACATAAAAAAAACAGTAGAAATTACTGTCATTGATACAATGGAACGAGTTGCCACCAGAGTGTGGGTGATTAATCCAATGCCCCCATTGGATGCACGCACAGAGTACAAGCACATAGCAGCAAATTCGCGCAGGTACCATATTTGGCGAGCGTAGCTTTTAATCGGCCGGAACGATCTCATAACTCGATGACTCCACTGATATCCATATCCAGCCTTGCAACAGGTTTACATAGAGTGAAAGTTTCTATTGAGTTGTTTGCTGACCCATGGGAACACTATCAAAAATGGCAGTAACACCCATTGTAAGGTCTGCAATAATTACTACAACAGGCAACGTTACAGATGGCTATTACAGCCGTATGAACTTTCGATCGTGAGCACAGGGATGCTGTGAAGATTATGTGCTTCGATAATCTCCTGTATTGACATTATCATGAGAACTGACAATGTTACCATTGGGCACTGCGTATGCTCTATTACGTACAAATCATCAAGCAGTGTTAGAGCATAGTACTTATATCAACTAGCTTCAAAACCATGACGTGTATATACTCACCAGACGAGTGCAATTTAGCTGATACTGCTGTAATGCTCAACTCATATAACGGGTGAGCAATGGCGAGTGAGCCGGTTGCCGAGGGTCCAGGCTCCGTAGCGGCCGCCATGGCGCGGCCAATATCTGACGGAGAGCCGTGGTACGGCACTTCGCAGCTCGCAGAATGCGCAGACGGAGTTAGTCACAGGCTAATTCGAACAGAATGACGGTGACGTTACGCACACAGCGTCAAATTTATATTTACACACTCCTAACTCCCACTTACTCCAAATGGCGAGGAATGATAGCACAGAACCAAAAACAACATAGACACTCTCGCACCTGCCTTCTTCCTGCGGCTGCTATTGCTGCCGCGGCAATACAGCCAGCTCGAGATTCAAGCCCGATGAAACGCAATTTTCTATGATTTAGCACACTATTAGTAACAGTAACAAGGCACTATTAACTCATAATAGTTGAATCGCAACTTATTGCTTGCAACAGTCGTAGGACGGAGTTGTTCGTATAGCTCTCACCAATGCCACTCTTCTCTCCACCGGTTGCTATTTCACTTTGTATGTACATATACTGCAATAAGGTAATTCGTTCTGGTCTTCTGTTGTAAAGACGGTAACGGCAACGATGACGAAAGACACAGCAACTGGTAAGCCCGAAGGCATTAGCTCGACTTTGCTTAAGTCGAAACAGCGGTGTGAACAGTCACGGAGCCAAACTCACAACAATTACGATACGCCGTGATCAACTAACTATTGGCTAGCGTTCCAATGGTCTGCCGCTGACCGACTTGACAAGTAGCCGTTGTCCCATCAGACACCAGCAAATACATCCAATCGTCACGCAATACACGCCAGCGACTCTTCAGTCCTCGGTCTCTTAAGTAGTCGCGGTCGTTCGTCACTCGCTGCGACCAGCGACTTCCAACAGCAGCTCCCTTGTACCCGGCCGTCGTTACAACAGCAGTAATACGGTCCACTCGTCGTCCGGCCCTGTGCTGCCATTCAAAACTGCTATGCCACTGCTGCGGCCGCTCACTCCTTTCGCCTTCTCTCGCCCTCCTCTATCCTCGTCCCATCTGTGTCTGTCTGTTGGTCCGTGACGAGCAGCCTTTGCTTCGCACTGCCACCGTGCTGTGGTAGTGCCTTAGTTATTATGTTGGCATGAACGACGCCATTTTGGTTATCGTCATCGGCGGCGGCGGCGGCGGCGGCGGCAGCAGCAGCAGCAGTTAGCGGCACAACCTCCGACTAGCCATACTTCAACTCTTCGTTCCGTTCCTACGAAAGCCGAAGACAGCGAAGGCAGGCAGCAAGGGGAACAGCTGGTCACTATCATTCGTCTGAAAGCAGTGCGACGTGAAGCGAAACGTGATTCGACTCTGTGTTCATGGCTGCAATCTCCCATAATGCCGTGGAAGTTACAACGTAATAGCTAGAACAGAATAGCACGGTAAGTGACGGGTTTTCAACTCGAAAGGTCCTTCAGTGTCGACCCGATCGCCCGACTGTTGTTGCCATGATGCGTTCATCCGACAGGACAAAGACAACGATTAATGGTGCAGATCAAGTCGAATTGGGGGACTGACTATTTGTAGTTAGTGTGATTGTTGTCGTTGTCGTTGTTTTTTGGTTCTTGTTATTAGCATTCTCTCTTTTCGTGCATTCTGTCATGGAATTTTCGATTGACATTGCTCTTTCGAGCCTTTTTTCTGCCTTGGTAAAATCATTTTACCAGCGGACATAGTGGTAATGGCTAACAATTAGCTAGGGGGTCAACTGTGTGTGTTTGTCGCCCCACGGTTGACTCAAGTGGCAAATGGCAATGCCGAACCAGACAAATACCCCTGTCTGAGGTCCGAAGAACGTGAAAAATATGGTTCCTTTAAATCTTTATCTCACCAATTAAAGTGACGATGCAATAACAAGCAGAAGCCTAATAAATAGGGAAAGTCGTACTAGACATCCCCCGGATTACGTCGTTGACACGAGAGATTTTACTAAAGCTTTTAGTAAAGGAGTTAAGTAACAGAACTACAGCGGTAGCATTTCGGAGCCAGAGACTTTTTAACTTTTCTATTGTCGGCAACGAAGACATAAAAAGGACTTACATATAATTATATGTAGGTGCGTTGTTATATATATATATACACTGGACATATTTATGAAAAATTATGATTATCACATTATGAGTATTTATCTTGTTTTTGTTGATACTGCATTCAGAAATAGGTTTACTTGAAAGGAACTTGAACGATTGAAAATGTCGACAACAAAAAGCTTCGCAAATACAGTATCTCGTGAGAAAACTTCAGGTCTGCCGCCGAACATGGTTACATCGACTAGCCTATCAAAGTCAACATGAGTTGTTCAAAAGGCGCAATTCCAACAGTTTTTGGCATGTTCGCTAAAATGATAAGAATTCATTAACTTTGTCGTTTTCCAATTTCATTTAATTCATTATTTCTTCGATTACAACGGCGATTCGAGTTTCGCGCTCCTTCTGTGTTTATTATCTCCTCTTTGCGGCAGCAACGGCCGCGGCAGCAGCAGCCGAGCAGACAAACAGAACCGACGGAGCTGCGCTTAAAGGCGATACCCGTCAACCCATTCGATCGAGCACTGCAGCGAACAGGCTACCTTCTCTGCTGCGACAGGCCAGCACAGAACATCTACGCGTGGAACGCATCTGCCTAAGTTGCAGATCGCGGCTCCGCTATCAATCCAACAATCGACCGATTTGTCGCGCTCGAAAATCTGTTGTGACGTCAAATTTTCGTCGACAACGAACACCGATCGAAGAAACGCTTTCTCTAGTAGAACGCCGTCGATTGACGTCTCGGCTGGATTTGAATTTTCCTCATACGTTCGCCAGAGTCGTCGTCTTTGCTTATCCTCCTGTTATTACTAGCAGAGTCAAAGCGGGCGACAGAGAAGTCTTTGCGAAGGCAGCCATTACCACAGTTTTAGATGTGGTGGCGCTGATGCTAATGGTGAAAAACAACTCTGTACTCAATCGCATTAGAGAGAACCAGCAGCAGCAGCAGCATCGTCACCACGAACAACAGCAAAGGTAGCAGCCGTTCCCGCAGCAGCAGCAGCAGTAGCAGCAGCAGCAGCAGCAGCAGAGCGGTGCACCGCCAGCCACTGCCGTGAAAGCGAGCACCCATAGTTGATCGGGAGTGTACGTAATTGTGTTACTACGTTCGCAGTTCCCAAGGCTGCTGCAGGTACTGCTATAAGCAGAAGAGCAATTGGTGGTTCTGCAACTGCTACAACTGACTGCTAGAATAGTGAGTGCGAAAACGACGAATTTCACCATCCGCAGGACAGGCGGAATCGACGGCCACTGTTGAAAACGAAGACTGCGTTAGACGGTGCTAGCGGACACTACTGACTGGGTTTTCGCTGCGCATAAGTCTCGAGGACAAAGCGTTTTCGGTGCGAAACCAAAACGTCTGGTCGGTTGCTGGATTCGATGTCGCTGTTTGTTGCGGGTGCCTATGAATGAGACAGGCGAATGCATTGCACAGGCGACCGTATTTACAACGGCAACAACAATAACGACAACGGCAGCGGTGACGTCTGTGTTGGAATAACGCTCGTAACACCTGCGGGATAAACGGCATTTACTGCACGGTACGCGCGAACGCTAGTACGAAGTGGAAGACGCCGTCAGCCAACTTCAGCCGGAGTAGGAGTAGCAACAGTAGCAGGGCCCGGTCAGTCGAAGGCAACATCTCAAAAGGTGTTGCGCTTCAAACAGCGCTTCACTTAGCAAGAAGTAGTGGAGCAGCAGCCCCGAAAACTGAATGGGGAATAGCAAACTACCATTTACCGTGTGTCTGAATGTCGTTGTCGGCCTGTGTGTGTGTGTGTGTGTGTGTGTGTGTAAGTTTGTGATGCCCATCTAGAACACCACGATCACGACCGTCAGCATCAGCACGACGACTTCTGCACCTGGACTCGAATAGTTGGTTAGATACAGTTAGTCTAAGTCGCTAGGGAGCCAGCGGCCTCAGTAATAGCGGTCCCACAATATGAGAAGCAGAGGTGGCCGACCGGTACGTAGGCAAAACCGAGGAAAACAATGAACGCACATACATTTTTGAGCGACATAACGGACATTATGCTCTTAGAGCATTGAGAATTTTCGAGTTTAAGTGCAAAAATTGAATTTGTAGTCTAGTTCAACTCAATGGGAAGTGGATTTGGGGTTACGCTTATTTGACGCCAAGACGCTAACTGTCAAAGAGGTGTTTCCTCATCAGTGTTTCAATCACGTTATCGTCACATCATCATCATTACCATCAAACGATGATGCATATTGTCTGCAACACCTAAACGATGGATGGAGCAGAAATGAGATTACGATACTCAACATTTAGTTGTTCCGTCGCCTCTTTTTGTCGTCACTTAGCGTGAATAGCTTTTCAAATCTTACTAATCAAGTACGACAGGAGAGGAGTTGTGCTAGAATGCGAAAGATCTTCCGTTCGCAGCTTCCCTTACGCTGTGCGGGATCGTAAACGACAACAAGACGAAGAAAAGCCATTCAGCACCGTTACAATCACATACTACTTTGAGTGTGTGCGCGGGTGAATCTACACAGATATTTCTTTCGTTTCATCTCGAGTAGTCTCGCCGCGTTGGCTGTGGTGCGAGCTTGTTTGCACCACGCAAAGGAGACAGCGACTCCCATCGTTGATGTTCACCCGTTAGATCGTCTTTTGGTGTCGACAGTTCCGCTACGAGGAAAGCCGTGTGCGGCAGACAGGCCAGCTGGGATAGCGGATTGTACCAGTGCTGACGCTGTGTTAGTGATCGTCGTGTGTCCCTACGAGTGTGTGTATGTGTGTGAGTGCGTGTGCGCCGTGCGGCAGATAGTCAAGTCAGTGACGGTGTTAAAAGCAGCCACGGTTGATCGTCTTTGTTGTAGTACGAACTGTAGCAGCGGCTGCAGCTGCAGCAGCGGCAGTAGCAGTGTTATTGCTGGTGGTAAATGTTAATAGCCTGACGTCTTCGTTCAGGTTGAGGGCGGGCAGTAAACCAACAGGCGGTCAGACTGGGGCCAGTGACGTCGAAACACGACGACGACGCCGACGCCGGTGAAAGACAGCAGAGGCCGTCAATTAATGTAAGCCGCCAGCATTGGAGTCGTAGCAGTGGCAGCAGCAGTACTGGCAGCATACGATAGCGATAACAAAGAAACGGCGAAGACTCAAGCTAAGACAGCTAGATCTCTCGAGACAGTATGCAGGATGGTGTCACTAAGCGAGCACGACGTGTTTTTGTGGTTCCGTCAACTTCCGTCGTATCGCCGCCTAGAGACGTTATGTCAGATCCTGAACGTCTGCGTACCGCTTGAGGTGCGCTTCGTACAGAACTATCTGACTAAGTTGGCGACGCGCGAACAGCTCTTTCTCAAAGAGCATGAAGTTCGCGCAAACAATCCCATCGATGTGCAGCGATTAGCTGAACATGGCGGAGGTCCCCTTGATGCCCCGTCACGATCCCGGCTGATTGTCTCGCTTGCATTGCTGCGCTGCGAGAGTACGCAAGTCGCAACAATTCTTTATAACGTTCTAACGGGTGGACTGCCTCAGGAAAAGAGTTCACTAGCGCTTGAACCAAAATGTCTTGAGGAATTGGTATTGCTGTACGCTATGTCAGCCCTACATCCGGCGTTTACCTACACCCAGCAGATATCGTTGGAGAGACAGAAATCGAGTCTCGAAAAGTTGACACCACAGTCAAATCAACCGACACAGCCAGCCGCGATAACCAACATGAATTCCAAGGGACCAGCAACATCAGTTGGGGCCGCCGGCGGAGTAGGTGGAGCGCCGACGGTCGGAGTAGCTGGAACGACCCAACCAGTTGGCGTGGGACTTGGTGTCGGTGTTGGCTTACAGTGCCCACCTGGTCAACCCGTCTATACGTATCCGCTTCCCGTCATCAGCTCGTTGATTCCTCCGCAATTTCAATGGTGTCATCCGCCACCGAATGTCAGCGTCAACGTAAATACCGTACAGATGCAATCCGTCGTACAACCTGGAGCGCCTCCGGGCTTCGCACCGAGTGGGGCTCCACCTGCACCCACGCCGCAGTCAAGCGCCAAACTCAACCAGGTGGGTATCCAATAGCTTTCGATTTTCTATGTGTATAGCTGAGCGATACAGAAGAAAAATGCACTTCGACGCTTGCAAGTTTATAACGTGTTTGTTTAATAAATAGCTGAATAATACTCAATTAGCGATATATCGTTACATAAAATTTCAATTTTTTTGTATATTATCGATTACTATTGACCTATTCCAAAGATAAACCAAATGCTAGCGTTGCGAATCTTAGCTTACCTCGCTAATCTTGTGAAAAAAGCTCACACGCCATTAGTTTTAGTCCTTCAAAGATCTCTCCCTTATCGATGTTATGAACAGACTTTTTTGTTGTGGTCGTGAAATTAGTAGACGCTCGTTCAAGAGTTATCCAGTAAAATGGTATTTAGCATCCAGTGGTCAATTAAAGGTAAATATATTTGTTTAAGAGTGTTATAGTAAACAGATAACTTGACTTAAACGCATAGTTCTAATGAAGGTATATGCTGAAATAGCTTAAAATCTTTCTGTAATACAGCGATCTAAGGAACTCCAAAACATGTTTAAACGTTTGGTTAGCATTAGAGACGTCAATACACATATAATAAAGTTCCCTCAGTACATATCACAAAAACTGCGTAAATTATAATTCGATTATATTTGTTTTTCTAGCCAGTAACATAGCAGACGCCTGTTTTTTGATTGTATATTACGCGTGCATCATAGGTGGTAGTAAAGGCCAATATTCCGGTGCATCCACAAAAGGTTTCGTTGTGCGGGACGTTCGCCGACGGTCGCCAGATGCATGTGGTCAAAGATTATGCGCAGATAGCCGAACTTCGAAACAAGCTAAGCAACTCGACGAACTCGTTGCCGTCTCTATCGACAATGTATAACAATAATACAGAGGCTGTTCACAAAGAGATTCGTGAGCTGTTCGATGAGATTTGCACTCATTTCGCCGATCTCGACATTGTGAGCAACTTCTTTGATCGGCATCATCCGACGACGACGCCAGGATCCGGTGTGCCCACACACACGGCTCAGGGAGGCCACGCCGGGTGTCAGACGCAAGCAAGTGGTCCTGCTACACTACACCATCCACTAGGACCTACTCGATTCATCGCTGCCCAACCTCCGCCGCTATACACGACAAATCAGCATCACCATCATCATCGAGCAGATGTTAACATTGCCGATGGCGCTGTCTACCAGGTGCTGCGCACCAATCAAATGAAGAAATACATTCCAAAATTTCATGACGTGGCGTCAATGAACGACTTTTGCGAGTTGACACCCGATTCGCTCAAGGCTCGAAATTTGTCAACCACAGCGATTCAGCGCGTGCAGCGTATCCAGGCGCTTAACCTGAATGGATCAACAGGAGGGGCAGATTCTGTGACAGGCGGGAATGGACTTGTTAGCCCCAGTGGCAACAACGGTGGCCCCCAGCAGCAGCAACACCAGCTTTGTGCCCCCTTGGCAGCAGTCATTGCAGGGGCACAAACCGGTGGTGCCGCAAGCTCTGAAGAGGATTCGACTCCTCCGTCATCGTCGCCTTCGCCGCCCAGTCATCAACCGCCATTCAACACGCATACTCCACCCCCGCATTATTACGGGACTGCAATCGTCATGCAACATACGATCGTTCAACCAGAGGGTGCCGCGTGCACAACTTATTTGCCAACAACCTACCCTGGTTATCATATCCCTACGTTTGTGGCTACCGCGCCACCCCAACAGAACGGGTTAGCTATATAGTACATATAATACGTTTAAATATCCAAATATGAAGATAGGACATGAAACTGGCATAGCTGCTTATCATTGACTCGACATCAAGAGACCGTAATAAATATGCGAAGTCGAATGAGTTTTGATAATTATACATACTATTAAATAGAATGCACTATATAATGACAAATGATAAGGTCTCAGAGTCGTCCGTGATCTACGCAAACACTCCCATACTTTGTCCTTTCATTAACCTTCATCTCCCATGTCTTTAACGCCATTTTGGGTTGTATTGCATTTCGTTACAGAGTCGGTTACGTAACATCACAAGGCGTCCAGGCAGTTACATCAAACGGTCAACAGATGGTGCACCATCCGATGTTGGTGCACACGCAACATAGTGGGCACGCAGGACATCATTCAACTAGTGGCCAACACGGTGGCGGACATGCGCCACAGCAGCTGTTGAATGGCAGCGTCGGTGGCCAACTTCACAACGGTCAACTTCATAGCGTCACGGTAGGAGGCCTTACGGTGGCTACGGGCCTGGCGCCTCCGCCCTCCGCTCCTCACGGGCCTCTTCTGCCGCCCACAGCGACGGCAGCAACCGTGGTCACAAAGGCGAATGAAAATTGCCTGCACACCACGTCCACAGCCACACAGCAGGTTTGTGTTGTATACAACGGTATCGTTTAGTAGCACTTGTATGACTATGCTTTGGATTGGGCCGGTTATTAATTATTTTCATGCAATGACCAGTGAATGGAGTGATTAATTTTTTTTTTTGTTTCCATTCTGTGTCGGTTTGTGCTTCATGCTCGCGTATTTCGTACGTGAAAATACGAGGAAACAAAGTAAAATAAAACGTTGTTTGTAATAGTAGACAACGTTTAGTAAAACAAACAAAGCAAAATTTAAGAGTGAAACTCGAGCGCGATGCATTTATCGTATAGGCTAGCAACATATTTATTGCGTTCATGTATAATATAGCATAAGAGGCCCCAGACATTACAAATCTCAATAGCAGCGTTGTAGATCTGCAATTTGTAGACGCGGCCTGGGTGGACCTCCAAACCGTTCGAGCGTTTTGCTAATGATAACTAAGAAAATCTCTGCTGTCTAATCGCATCTAATTTAATTATTTTTATTTATGCTGTATTAATTGTCATCCCTTATGAAATAGTTGCCTTCGGGGGTTGTCACGGTAACGCACGGCGGGAAGTTTTTTCCATCTTCCCCAGTAGCGGCAGCAGCAGTACCCCCTTCCCTAAGCCCACTTTCTTCACAACCTCCTACAGCATCGGTGGCAGCCGCCGCGGCCGCAGCTGTCGCTGCAGCAACGGATGGCCACAGCAACCACACGCTAGTACAGCCGCAACAAACACAACAGCAGCCCCAAGCACCCCAAACTCAGCAACAACAAACAGCTCAACCGGCACAGCAGCAATCGCAAGCACAGGCGACCCAGCCCCAACAGCAACAACAACAGACCAGCCAAGCCCAGAAACAACAAACCCAACAACTGCAGCTCCGGTCGCAGCCTCCTCAACAACAACAACAACAACAACAGCAAGTACAGGCAGCACAAGCAGCGATAACAACACCTGCGACGATGTGATTCGTAGAACAACCATTAGTAGCCGCTTGGAGCTAGCTTGTCTTGTTTTGTTTTGGCTATATTATTAACACCAGTGAGATAACTCATTAGTGTAACTATTATTATTAGATGAGAAGAATTAGCCACGATAACAATAATTGATTAAGCAATAACTCGTTGATTGACTGCTGGCAAACAGACAGAAGGCTGATAATTATTATCGATTCCTAGTTAACACATTATTGTTATTATCAGGCCAAGTCGTTCACGCTTGTCAAATCATACTCGCTATCGACAGAATCAAGGTGTCGATATTAAGAAGTTATGATTATTTTATAATTAATATTATCGAACACCAAAAATTAGGCTGATTAGATGACGATAGATATTATTGTCATTATGACCACTAATATTATAATAGTAATAATTATTACTATTATTCTTCTTTAGACTGGTTGGCTACTCGAAGCTAAGTAGTACCTAGATGATCGATCTGTAATTTTTTCGTTACACGAAGGTTCTATAATAGAGAAAACAAAAAAATATAAATATGATAACAATATGAAAAATAATGAGCAAATTATGGGAGCGCGCTAGAATACTAAGAGGGAACGGGTGCTTGACACCGTCACTTAGGGTAGTTTTTACAGGGGCAAAGTTGAAGTGGGATGATCAAGAAGTAATTATTATTAATCACGATAATAATTACGATACTATGATATACGTGACATAGTGGACAATATTCAATTCAAGAATATTGGTTGATGTTTATCGGGATCTAGTCTTGGTATACCTGATGACTTCTAATGCTATATATTTGTTGATTAATTATATATAGAAAGAAATATCAACGACGTACAGAAAAACAATACGGTTAAGAAATAGCTAGACGCTTTGTAGATTTATTGAACAATGATCGACTGAAGGATTGTACATATCTCTATACAAATTAACTATACATATTGTAGTCGGCGGCGATATCGCGAATGATGATTATTATTGTTTATGAACTGACTGATTGATTTTAGTGTAAATGTGTTGTAGACGAATGCATAATAGCGACAAAAAGATTACTTTTAGTCGAAATTGAATTCATAATAATAGTAATAATCATATTGACAACAATCGGCGGCGGAGCTTTGGATTTTGTTCGCTACGCGACAGAACGAACAGTTCGATACAACGACGTTAATGACAGCACTAGCAGACGACAAAATAAAACTACATCCTATAAAAATGAATGTAGCATGGGGCAGAATAACAACCATTTGAGCAAAATTTGAAATAAGTCAGTGCGCTTTCGGAGGACCTTATATTAGAAAACAATAAAGCGGTCGGCGAGGACTTGGCTAGTAACCAAACAGCTTCACTGCAGATACAGTAGCGCTGTAAAAAAAAAAAAAAATAGAGAACTTTTCAATCAAGTGCGAATAGCACGATTTTGATTTTTGATCAAGCTATACAGAGTTGTTTCCTTTTTGTTTCTCCACAAACAGACGGCACGGAAACCATAGTGATGTTTGCCGGTTACAGGACATGGTCCGGAGTAAGGCCACGCCATTATAGCTCATTGAGTTAATGAGAAGAGGAGGTCAGATGGCCGTGGTTCATGACTGAAGAGTATCTTTGTTCCTTTTCGCTCTTTGAGTCAGTCTAGACCATCAATGAATCTCGTATTTACTGATATTGCTAGCTTATAGATGAAGCTATAGTCATTAGGTTATGTGTTAGTCTCAATGACACGCACAGTTGTGGAAACGTTTAGTAGTCATTGGAGTGGAGTTGTTTGAGCGAAACCACAAGTCACAGAAGATGACGGCATAGTACGTAGACGAATATTGTCACTGCCATATGATTGGACCGAGTCATGGCTAACTCAAGAAACTAGCACGCCCTAAAGACTCAATGGCTTTTTATGACGAATGGAAGACTGAAACATGGCCGTGATCGCGCACGTAGCTTGGGTCTTTTGAGGTATGTGAAATGACCGTTTTTGGGATCTCGTACCAAAAGCCGATTTCCTTGTTACAATCGCGTCTTTTTTTATTCACGATGGGCCAGGATCATAAAGTCATTCTATGCATTGTCTATGAACAGAATCAGCGAACAACCCTCCAGTGGTTGTGTTTATATCGCGTCTGTAATCAGGTGGTTTAGCGCGTTGCCGTCGGTGTTTCGCTCAATTATCTGAGATCCAAAAAAAAAAACCCTGAATAGCCAGTCAACCACCGATTTAATCCATGAGGCACCATTCATAAACTTGCTTTTACGGGGTCTGGCATAACAGCCTGGAGCGCTCACACATGCACCATGAACTATTATCCTAAGTGAACCTCACCGTGAGGAAAGAATTGTGACTCGTCATAGTGCTAAGAGGGCGTGAAGAGCACTGCTCAATTTGCAGCGAATGGTTTCTTAACAGCGTAGCTCATCAACTCTTCTGCAGACATTTTAATCCTTCGTGGTGTTGCGAAGCTACGGCGAAGTTTTTCCAGCGTTATGTTACGATGCCTGTTGTTGCTTCAATGCTGGCCTGAGTCTCCGCAGATCTCATTTCCTGTGCACACCGCTATTGTGCCGCGGCTGTCTTGCGGCTTTGAAGACCACTCTCGTCTATCTGATCTCCAACAGATTGGTGGTGCTATGATACAGCGAAGTGTCGTGTTGTTGGCGAGTGCAGAGAAGCTCTCGTTTAAAATACGTTTAGCATTTGCTTTCGTCAACATTTTACATACATGCGTAATATACTCGTTTGAGATTATAGCAAATAATATTTTATCGATTCTAGAATTGCATAAAGTTTATTGGGAGCATGACACTCTCGGTAATGGCGCGGTGTTTCGCAACCAGTCTGAGATGTCCCATAAGAGAAGTGATTTACCGTTGAAATGGACGAACAGTGTTCTGTTCAGCTTAGCCGTCTTCGTTGCAAAAATACGTATTCTACAAACTAATAAATATAAATAGTTGATAAAGTGTGCATGTCGATGAATTGCGAAGTCGCGAAGAAAGAAAGATAACGTGTCTTTATCGGGAAAATTGCTAATCAAATATCAAGACATTTATACGGCTTTCGGAAGTAATGTTCGTGATAGTTCCCATGTATACTTTGAGGCGACAATTTTCGTTTTGGATGCTGTAAGTTTTTGTTTTCTAGCTATGTGAACTACGGTTGCTCACCAACTATATATTATTCATCCGAATCATCCAAATCCATTACCAAAAGTTCATCATTTTTATGATTTGACCTTATGCTTGTATCGTATGTTCTTAGCGATTATTTGCCTCTTTGTATATCGTGCGCATGCTATTCTGCTATTATTACGGCTTAGCGTGATCTTTGGTCTATCATTTTTGACTCACCAAGTAAGCTTCGTCGAGCTTTAGTTTTATTTACATTCAACACCTCTACAAATATACCTCTTTTACTCGTTCCGACAAGAACATAGATGGAGCAATGATAACGAGATTATTATACGGACCATAACAAAATAGTAACGGTGCTAGAAACAGTACGAAATTCAACAACAATAATAAAATGAGTATTACTGTTGCTTTTAATTCTATTATTAATATTATTATTATATATTATATAACTTATATATAAGTACATATAGTAATGCTGTTGTTTCCATATATATAATCAAATGTGTCAAATACAGGCGTTTCTCACAAATGACACTATTAGCGTTAAACCGGCTTACTCTAGGCTTAATTTTATCATTAAATAGTGTTATATCTGTACATGGCGTTACACGACCGTTAAGTATTCAATTCAGGAGAGATACTGCACACAGATGCAGTATGTGCCACCCCAACATTACGAATCACTCGCCGTTTTTGCGTGACTAAAACGGGTCGCTCAAATCGCAGTGCTCAAATCAACAACGAAAAGGCGAAGCTAGAAAACCATCTTTTTGTTATCTGGTCCTGTAAAAGCAATAATAATAATAACAATAGTAATGACAAATCATTAGCGGTCTCTATTCGTTCTCATTAAGTGCTACATATACACGTTGCTGACATAAAAAGAACATTGTCTTTTTTTTCATTTTTATGTGCCCTTTTGAGTAATTCAACAGCAGTTGTAACTCGGCAGCCGGTCTTAAACAGCCCTCGTTCGATAATCATTGGCGGCGTTGATTCGCGCGTATATGTGATGCTGTGGTCCTTACTGCTAACTACAAACCATAAAACTAGTCTGTAAGTCTGCGTCTTTGAATTTTCATCTTTTTCTTTATTTGCAATAAAACTGAACCGATTTTTTTTGTAAGCCAGTGATAGCATATAATGGTACAAAATCCGAGCCCGCATGATCGTCAACAGTAATAAAAAAAAAAACCTTAAAAAAATGTCAGAAATACACAAGTATAGAGCATGTACTAACTTTTTCGATGTTAACTATTACGATGTTTCCAGCTTCGATAATAGATGAAAGATCAAATATAATATATTAGTGCACAATAGGCAATATATTGGACTTGACAACTGTATGACTAATATTCGAATTTATTAATCAGCGTACATTAACCTGGCCGCACTTGCTTGTAATAATGGTATTCAACAATATTCACCATGATAGCAACGAAGAATTCAACATATAAAAAAAAGAAACAAAAATAAGGTATGCCTGGGCATCGATGTTAAATACCGATGGACACGGGCCAACAATTTATTTTATTCTTCCTCATTGTGTTGTGCTTTGGATAAGTTAATGATTAAAAATCGAAGTTGCACACTTTACAGACGAAATGTGGTGCTGATGCTAAAACTGTCGTCGCAACTGTTTGAATTTGATTCGCTGCCAAACATCGTCAGTTTTGGGACTCTGAAAGGAGGAAACCTTGCCGCAATCTGAAACATTGCTTGATTTATACGGAGTGATATCGTTTCGCTCCGGACAGGTGCGCTCTTGAAATAAAATTACCACACATGTATGTCAACCTTTTTATGCAGAATAAGCCTCTTAAATGTTTGATTCCAAACGGACACGGCCTAGCCCAAATTGTATTTGTCCGGTTCGGCCTAACGAACAGCACGCACGCATGCTAAAAAATGTTTTTCAGTAGCCCTGTAGAAATTATTGGACCGCTATAAGCTAAGGCAGTTGAAAACTGCTTATTATAGAAAGAATGGAGTTGACAGACCAGAAAAGCATTATATATGGGACAAACTGGATGCGAGATCATAACCTATGACCCCAGGAGAGGTCGAAATTCAGTCATCGTAACAAATTCTAGTCAGATTGGAAAGCAGCTACCAAAAGTCTTTCAGTCAAGCGCATTACCCAGCCTGACTGGCCCTGACATACGTACATCCGCATGCATCACGTAGCTTCTATGGTAACCTTGTCAAGGCGCACAAGGTCAGCGCATCCAAGATTTTTGCGTTACGATGTCTGATTGTTGATATATTCAGTTTGTTTTTCTACTTTCTTTCGCACATTTGCTTTCATATCTTTTAAAAATATTAAACGCATCTAACGATCAAACTTGGTAGAAATATCCTATGTATGGCCATACAAAATCGAGAGATAAGGCCCTGGCTCATAGTCATTAGCCTTTAATATTCTACACGAAGGAATGACTGATCTTAGAGTATTGTCTAGTCTCTTTTTCTAAGGTGTTACTTGTTGTGCTGACATAATTGAATATAAGACAAGGAAATATCCATGAAGGTGACTAACGAGTAGATGGGGGCAGACGTTTATGGAAAGGACGTTGGAAACAGTATGTATGGAAAGAAGTTGTATGGTTACCTTGAAGCCGCTTTGTCGTATGTACGGCAGGGTTCGGGGCTTTTTCAATTTGGCCCGCAGCATCAGGCGTTGGGCAATCGCTAAGCTGAACTCGGCTAGTGTCGTAAAGACTAAGCTAGGATCTTATGATTTGAAACGTAAATGGATAATATTGATGGGTTCAATTCGATAAGAACTTAAATCACTGTTACCCTATATATATATATATATATATATATATATGATGAAGCAACGAACTGCAATACTGGATGCAAAAAAAGAATGCTCTGATATGATTCCCGCAATTTTTCTTGCTGTAAAAGTAAAAGTGCCCAATATATTGTATGGTTATAGATGTAATGCAATGTACCGTAAAATTCTGTAGATTAATTCTGATGATTATTATAATAAAGAGAAGCGGTGATATCGATAAAAAAATACTTCATGAGCATTTACTGCTCTGCGTTAAATATATATCGCGCACTCCACGACAAAAAAAAGATCGATTTCACGGAGAAAAAAATCTCAAGAAAAGCGGATACATTTAACCGTTAACTAATATTTTCAGCTAATATAATATTATGACCTTAATTAGTATTATTATTTTAATGGTCGTTAGTGCTATACTTAAAGCAGGCCATGTTACTCCGAAATATCTGGTCATGAGTAAAAAAAAATATATGTAGTATGAATGTAATAATCGATCATCCGTTTGTTGATTAGGATATGTATTCTGGTGATGCTCGTTATAAATATTGGATAATAATAATGATAACGATAACAAGAAGCAAAAAAGGTACGGTCCTTTTTACCAACAATTATCTGCCGATTATATAGATAAAGTACAGCGTTGATAATGATTATAATAGTATCAACAATATCAAAAATATCAACAATATTATATAGCATGTAATGATAAAAGTAACAGTGATGAAGACAACAGTAACATATTCATAGATAAGCGAAACCACATAATGCTCTTGACTGCTTCCCATGTCCCCTGAGCGCGCAAGCGTCAAGTGGCAGGGAATGATCGATCTTACGGAAGCCTTTGATGAAAACTGTTGTTCGTAAAGGCGCTGTTAGCGAGTGTATGTACATGCTAGATAGTGGCCAGAGAATGGTCTGGCAAAAACAAATTCTTGTATGTGAATTGAATCTTGTTTACCTGTAAACTGCTTTTGCCAGTCGGCCAGCAGCTGCACCTATAGTAAAAGCAGTCAAAAGGATACCGTAGCACCCATTGTGCGTATGTACTATCCGCAACGACAGGATAAATGGCCCGCGAGACGAACCTTCAGAAGACTCTCGTCAATGAGATGACTGAAACATGGTTGCTTAATGAGATACTGATGATAAAATGGTGTGGAAACAATAATAGAAATGATGTTGACAATACAGATAATTATTATGATGACGACGACGACGACGACGGTTATGACGTTGATGGGGCTCATGCATCGATGCACCCCATCGGCATCTATCGTTAGGTCTCATATATATATATATATATATATATATATATATATATATATATATATATAAATGTATTATAGATCAATAACAACCACTGATTGCTTGGTGACTGCATCGTTGGTAATAGCTATAAGTGAATTAATTAAATGAGTGAATGATAAGCTTGCTGAGCAAAAACACTGAGTGTTTGATTGACGATGACCAGTCGAATGAGATAGCTAGTGATTGACTAAAAACTATACGACAGTAACACCCGATTGACACGAAACAATTAACGAGTAAGAATATCCTGTCTCGTCGGCACGTCGAAAAGACTAATAGGCAAAAATTAAACGATGGTGAACAATAATCATAAACAACGATTATAATAACAGTAATAATAATAAACAAAAGGAAAACGCTGATTCCCTAAACAGTCAGTAATATTTACCGGTAACGACGGTAATACTATAAAAGTGATTGTTTCATTGATGCGGGACAGATTCGTGTGACAGCAAAAGACAACAGATCGCAGATACGACAAACAGTTAGAAAAATAGTGGATCTTGCACAGTTTTTGTTTCTTTTCGCGGAAGTGCGTTTTAAAGCATACACTCTGCTACTCTAGTTCGCGGGTAATGGCGTCGGATAAATGAAAAACGAACCTGTTTTAAAAAGACTGCTAAAAAAAAGTGATGCTTGAGATATGTTGACAGTGACCGAGCTATCTATTACGACGGCTTGATTATTCCCATACGAAAAGACCAATACAATCGAATAATACTGTCAATTCGATTTTCGATTCAAGGCAGTTTCAGTGGAGTATGGTGCGCACCAAGCAATTATATGTATAGCTTTATTGTCACTATCGAAAGGCGGGGGACAGGGGAACCGCTAAAGGGAAAAAACAAAGAGCCAAATAACCTAATTGTATCCCCCTAACTTTATACGCTCTTTATTTTCGACTATTACTTATTCCTGCGTTGCAATGCACCGTACATGGAAATCCTTTTCCACTTTTCATCGACTACTTATAAGTCGGTGACTTCCGCCGCAAAAATCCGAATTAAGGCACCGTTTATAGCTAGCTATAATCTGAATGCTTAAATATCTAAATAGCATTTGACCAATTAAGTTTAATAAAGATTACTGAAGAGCGTTGTTCCATAATTAACAGCAGAACTCATTTTTCGTTTGGCAAAACAACGATCTCATAAAATATAAGCACTATTGGGTTCATATGTTTCACATGCCCAAAGAACTCGTTAGACTTGCGCAAGGATAAAAATAGGAATGTCAAAAGCCATGAAGACCAAAAGCAAGCTTTCCAAAACAGACATGTAATCTTTAAGCAAATTTTACGTCTCAGTTCACGTGATCTTCGAAAAATTGCTTGCATTTTCAATCCAAGGAATCGCTTGACTGAAAGCCCATTGGATCAGTATCTGCAAATGACTTGGAAACCAGACTGTTTTAAGTCAATGCCGACACTTCTTTTTTAAGCGTAAACACCTTTGCTGCCTTCCATAAAGCCTACACATCAGCCAACTTATATACACACACAAAACGAACATTTTTAACGACAACACATACTTGAAAACGTATAATTTTTTCCTAGGATATTACTTTAAGAATCATGTCTTGTTAGGTATATATACTTTTTGGTGATCGATCCTCGGCCTGAAGTGCCTGGGGAATCACTCAGGGCACTTCTACGATAGTTGTGAGGTGAGCGCACATGGCCTTATAGCTAGGCAACTTCTACTTTTCGCCAGGTAATCGTATAATTGTTATGGAGTCGATAGCAAGCTCATCCTAAAAACATAAATTTAATAACAAAAGGCAATATAAGTTAATAATTTGTTCGTATTATTATTTATTTTCCTTGATGAGCATATTTAAGCATATATAGAAAAAAAATTTGGTCAGTTTTTTAAGATTTTAACTGTTGCTTCAAAGTAGTTTAATTGAAACAAACCATTAAGAGCATGGCACGAAGACATACCTCAAACAAATTTTCTCGTACTATACTTGAAACTGATTGTCATCGCATTTTATACAATATTGTTTATCACAAGGCAATGGTGCTGAGAGATTTCAGTTGTTTTTTCATAAAGTATTGATTTTCTGGGGCTAGAAGCACAAAAGACCGGGAAATATCTGAGTTTGTAGAAACAATGTCAGCGATTCATCCACCAAAAAAGACAAATTCAGCGATAAAACGATAGTATCTAACAAGACTAAATTATTTGCGTGTTTCTGTATTCTGTAATGGAGGGTATAATTCCTATGGAGCTCGAAAAAAATAGCAGCGCAGAATAACAAATAAGAAAATAATTATTTTCATTGATTTGATTGTTCCTTTTCTATTGCTTTTGCGCATGTGTAATATCATGTATTCGTTTTTTGTAGCGTGTATTAACTTCAATTTGTCTGACCACTATACCGTTGAAATGAAACCGGTAAACTGAACCTCAGAATTATCTAATCTTTATTACTGATGTCAATGCATAATGATTATAATAACCAAACAGCTATAATTCTTACAGTTTGACAAGCTAAATAACTGGTTATAGGAAACGCAATAACCTAACAAAGACAGACGGCAAATGACATGCTTTGTAAATGAACTGTACGTCTGCAGTGTGTTAAACGTTTAGACTACATCAGAAGGATTTCTCCCACCAATTTGTCGGGATAAAGTCTGACCCTTATGTGCGTACCATGTTCCAGCGAGCTGTCGTCTAAAACTCGTGCGTAATAATAATTATAATAATATGATGATGATAATAATAAGAATAGGACAATATGGTAAGGATAACCGTAATATTGACAATAATAAATAGAACATAATAATAATAGTAATGATAATAATAAGAGAAATAATGATGGCAAATAATGAGTTTACATAACTATACCTAATGTAAGAGTAGAGATACTCATCAAACTACTATGGTAGCAAGAATAATAATATTGATAATATTAACAATAATAATGCGTTATACATGCCATAATATGCCGCCAGCCACTAACCTGATATAAAAGAAAAAAGAATTCGAGTAGAAAGAGGTTTAAATAGCTAACCGTTGTTTTAAATTGAAACATACAAAAAAAACAAGCGGTGAAAGAAGACGAAAAGCCTCCGTTATAGTTGTTCCAATAAAAATATTGTAACAACTTCGCCTACAACAGCTGTGACAACAGCAGCAGCTATGAAAAGTTAGGTCACGTAAACGTCTGTAAACAACATGGCTGTGATGCATATTCATTCCACTGTACACGACGACAGCCAATATATAAATTGACTGGAACATTAGATTATGTTGCTGCTAAGGGCACATGAATTAATTACGAGAAGTCTGAAAACGAACGCTCTCCATTGGAGATGTAATTGCGCGACGATCTATAGGCCATTCACGATGTACTGCTCATACACTGACGATTAACAGACCACGGAGTCAACCTTGCCAGGTTAAGGTTGCTCTGACTGAGTCGATATGGAGTGAGTCGGAAATGTGAAGCGGCAAATAATTTCGCCTCGTCCAAAGAGCTAAATGTATGCGGAAGTCAGCCATATACCTGCCGCCCTTCTCCGGAGACTGGTGGAGTTGACATCTAATAGTAATTAAGAGAGTTCGGCAATAGCTTGTTGTAGTATCTTACAAATGTAACTTATAATATATGTACACAACTGGATAGAGGAAAGCAAAAGGTGGTGTTGTCTGTTTCGGACCCGGAAAGAACATTATATTATAACAGAGAATCCAATCTGGCAACTGCTGGAGGCCTTTCTTTACCTTGTTTTGAAGGTGCAACATATGATAAAGAATAGTGGTTAGAGGCGGGAGGTCTTTGCCGACGCAAATGCCGTAAGACATCGCCACACTAGTGAACTATGCAAGTTCTTGCTGTTAATATGAACGGTCAACAGATAGAGTCAACGAAGTGTCCGCTCTCATCTGGCGGATCAAATTGACAGTTACCACTATCTTTTGCGCTCTCACTGAACCGAAAAAACGGAGAATGCTTATTGTATTCTCCATCGATTTGCTGCGGAATAAATGCTTGCCCTTTTCTTGCGCCCTGACGAATTTTTCGGTCGGCGTTTTGGCGCTTTCGGCAACTTCATCCCCGTCAAACTCATGACGAAGTTCCGATAGGTTGCAGAGATCAAAGGACTCGGGAATAATCCAATGACGATGTGCATAGATTGCAAACCATACTAGCCTTTTACATGCACTTCTTTATGGGAAAAAGGATAGCGACAGGAGAACGAAGGAAATCGCAGTGCGGTTGACTAGCTGACTACCCCAATGCATAACGGTAAATAGCACACAATTGCTGTCTAGTTGTGGGGTAAGTTGTAGTCACGCTTTTGTCGAAGTATTATTGATTGAGCAGTGAGTGGTGGCGTATGCTGTCGATACGGGCTAGAGCTGCGTGTGGTTACGGTGAGGGCCATATACGGCTAGCTATTATACATATAATACATCACAGACAACGTACGAACCGGTCGATGAAACAAATTTGCTGCGGTTGGTAATAACTTTTCTCTTATAATGGCTGGTTGTTCAAACAGGTTATTTGTTACCTGTATCATTAAAATAACTTGCCATTACCGAGCATCACAGCAGGACTGACGACGATTATAACAAAAAAAAACAATAATAATAATGTGTTCTGTGTATTTGAAGGATTTGTAATTTATTCAACAGTACCAATAATAAAAATAAACTGATAATAACAGTAATAACAACAACACTATAAAGCAAAAACGTCAACTACGAAAGAAGCAACAAGAAACGCGACAAAACTCGATTATAAAAAATGTAATGATAAAGCTGGAGGTAATTAATTTTGAATAAAGCGCGATTAAGGGATTCCACAAAAATCTGCGTCGTTCATGAACAAAATGACCGAAGTATTTAAAAGTAAGGAAAATACCGCATTTTTCATAATGTAATTAAAAAAAATAATCTGCTTATAAATAATTAGTGTCTCTCTTCATATTCTCCGTACCTCAGTCACATGAATGTTGGGTAAATTCGCAAGAAGTTTACCCAACATTTATGTGATGGGAAGGTAACTACTTTTCTCCTCTTATAACAACAAGAACCAAGGTAACTTCCTCATTTATTTCCATGTTAATCACGGACGATTTAGAAGGCGAGCAGGATGTCTTGGTATGGCTTTACCGTTTTTTATTGTGAAGCAATAAATTACTAGCGTAATTTGAAATCAATAAAATAAATATAACATAAAATTCACCGAACAGTTATAATTTCTCCTTCCTTATTACATACACAATTGCTCTAGTTTCCATAGTTTAAACCGCCAGCCTTCATATGTTAATGGATATTTCAGCGATATCAGGAATGGAGAGTATAACACCTTGTTTAACGTAACGGTTCCAAAGCACAGGCGCCCCTATGCTCGGGGGTGCCGTCGGTCCATGGGATATTATCGAACCATTTCCTTCTCCATATTGATGTTCCATCCAAAGAGCGATACCGTTGCTTTTAGCAATTCTTCTGCAAGAATAAAAAAGCAATAGGGACAAACTGGCGTTAGCAGACAAAACGACATCTGCTTTGGTACTATGAAGAATACAATTGCATACACTATGTACGCATGCAAATGCTTGCGTGCGAGTCAACACACAGTTAAATGCAAGTAAGGCCGATGTTTACAGATACATTATTCTGTTGCTCCATAAACGCACCTGTTTGTTTCAATAGATGCAGAACACTTGAAACGAATAAGAGTCAGGATACATACGTGAAATTCAAAACAGCTCCAGATTTGATGTCTTTGGTAAGTGGAATTGAAAGCCCGCGAGCCACTCCTTCATACTCCCACAAAGGCTGGGTTTCCAAAGGGTCCTTAGCTTGGCTCGCAGCAGCCTGGGATTGAAATTCGCGAGATAACGGAATCAGGTTTGCATACATGGCCCTCTTAAGCCAGCCCCAACCCAGTATTGTATAAATTTTAGGAATCTACCGAAGTTATTTACTAAAAGGCACCACCTGTCAGGTAGGCACCGCCTATACATACTATTTAAGAAAAGGGCTACAATATAAAACCATACGCTTCTCAAAAATCCTGCCAGTTAAAAGTAAACATTGGATACTCAATTAATAATCCTTTTTTACTCCCAGTATTGTAAGAAATGGCATATTTTACGTTTTTCAGGAAATTGAAGCTATGTTACAGCAAGTTCAATATTCTCAAGCATATTTTTTCGATTGTTGTTCAGTCCATCATATTACGCAGAGATATGCCAGAAATGATATTATCATGCTGTATAACACATACCTCAATGAACTTACTATACTCGGTTAAATCGAGTCCAACGGTTTTTACAATAGGAGAGCGTATTTTGTACAGATGTTTGAAGTCCATCTCCATTGCCATCAAATAAGAAGTATGCGGTAATCGGCGGACACGCTGAACGTTCAGGGATTTCAGGATAACATCGAGTGCTTGCACACTCGCCCTATGTTGACAAACACCAAAGGCGTATAGTAGCAAAATCAGTTGAACATTATGTTGTTTTATACGTAAAACATCAATTATCTAAGTTTATTATATGGAATAAAAATTTACCTCATTAAAAAGGGGCCTGACTTTGACGAATCTACGATCTGTATGAATATATAGTATATATAAGTTTTCTTAAGTGACTTTATAAGGTATTTTATATAATAATAATCATAATAATAATAATGATGATAACATCGTACCATATACATCGATGAGAAGTTTAAAATGAATGAGAAATTAACTTAAATTCTTAGGCAATATAACATTGGTGAACTTTTGGTATGGCTTTATATTACGAAGCACGATCAACAGCGGCTACCTCAAACGATAAGAACACTTACACCATCTAGTCATGTAACCTATGCCAACAACACGGATTTAATAATAATCAGTTCAATAATTATAACGAACATTCGGTGCAAATTTTTCATATAAACTAACCGTTATAAGCCATTGGTTTGTGTCACTTGTAAAGATCTCATATATTACTAACCAGGGTGTCATCGCGAAGCTGAAGCAGACGTCAGCAACGACAAGCTCGATCGAGCAAGAATTGTTCTCTGGATCAAAGATATGACAGTTCTTAACGCCGTTCATCTCGATGATGTTTCGTGTAAGCTCTCGCGTTACTTTTTGATTGTCCTGGATGGTTATAAAACAATGGTCATTTTTAGCTTTGCACATCTAAAACTAACATGTTTCACTGCAAAGTGTGCAGATGTACTCAAGCTTCCTACCTTTTCACTTAAAAAAATTAAAAGTAAATTAATCCAAATGTACACACCATTAATTATTATCCGTTTGCTATTTTAAAGATACTACGTGTAAAGTGTTTACTAATCTACCACGAATTTTCTACAAGTTTTTTGAGGGGCTTATTGAATAACATAATGTATTAGAGTTTTGATTTAATTTTATAGATTCATATGCTACAAAGAGTAATGCAAGTATGCAAGCTTAAACAATAAAAGTTTTTTCAACTTTCTCATTGGCTTTATATTAATACCGCGTGAACAAGTCCTCTGAATCACCTCTTCAGCATCAAGGACTCGCTGTATTAGAAAATGTAGCCAAGGTGGGTCTTGCTGTACTTATCTGGGATTTGTGAGACAGATTTATGGAACGGTAAGATAACCATTTACCAACGCTGAGGTTTGAACCAGCGGTAGCTGCATACTCATAGTTTGTACGGTGACGCACCAAAAAAAAAGGACGCGCGCAAGCCAACCGGATTGCGCCGTTCCTAGCCGATAAAAATCATATATTAGCCGTTTCTCAAGGAAAAAAATTATAAGAAATGTTAGAGTTCTGTGCATTTATAGAAAAGTGGACGAAGTAGTCCACGAAGCAGTGGAGGATTTTTAGGTTTCGATTAAGGAATACAATTATTTTAATAAATCCTACTGAAAGCTTACAACGACATAGAATTGCTTTAGCGGAAAAGCCTTAGCTATTGATACAGATACGGCCATCCCTCCCTCGATGACTAGCAAAATGTTGCGCTCGGCTGCAGATTTGATAGAATCGCACATGACATTGTATAGGGAAGAATCCGCCAGGTACGCGTTGCGGTATCCTGAAGTCGAGTAATGCACGCCACAGGTGCAAAAGGGCTTTGGACTCACACTGCGAAAACAGAAGTATACAGAAAGGAATAGAAGAATAATGTGCTAGTAGACGCTCTGAAAGGTTGGAAGCCGTTAAATGTACTCATCATCCATCATATGAGGAGAGAAATGTGCGTTGTTCTCAGTGTGGCTAGAGGTCATCAATTCGTTCTATCGGTAATTGAAACACATAAAGAACATACAACGTACAGATTTGTTTCTGGCTTCATAAGCAAAGCAGTGTCTAGCACAAACACTGTCAGTAGACATGGACTAATCGAGAACACAAGAAATCATTTATGCGGGATCACTAACCTTCGATCATTAGTTGTGTTGAACCAGAAGCTATACTCATCGCGATTACATTGCAGCCATCTGCCGGAAATATTAGGCAGTTGATAGACAGCCTGCATCCAATGATCTCTCCATGCCAGATTCGCACCCTTGAAAATTTAAAAACGATTGACACCACAGTTGACTAACTTCATCAAAAGGATTTTTTTTTGTCTTAGGTCGTGCTCTAAACGCACAATGGAGATATCAATATTTTTATCGAAGATATTTTCTATTTAATGGGTACGTTTTTATATTACCTTGGGGTGCACCCACCGCGGTGCCGTTGACATCATAACGTCGGGAGCCATTTGGCTTTCCCACCACATGATCACGCATGGCGACCAGTCCTTTTGAGTGTTACAGTCAGTTGGAAGCTCATAGGAATACGTGTATGGCGTCTTCGAACAGTCCGATAGATCAAAGCTAAAGCCACAAAAGATTAACAAAGAAAAATCATTACGATGAATAAAATACGATCGCACATTTGCGATTAGCTCCAATCGATACAATGCTAACGTGAGTGATCATTAACAAATGCAAGGATCATTAACAAATAATTGCTACAAAGCAGTTGCTGATTAAACAGTGGGCCTTTGAATCAATGTCTAGTAGACCTAATGCAAGCAAATCTCTAAAAAATAATGGTCAGTTAGGAATTGTGACGGTAATTTGTCAGCAAGAAAATAAATATTGTTGATTAATTGTCGGGTATTTAATCTCAAGTTTGTGGCTCATTACTTGGCTGGACGGACCGGCGTGAGGGAATACAAGGGAAAAGAGATTTTTTCAAGCCTCAAATCCAAACAAACAATATAACAATGTACACTTTTGTAAAGATACATTGGCTGCACACACAACTCGCATTTTTAGAAGTTAACTATCTTTTTGGAAATTAAATGATTGCACTAAACATAAGTCACACTGAACTAACTGAAAGGTGGCGGTGGGCTTGGTAATTGGGTCGAAGTCCTCATTGTCAAGTTGAGACGCCTGAATGTCGTGAAGTGCGGATGTACCAATACACTCTTCAATGCTGCTGGGAATTAACAGTCCATGTTTTGAAAGAACATAATGGTTTCTAAGAAATGGTGAATCCACCACCTGTTAACAAAACAATATGAAATATATTTACTATACCTCTGACATACTGATAAGATTAGTTTTGCATGTGATTAAATAGCTGTTAAGTGTCCCTGGCGTTTAGAGGATTGGGCGCCCTGTTTATTGGCGTTTTCGTAATAATTATATTCATTAAACCAACAGAGCCCCAGGCAATTATTAAATTGGACCGTTCTTCTCGTTAAATTATAACTCTTACCTGTGTAAATATAGTGACAGCCTGTGGCACTGAAATAAAGTCGTCTGTAAGTAGTCGTTTTACGGCATCCGAATAGCTTTCAATCAAGCCCTCACCGATGCACTCTGTGTCATATAATTCGGCAACAAGAAGGTTTGCTTTCTGCTCAAGGTCCTTTCCTGGTCCTAAAGGAGGACAGCATCATAGTAAGAGAATCCACAGTTATCAGGTTTGCAGGTGTAATTATACTGCTCTTCACTTTTTATGAGACTGTCGAATAGTTCTACACATGTACTTTAACTTTTGCAAAAAAGTTTTTAAAAGAAAATAGCGTCGACGGGCTCACCGACTTCCAAATCCATGGACAGTTTGCTGATAAGTTTGATACGACCATCAAATCCGTTGGCTTCTATTACTTTACGTGCAGTTGTAATTGCTGGGCCATATCCGTCACATGCATAAAGGATATCAGCGCCATGGCGAGCTGCCAACATCGACAATAGGCTAGAACCTACATTGAAAGACGGGTAAATGAACTTAGCCAAAAAAATGTATATAATGTTTACATTTTTGGAAACCCTTTTGCAGTGGTAGGCTTACCTGAACCGAAAATAATACTAATAATTATTATATTATCACTACCAATAATTAGTAGTTCAGCAAAATTCAATTCTAAATAATCCAAGTACAGATGAAACCTGGAGTGTGGAAATTATTACAGAGCTCGGAAGAAGCAAATAAATTTCAAAGCAGGCATATTACAGTTTAGTCAGCCCAGCTCTTTTATTGCAAAAAACCTTTTATGGGTTGTATTTAAAAAAAACAACTTGTTGTACACTGATAGCAGGACAACCATTGTTACTGACCTGTGCCAATGTCGAGTACGATAATCTGCTGTACGCCCCTAGCACGTAATTCTGATATGGCCCATTTGATACCTGTTTCGTACAACTCATTCTGTCAGACCAAAAAAAGTAGTTTTTATAACACGTTCCCGTGAAGTTCATTCAAATACAAAACTATACAATTTTATCGAGAATTATGATTATTTAACGTTTTGTCATATTCATGGAAGATCGAGAACTGATTACAAAGTAACTGTTCGCGCACTTAAATTCTCAACAAATATCAAAAACGCACGTTTGATCCCCCTGTTAGTTACAGATATACAAGTTTGTCGTTTGCCACATGCCTCCATGCATATGGGTCTACATGTAAAAGTAACACGGAACAAGACGTAAAATATGCCCACAAATATTTGAAAAATTCAAACGCATGATGACACAAACTTTAGACAAATACGAAACCTCTGTTGACCTACCCTTTCTGTATCGTGCAGCATATCAGCAAACGCACTACGCACAATATCTTGTGAGTACACGTCACCTAAACGTTCTTGAAACTCATGACAGAAGAGTTCTATCGCTGAATCCATTCTCGCTGACAGAGACACTGAATCGAGCTTCACTACTCAATATTTTAGAGACTTCAATCTGTAATATTTGCTAATTTGCTTTTAAATTTGCCATATGCACAGGCTTCATTATGTTGATCTTTATTTTAGTTCTATGTTGCTTCTTTTTCAACTAGACGAAATACTTCTTACATTGTTGATAGCCTATAATTGGTACTGAAGGTTTTTTTTTGATATTATGTCTATGTCATCCGATCTAGAAAACGACACCAAAAGGAACTACGACCATAAAATACGGATAAGCTGTTTTAATATTCATAGCTCTTCACTTCTGTCAAACTGAGCCGGTTACAAGCCAAAGATATTCGATGATCAGTCCTTTTGTAAGAACCAATACTAGTGCTCTATTTTCTTATGGGATACACTACAGTGTGCTATATCCTGCCACAGAGAATATTATCCTACAAACTTTTAAAAACTAATTTTGAATGTTAGTAAGACCTTGTATACAGTTAGGAGGGCGCCGAACGGTTGAAGAGCGCGGAATCGTGTAAGCATGCACTTGTTATTGTGGCAGCTGGTGCCATCTAGCGGTGACAGGTAATAAAATTTGGTCTAGGTTCATGGCGCCAAAGTACGCTAACGCTACGGTGACGTAAAACATATTTGTTTACATCTTCAGAAGGTAGCTTTTTCTGTAGTTTGACTTGAAAGCTTCTGTTTTGCAAGTTTGTCAACAATATTAATTGTCTGGATCAGTGAGGCAAAGTGACGGAGAGTAAAGGGAGAAAAAAGGGCTTCAAGGGCAGATTATGCGTAGGAAATAGAGCTAGCATTCTTTTCTGCTTAAAAACTCAATGGACTCCGAAACGGATCGACTGCTCCCAAAAAATGGGTACAGCCTTTTAAGACCTCTGGAAGAGAAAACCTTTAGTGTACAAAAAATAAAAAATTCAGCGTTCTCAGGGTGACTGTTTGATTACATTTTACGCCTCTCTGTCATACACTATATTACGAATAAGAGAGTTCTTTGAATATAAAAAGTACAACTTTTACATAAAAGTGCTCCGTGGGTAGATGCTCTGTATCCAAGGCAAAAGTTTGCATAGGGTCGAGTCAGCCTTAAGTTCTTCAACATGCATATTTTTTTTTTTCTCTATGACGTTGAAATGGGGGTACAAGCATACTCCTGTAATGTCCGCCCTATAGCGATATATCCCTATAATGAGGCGCACTTATTATACTCGAGGGTACAATTGTTGAAATACGCCTTCCTACGCGTTTTATCACTAATCACCTAGTAGTTCCTATGCTTATACTGAAGACATCTTCATTTGAGTTAGTTAAATAAGTGGATGACAAGAATGTTACAAAGATTCGAATTCTATAACGTATTCCAAGTATTTTCTTTCAGGTTTTACAAGAATCATATTTTCACTTACGATATACTTACTTTCGAAAGCATACCTGACTTTCTTAACACAATATCATTTTTTATGAAGAGATACACAGTGTATAGAGTGCAAAAAGCTTTTATTAAAGTGTTATCATTGTTTTTATGTTATTCATTTCCCTACTTATTGCTCGTTGGACTTACATCAACGTGGCTAGTTGCAGTTTTGTAACATCAAGAAAAATTAATTGAATTCTTATATTTTAAAAAATTAATATTCTAATCATGGAAGTGATTTCTTGCCGTTATTTGAAGTAACATGAGTGTCGTTGTTCTTAACATTATCAACTTATCGTTTTGCTTACAGCAAAAACTAGGAGCTCCCAAAAATTAACTACAATTCTGGAATACAATAAGAAACAAGACCTTCGTCATTTGTTTATAAACTCGTATGTTCACTCATGCGTTTTTAGTTCGTCATTCTATAGCGCATATGCATATAACTAGACAAATAAAAACAAAGAAAATTAATTATAGGTGTATGTATTAATTCTTTGAATCTAAAATGGACGTCTGTGGCCGCAAAACATGAACAAAAAAAAGTGAACGTGTCTCAAACCTATATGATGAGGCATCATTTCCGCTTATTCGTTTCTTTGCAAAGCTACAAAGTAGCTATGCTTCAAGCTTGTCCGCTTGCGCAAGAATTCATTCATTCAATCATTTGTCTACTAGTGTATATTTTGGCTTGAAGTTCGTGTGATGCAATACCACTCTACATTGTTACGATATAATTGAATTTGTTTTGTCTTGCTTGTAGCTTATTTCATTCGACAAAAATCTATTGAAGTTTGAAGACCTTTAAAAACATGAACATTAACAGAGCAAATATACTACCAATAATACATAACAATTGGCCGCTTTATGACTTTTTAAGCTGAAGGCGGCTGTATTTACGGTCATAAACCTATCAGGTCGTAGTCAGTGGCGGCGAGATATTTTGATTCTGGATGATATAGCACAGTAACAGCAGTAGTGTCAACAAGGAAGCAGCACAATTGTGTATTAAATTAACAGCTTGTACAGAAATAAAGACCAGCGCAGAAGCGCCGTACAAATGTTGAACTAGTCATTACTGCACAAATGTGAATTTCTTCAGCACCTGGGAAAGTTGAATATAGGCAACAAAAACTTTGCTTGTATATAGCCTATATGTTTAAATTACTAGCAACTGTAATTAGACATATGGAGAAACCGGCATGCGATGCGTACTGTTTATCATCGTTACAATGGTATTAAAGAAACCTCGGCATGATTATTCAGTCCAATTCAGGTACGTTGTTATTGCTGTTTGGACTATGTTTTGCGGCGCATTACTAATAACTAATTACGAATAAAACAAATAATACATAATAAAAAATTCTTAGCTAACGTATTTAAATTTAAAAAAAAATTGTTTCAAGAGATTTATTAACGGGTAGCAGATCAATTTACCTGGTTATTTACTAACAGAATAGAGAAAGAAGTAGAAACAAGTAAGACTAGAGTAAGTACGGGATGAAAGATGAGGAAGTGACAGGGTACGCAAGATAACGTAAGTATGCAAATCAGTGGTACCATATTTCACCGATTCAGTTATTAAATGATTATTACTTTCTAGAATGTAGAGCGCACCGACTTTGTAGACCTTTTCAGCAAGTGCTTCTGCACTAACATTGGCGTATTGATATCTATTACTGTTAGAAAGCACAGTTAACAGGTCACAATGTTGTACTGTGGGCAGATGGAACGGGACGCATATTGCATAAATACAAGCACTAATCAGCGCTAAAGTTTATCATTTCCAAAAATCTACAAAACATAACATATGGATTTGTACAACAGTGTTTAACACTGACTGAAAACATGATGACTTTTCGTCTTTCTCTGTTCGCTTCACCGAAGGGTATATTTTACGATAATCGTTTGTGCGTTCCATTTTTTAAACCAATTTTAACAACGCAATTTGCAACAATTTCAATACACCTATAAAATAAACGTATGCAGAAAACATGCTTAGCATATTTTCAATCGTCTTAATTGTATAAGTAAAGTAAACACAGTACTGGAAAACATTTCTTGGTCGACCTTTGACCCGAAGTATCTCACGTTTTGTTATTTGAATTATCTGTGGACACCACAATGGAAGCCATGAAATGTGCATTCGGTCTCGCCGCCATGCATTGCTAGCATATACCTTATTATACCTTCTTATGCAATCACTACGGATTAACTTAAAAAAATAGGCCATTAGCCACCCAGCTGATAATTTAAGCTGATTTTTTTAAATTGGTGTTAAAACCGCGAGCAGAAAGTGCTCTTCCATTAATCTTCCTCGACTACCTCCCGAAATCAGCTCTGAGATTAATTTTAATTTGCACGTATGTTCTGGCAGCTGTTTATATTCGGCTAACCCAAAGATCGATTCGATAGGAATTATGATAGTGAATGCAAGTGCACAACTAGTAGGGAAGAAGCATTTTAGACAAAATTCTTTCATCCAGAGTTGTACGATATGAGAAGCAAAACTTTAATAAGACTGTTGTTCCACCGGTCTGTAGCTTGAAAATTATGAGAGTGTTCTGACAACGCAAAACGTTCATGAAATAATCGATTCTAAGGTAATATGAAATTCAAAGTTGTCGACTGACGCAGGCAGAAGGAGACAGGGATCGAACTCTCATTCGGTTTAGCATCAAGTTAATACTTGCAGTATTCGCTTATAAATTACTACGATACTTATATGTAGTAACACTTTAAATAGCAACATGATATTTACTTAAGCCCCCCCCCCCCCCCACCCCCCCCCCCCCCCCCGAGATCATAGCGATGTCGGTCCACGGAAATGTAGGACACACAATAGAACACGGTTATACTACTTCCGAGTCACCTAGAGTCATTCACATTCAGGCTTATTATACCCTACCCTATTCATATGCCAATAGCCTCACGGCTTTAAGGTACACTTTGTACGTTAGATGTCATAAGATAGGTCAAAATCTCATAGATCATCTCTAAAAATAACCCACCTATCGAAAGGCTTTCAAAAAGTTTCATTAGGTTAGGAAATTGACCTGCTATACTTTAGCAATCATCATCCTAGCGTCATTCTTATATACTCTAAGTTACAACATACCTATGTTAATCGACGGTTTTACTGTATTAAGTGTTGCGTTATCACGGCGTGGAGTCATATAAGCGTTCCTCTAAAATAAGTTCCGGACACAAGATTGACGAAAAAGTGGAAGAGTTTTCAAGGAACCACGCAGTAGTAGACTAACGGTTTTTAAACAAAGAATTCTCCATGCAAACGACGAAGAACCTTTGAAGAAAAAATGATGTGACAAACAACCAACTGAGAATACCTATTCACTAGAAATTTTCCAGGTACTCAACTCTAGACTGCATGGTACAGAGTAAAGATCTAATAAGCGAAACAGAACAGGGCTAATAAAGAATCGAAATAAAAGTAGACAAAATTGACTCGAATTTGGGCGAGCAGACCCCAAGAGGCCAGGAACGTGCAAGAAGGCCATTAGCCTTTTTGCGATAACTTCCAACGACGATGGCCTACGAGAACGCGGTCCGCTTAAGAAGCTGCACAGCATCGTCACCGCCTTCCCCTGCTGACCCAACGACGATGGTGGCTCCATCAAAGTCGTAGTAGGCGGTTGCATGGAACGCCATATTTGACAGGACAATTAAATATTCAGCAAGTGCGAATACTGTGTACATGTAGGGCTCGCAATAAGCATTATGCCTATAGAAGGTCGCTGCGCAGATGGCAGAACAGACCAGTGTAGTTAGGCATGCCCGACGTTTGACCAGCAACGACTGCCGATGCTGCATGCCCCGCCGGTGCTGCTGGAGCCGAGGTAGCACGAAAGCACACAAACACATGTATGCTACACTAGTTAGAAGGAATGTGATGAAACACTTCTCATGAACCGGATAGTTCTCTGATGACGAAACCATGGTAAGGCCAAGCAGGCTTGTATCTTCAATGAATTCGAGGATGAACGCTACATCGGCTAGCAGGCGGTATTGTACGGGAAGAATGGTCCGGTGCCAGCTTCGATACATAACGGCAAACACAAAACGCGGCGCACTGTGTATACCAATTCCGGTTCGCCAGACGAACTTCTGAGGAGAGAAACTACCGATAGCTGCACTAATTGATGGAAGAAGATTTGCTACCTGAAATATGAAAAGCGTGTGCAAAAACAGACATTATATGAGGGAGTCAATGTTAAAATAGGAATAATAACAATTATATGGAAAAAGAGAGTAGCAGGTATGACTGGCTGGTATAAATACTATAGCACTTAACTAACGTAATAATGATTTACTGTTGACGAAAAAACGCTCTCCTTTTATGTTTAGATTGCACTAATAACTTTATTACGAATCGAAACAGTAATTACTATTCTATGTGTTAAATGTCTTGTGGCAAAAATGTTTAATTTGAAAACAGGAAATTGCTACGTTATCAACTTTAGAACAAGGCTCTAGTCTGTAGACAAATTAGAAAACCGTGCGCTCTCTTAGTGATGCCGATTCCATTCCTATCGTTACATTCTCGAACAAGTATCGAACGATCCGGAGTCATTATCGCCTGTATCCATTCGTTTCGTAGGGCCTTGATTACCATCAATCGTATCTACTTGTCCAACAATGGAGTATGAATTCCTTTCCTTGACGTTCTGGGAGTTCTTTCTACAAAAACTGCTTCTAAGTATTCATGGAAGAAGTTGTAGGGGGTAATATGAGCTATACTTTAGCGTTTCTTTTTGTGGATTCTGAAAGACCGAGTTCTATGCTAAATAAGACTTTTTTTACTTATAAAGCTTTTTAATAAGATAAGCGAAAATGCAACTAACGTTTCTATACGTACAGCTTATGAAAATTTGTACTAAAACTAAATAGGTAAAATAAAGTAATTAGTGGCCGGTTTATGAGGGATACAACAACATAAAAGATACGAATGAATGGAAGATACGTAAGCAACGATTTACGCGACGTGAGTAGATAATAAAAGGTCAGCCGGAATACCGAAGTTACAATAACTCGTCCAATGTCTATACTTGAATGATTACTTGTTTAGCTCCTAGGGTCGTTCCTTGATATAATTTAAATCCTTACGTAGGTAATAGGCATACAAACGAGGTTAGAAACAATTCAACTGAAGTGAAATTGGTTAACGCTTTTTGTTAACACGGGCAGTCTATGCATTAGATAAATTTCGTCTCATTGTAATCGAACGAACTTCTCCCAAAGGGTTAATGCGCAGGAGCAGAAAAAATAGCATGCAATTCTAACTATTTACTGGCATCTCTTCATAATTAACGTACTTGTTTATATATTTCTAAGAAAAAGAGGCAAGCATCAAGTATTGGGGGCGCGTCGGATTTCTCGGTGTACACATACAATTGATTGAATCTGAGATAATTTCTAATCTTTTTATTATTTACATAACCTTGAATAAATTCAAACGCAGCGTATCATAATCAAATACTCGAGCCCTTCAAAACGCTTTAAAAACAATGCTTTTTATCAGGAACATTAAACCTACCTTGCAGTGCGTTTGCGTGCTAGCGGTAAAGTTGAAAATTAGCGAATAACCGATACAGAAGATGAAGGAGAAAAGCGGTAAAGAAACAACGTACAACGCAATCGATGACGCATGGTATGTCACAAGCGTCGAACGCGACATTCTTAATTTGTTGGGCTAGCCTACAACAACAAGAAAATCCAAGGCATCTTCCTTTCGACTATTGACATCACAAAAATCAACGACGAAATCACACAGCGCCCTCGTGCGATGCACAAACGAATGCAGTGTGAGCATACGTTAAATACAAATATGATGAACAAACGCTGCTTATGCGTTATCGCTTGATCACTGTTAGTGGCGTGCAGTGGTGCTCCCGATCAGGTCTTCGTTGCTGTCACCCACAGAATCCGCCTCAAGGACGTATCAGAAAGGGAGCAACTATTTGGAGTGTTTGAAGTAGATTTGCTACTTTTTTGAATACAATACACTGTCTTGTTTTGGTATCGTAGAATACTATCGATACGTTATAGGAGGTACCCTTATGATCGCATCCTCATGACTAACAGAGAGTTGATTTGGCTTGAACAACGAACGTCAGAGATGGCACGTCAGCGAACTGATGTGAGAAGTACCAACAACATCGGTTGCAATCCGCCCGCCATCATTCTCCGATTATTTCTTTATACGGCCAGAATAGCCTTGTGGCTTTCTGGTGTTGGATGTCGTGGCTCCACTGTTATTAACGCTAGTGGAGTCAAAACTGTGATTTCCTATTATAAGCCGAGAAAATGTCTCAAAAAGAGTTAGCAAGCAGTACGTACAACGTTGCACTGCACGGATGTAGCATTAAGAGAATATTCCCATCAAATAGGAGCTCAGTGAGAAAGGAGGTATCTATCAACAGTGATCCAGGTGAATCCAAGAAATATAGAAGAGCACCATATTTTTTAGCTAACACACACAATGCAGCGAGCTTCTCAGGTTGATTGCCCGTCGAGCCGTTGGTACTGATCATCACTAAACGCATTTGACTGTCGAAAGATAACAGTCACTGGTCCCAAAAGCAGTACCAATAGCTGCAACAGCAGCCGCCCCCGCCAAGGCAGTCAACAAAAACACTTGAAAATACAGCTGACACCCACACTACTGTAGCTGTTTTCTAAGGTGGGAGCACTCATTCTCTACAGTTAGATCGAATATGCAACGCGGGATACGGTCCTAATGAATCAAGTCCGTTATAGGATCGTCATTCTTCCTGCGAATTTCCCAATCAGACATGTAAGCCAGGTCGAAGTGTCTTCATGGGGTTTGCTAGGCTACTTTGAGTTAGCGTGTGGATGTGGCTGCTGCACAGAGACATTGCGATATTTTTTATCAGCTGCTGTGTTGGGAAGTACTAAAGATTGCGCAGTTGCGCAAATACGAAGCTACTTAACGCTTACCCATGTACGCAGAAGTAATACTTCCGTAAGACGTTTAAACTACTCCAGAAACAACGCGTATTGTGGAATTTAAACCACAGTCGATGAATCACCTACCTGCACTATGCATCTGTCTTTACAGATGACGTCTCTTTGATAAAGTTTCAAATAAATCAAGACGCTTCAGGGTACAGCTAATCTGCTTAGCTCTAATGGCCCTCACGACTGCGATACAGAAACCGATATAAATAAGTCAGGTTTTGGTTCGAAGGGGGTCAATGGCTATTGATTCGTGCCTGTCAATTTTAACCGAGCGATCGTGATTACAAATACCAAAGTGAATATATTTTATTATGATGGAACATTTGGTGAAAAAAACATCCAGTGTTTATAATTTCGATATCACTGGTTTCACTGGGGCAGTTTGGTTCGGCATGCGCAAGAAAATGTGGACAATTATACGCTTGCAATAGGTCGATACAGGAAATGGAGATATTTCAAAATAGTTAGAGACGGGTTATTTTTATTGAGCCAATGATTCTGTACCTCAAAATAAGCCACAAAAATAAACGTTGCATATAAACACCCCCCTTTGTCATATAAAATCAGCCTTGTTTTGCCGCTTATGCATAAACTCACTCATTTAATCGTAGACTTGATGCACTGCAATGTATATCGATGGAGGGGCTCCGATCAGAGAGCCCTCTTTATCTCTCAATAGAGGCTTTGCCGTTCAGGCTTTTGTTTCGTACTATTGATGCAGATATCAATATAGAAGAATTGGCAGTTAGGTGCCATTAAAAACCATATTGTTTTTCGATATTTCACGTTTTTTTTTTTCGCAATGAAGTGATTTTCAGCCTTAGCTATTCAATCTAATTACTTTATGGAAACATGTAAAAATAGATTGCTTACTAACAAGCATTAATGTCGCCTGCTACATTTCGCCTGTATCTTTCATCTATCAGACACCAGTTCTCTAATTTGAAATATTTGAGCTGAGTACAGCCAGTGCGATCCTAGGGGAGAGCTTTATACACCTGGAAAATGTAAGAACATAATTCTCACGAGAGGTGCTTTTACACAATAGCTGTGAATAGAAACGCGCGTTCAGAAGCCGCAAGAGTCTCAGGCGATAATAACAATAATAGGACACATGAGCATTTTTTTTTTGAGACTCTCAAACCCGATCGATGATATCAAAGCCATTACCACTCTTCATCGGTATTAGATGGTTTGCTATATATGTTGATACTGAAACGAAAGAGGCTGGTTGGTTATCGACAAAAACAAAGCTTCAGCTTCTGCAAAGCTTTTTGTTGAGCTACGGGCCGTAATCGAAAACAAAATTATTTAGTTACCTTCCATTAGTGTTCCTAGTCACCTAGTGGTTTCTATTACTATTCATTAAATCGATAATAAACGCCAAGCGTATGTCAAAAAACGCCATTCTCACCAAAGGAATGTGTCTTTGCGATGTTTGTGACGCAGTGGAACTAATTTCGAACTAATTAGGGGTAGAACAAATAGAAGCGTGTACGCGTGACCTTTTTCCATAGCTGACTTAATACAAACAATCCGCAAGAACCACACAGAAGAGGGGGCTATCCCGGCTTTAAACAAACAAGTTACCACTGCCCTATCACGAAAATTATAACATTGTAATCAACCACAACTGTGCTCTGTGTTACCATTAATAACTTAGTTTATCTCAAAATATCAGTGATTCTCAGCTGTTAATTGAATCGGAGACCTTATGGTACAAGTTTGGGTTTTCATTTTCCCCGCCACCGCAGCAGTTCAACAGCGAAGATATAAAATTCAACTTAGGTTGTAAAATCTAATTATACCATCGAATTAAACTAAGGAGGTAGTCTAATTATCCTTTTACGTCATACTCCCCAATACGTTTATTGCTTGTAACACAATAAATGCCGATTTATCGAAGCAAATTTGATACATTTAAGTTATGATATGAAAATACGATCTTAGTTTTATCAACCGGTTTCGATCAAATCGTCCACCACCACAGTAATAATCAAACTTTATTAAGGTTATTGTTATTATTATTATAGCATTACCTGTTGTGCTTAACACTTGATCTACCACTCCCGTCAATTTGACCGTTTGCAAATTGCTATTGCAAGTTACCATATTTTGAGCACTATCACATCGTAATTCATAGTCAACACGTTAAGTAAGTAGTGTTCCAAATGAAAAAGGAGTACGCCAAGTTTTTTTTTACTTTATTTTTTGACCAATGCGGCCCTGCGTCATAACGAACTGTGGTTTATTCTAAAACTTCAGCGCATGAGGATACATCCTCGAGTTCAATGCGAAGGGCTTCTTCAGATACTGCTTCAGGACCTCCGCATCTGGATTTTTCCCGATCACTTCCAAAAGCTGGCTGTCCACCTCAACCTGAGCATTCATAAAACGCAAATAGAGAAGCAGAAGAACGACCAAGAATATATTTAAAATCCGAGATAATAAAAAGATGAAGTCTATGATGCGTAAGTCATTCAGTGAGTACGTAACATCCCTCATCCTGTATCGGAAGGAACTATTGGAATAATAAAGGCCTCATCATTTGAACTACTAGATTGAAGATATTTTCTAACACCTTAGCCCACTATCATAAGATTACATGTAAAAACTATCATTAGGTATGATAACGGGAAAAAATTATCCACCTGCAGTTTCCTCCTTTCTTCGGACGGGATGAAGTCCACCTTCCTCTGCTCGAAAAGGTCGCCTCCTCTAGCTGTGTTACCCTTGCTACGAGGCATCTTGGGCTTAGCGAATAGCTGGTCCTTAAGCTGCTCCGAGAGCTTCACGGAGGTAATATCGAGCTTGGTCGAGGTTGCAATTACGAAGTTCTGATGGATACGGCGCAATGGACAGGAATTGAGCTTATATGGGCCCGTAACAAGGAGGAGACCGGATTCGAGCTGTTTAAGGTATACCACGCGCTGTGTAACGAAGAAAGCCACAAAAGAGCACGATTAAGATAATGTTGCTTCATTTGGTTGATATCTAAAAATCAGGGGTTTTTGTCAGGGTTGGATTGAAATCACCATATCATATGTATGTAGGAATTCTTGGAATTTGTTTAGTTGTCATCATACCGCTGAGATGCCTGAAATTGTTCTTAATTAATTATAATTAGTTAATACCTTTCCATCGCTCATTTTTAGCAGTTTTAGTTTATAGCAGAGTGTAAACTTACCCTTCCACGGTGGCGTCCGGCAAGAAGGATTAGTACTGTGCCGGGCGTGATGCTCTTGCGAGCCGCGCGGTAAACACGTTTGCGAGAGGTCTTCGGAGGTTTCAGCGAGTCCTCAGTAGAGTAGAATTTGCGCTAAAGAATGTGAACAGATCACATCATTCATTGATCTTCATTAAAGCATTCATTTTACTGCTTTTCGTCGCAATGCAGATAATATTGTGACCTTTTTGAGAGATAATATTATCGAAAAACATAGTTCATAAAGTACAAATGCGGAACATTTGGTACTTCGTCATGATCATGATCGTAATTAATAATTATAATGTCTACAACAAAGTAGCTGAAGCAACAAATGGCGTTCCATGTTAGATTTCATTAACAACCAATGATCTTACCCCAGGGGTTCTAGCACTTGTACGTGTTCTGTGAGAAAAGGCGAATAGAACCTCTTTTGCGATGTATCTGCAGAAAACGCCATGATACTTACCGGTTTTTTGACAAGAATCACACGCTCTTTGCCGTTCTTATCTCCACCGATTTGCTTGACAATAGTCTTTCTTTCGACCTTCTTAGGTGTTTGGAAGGCTTTGGCTAGTTCGACTGGATCTTTAACGAATTTCCACGATCCAGTGCGTCGCATGACCTGTATAAGCAAACAGACGACAGGTTAAGGACCCGCCTGTTAAAAATGACATTCCATCCTTACATAACAAACGCATTCATTACATACATCAAGGATGCACCTGATATATGCCAAACAAGTACAGGAGCGTAAAATTGTACAATCGTACGCAGTGTCAGACAGTACAAGTGTAAAAAAACGAAAACGCTCGTCACGGCTAGCGTGTTCAGTAAGAAGCATGTCATCACAGGCGTACATGTGCAGATGTTGAACTGCTTGGAAGAATATGGGTCGATTTGTAGCACTTGGCCAATACTTCAAGTGCTTAATTAAACACACACTTCAATTTCACTCAATGCGATTTAGCTCACCTGCGCATTGGAGAACTTGCGGATTCCGCGAGCGATCAGCGGATTTTTCAACTCTTTATGCTTGACAGTCTGCACCGCCTTCTTCGCGGGCTTTTTCGCTGCACCGGCCATGTCTGAAATAGGGTACACACAGAACATGACACGAAATTCAATCATACAAAAAACTTCATAGTAAATCAAACGCCACTTTGTCAGCCATCGATGTTTGTATAGTTTGTCCTTTTTTTTTGACACTTTTGAGTCTTGTGCAGAACCATTATAACTATCAGGGTTGGATTGAAGTTTTGAACTTTGCGGATATTCTTGAAGTTCATTAAGCTAAAACGGCTACCACAAAAGATTTGTAAATTTGCTCAACACATTGAAGACTCGCACTTCAGAGAGACAAGTTGTGAAACAACACGTTGTTTCACATACTCTATTGTAAACAATGATATTTTACACGTGAAATGAAGCATATCGTCCTGGCAGCGGCCCTAATTTTAAGAGAAATTTCTAGAAACTATTCCCTAGAATGCATTTACTTTCCAATTACAAGGTGGGACAACATCACAAAAGTTCCTTTCGAAAGAGACACCACATGTTATATTTGATTTGGGCTTGTCGCGTACTTCGTACAGAAAAAAAACATTTAAAAGCAACGCTATTAATATTTTCTCTTACATATTGGGACATAAGTCTCCAACTACATGATCTAAAGGTACGAGCACTGCTAGCTTCAATTAATAATAACAGATTTTCTGGCAATTCATCAGACTTCCATAACAGAGAGCAAACATAGCTAGAGAGAGCACTAGAATAGAATCTCAGACGAGCTAGCATTTCGCTGCGAGACAAGCGGTTTCACATCTACACGTTACATGCACAAGATAGCGATATCCTTAAATGTATCCTTTCGTGCAAAATTCACGTGTATTCACATTAAATTTATATTGATTTCATCGGATTTCTTTCTACACCGCAAACCACACACGCACCTCGTCTTAGAACGCAAGCCTAAAAGGAAGCACAGTAGTTTCGCATCCGCCACGTCGGGTTCGTCTGGTTGCATGGCGGGAAATTTGAACTTTCGAAGTGATTCGGTGTAGATACAACATAACGGCTGGTGTACTTGTCCATAATGCCATAAACAAAAGGAAAACTTGAATTTGGAATAAATCTGACATTTCTTGAAATCTCACTTGTAGTTTTCTATTGAGTTAGTCTTGTCAAAATTACAGTTACGGCAGGTATGGGATTTATGTTCCATGACTTGATAAACGCACTATAATACATCCAAGGTAAATTATATTAATCAGCGCTACTTAGTTTTACGTAATATTTTTAACTGTACTAATAATTGGGCATTATAGACGTTTTTGGAGACTACTAAACAAGTTAATACATTTAATTTGGGTAATTAGATAATGACAAGGCATGCTATTAAATGAATCTCATTGCAATAGCTTAAAGCATACAAAAGTTAGTTGGATTACATGTTACCATATACTTGTGACCTATTTATGATACAGCAATTGCCTCCTAATCTAATTTCCTAAGCCTGTTCGATGCATCCACACATGGTATCTGTTATGTATATATCGAATATTATTAAATATGTTCCATACGAATTCATTCTTAATGAAACATATTTAATAATATGCTGGTTCCGTAATCCTTTTGTTTACAAAAGATTTTTCTGCCATTTGTATTTCAATAAACTTGTCCAAGTCCCTGGAATGTATCAGCTAGCTAAACAGACGTTGGCCTATTGGCCTACCCTTACCCATACGTCTCTGTTGTATAGCCATTAATCTCGTATAACAGTCCCGCAAAACAATTCATTCCAAGTAGTAACTGATACAACTACAGCGTTATCCATATGATGGGTTATCAACATTATGTACTTCGTATAAGTGCAGAGATTTCGGTTATACGGGGGGCGATATTTCAAAGCATCTGCTGCTTTGGAGTTGCAAAGCAAAGAAAAACTCCATGATCTGTAATAACCTTCCACATGTCAACGATACCTATTCCAGACTACATAATTCACTGATTGAGGCAACAACCTGACGTGTCCCGGGATTTAAAGAAATAGCAAAAAACCTACTTATGACATGACAGGCTTCTTTCACAAACGTAAACAGACCGTCCGAGTAGAATGAGGTACAATACAAATTATCCTCTGCCAACATCAGCTAGTCTGCAATGGTCTAGTTAGGGTCAACGATCTGTTGTACGAAATAGTTGAATAAAATGGAATTGTACATATATATCAACCTCGTTATTCATAAACTAATATACAATCCACTTTGTTTTTCTGGAAATGCAAGTTAAAATACCTAACACGGAATTGCTATATTTAAGATTGCTTAATATTAAAAAATAACGCTTGATTAACTGAGCTTAGCTATTGATTGTTAAGAGAATATTTATTGTTGTGTATTACAACTCACTTCTGTACTGAACTCTAAATGTAGTTCAGATGTCCATATATAAATTGTACCAGCGATAAATGCAGCAACGTAACCTAATATTTTTATTTGTAAAGCTTGCTTTATTAACTGACAGCCACACCCAATCATTTAGTTATTAACCATGATCGATAAAGCTAGACCTCTGTGGAAGAGGATAGGAAAGCTGACCTTTACCATTGGGAAGAATTGGTTAACCGCATTTTTTCAAGTATATTACCCGGTATATCATTACAGAATATAGTTCTGCTGCTTAAAATTTCTTGCGTAAAAAAAATGTACTATTTTCGAGGGGGGGTGACAAGCGCAATTTTTGTCAGTACTATTACTGTTATTTTGGTATCTTCAATGCTTTGCTAGAGTTCATCGATTGTGCCGGCGTGCTGCTCTCAATTATACCATTCTATTCGAGAAGAAAACTCTGTCGGATCTAAGACACCCAAAGCTGATCGTCATTGTCCATGCAAGCTATATGAAAGGTTCCTACAAGTTATTGGGGGAAAATTTGACTATGGTTCCTGTATTGCATTTTGCATGTTGTTTACTGATATTCACCGAGTCTCTTAGACATGTCTCAGGTTTAACTGTATTCCTGGTTAGGATTTTTTAGCCGGCTAAAGTTTAATGTTTTTTTTTTGAAAACAGTTTAGCTTGGCGCAAACTGCATTCGTTCATAGTTATTGTTTGAGAGCATTTTTTTTTTGGCTTACATAACCACAACATTGTCAACATCGTTTATCTCTACAGCCGCATCGAACGATGACGCCATCAGATATTTTCATTTACTAGAGAGTATATTCGAATGTGGAGTGCCTTTTTCACCGATGGGTTAGTGACCCCGCTAAGGGGGCTTATTCAAGAGCGGGAAACTATACACTGACTTGGCTAGCATTCTTGTAGCTACCGATAAAGGCGAGTTAGTACCCTAAGAAGGCGCCAAAATTTGCTTGGCGGGCACATGTTCGCTGTGAACTCCGTCAAATCCTCGCGTATTGTAACCACTCAACGAGCTGTCACATAGTCGACAAAGGTATGGTACTTTCATAATAATGCTGATGCGTGATGTAAACAACTGCAAGATATCTCCGTTAATCGCAATATGCGCGGGTACAGTCCTTTTGCATTGGTTATTAACAATAATCATATGTAGTGTTTGTATTTATCAACGTTTAAAATGTCGTGTGGATACCTAAGTTATTCAACAACAGCTTAATTTTTCGAATACTAATAAATCTATGTAGCATATCGGGAGATACAGGGATGAACGAGAGTAGATTTACGGTTAGAAATGAAAACGTTTAGCTGTGTGTATATTTCTATTACGGAAGACTTATTCCGAAGCGGTTACATTCACTGGAAGAGATTTTGGAATAGTCAAGATTTGTTGCGCAGAATCGACGCAGAGGTTTCAGTCATTCGATGGCCGTTGGCTGATAGCTCTTTACGAACATAGAAATTCTCTTTAACCGATAATGATGTTCGATAAATCGCTTAGCGGTAATCGAAATTTGATTGTTCTCAGTGAAAATGAAATAAGTAGAAATAACTAGTCTTTAGCCAAGCAGTGATTCCTGCCAAGGGCCGACATCTACAGGTTTCCCCAAACGGACAAAGGGCTTTGATGAACCTATGTTCTTCTTTTTTGCTAAAATAGTCCACGGCGATTCGGCTGAAATACGAATCAACTGATCTTCTCTGCAGCTGCGGATTGCTTAATGCTGCCGCCAGGGCCTCGCTCATAGTCCATTTTAATGATGAGCGCGAACGTCCTAATGTCGTTTGAGCGGCATACCTATAATATTGAGTTCAAGACAACATACCAAAATACTATGAATACGTTTTGAATCACTATTATTATGAATAGAATATTACATAAGCAACTCCTACATGTTTGTACAACAGATTCAGAGATCAATTTAATAATCCGTAATTAATCCAAATTTTGCATGAAGATCAAAACAGTGAAACACAGCTAACGAAAGATTTCAGTTTTTGTTTTTCGATTGTGCCCTTTCAGAGGTAGTACAACTTTAGCAATTTCGAGCATCTCCGTCAATTCATTGCTCTAGCAGGCCAAAAACAACAGTAATCTCTATTACGACATAATGAGCGAATCGGAACATTCATCTTCACCTTTATTTAGGTCCGTGATGCCGTACACTCTAGCTAAGGATATTTCCTCAATTAACTTAAAAGAATCGGCGATAACTGCACCGTTGTCCGACTCCACGCCTCTGGCAACACCTTCTGGGTTTAAAAAATGTTCTTCTTTAAATCAGATTTCCATCATTTCTTCAGCTGACAGTTCAGTTCTACCTGATCCTCCCTCGAAAGACAGCATGGAGTTGCACATTTCGAGGGCTAGTCGAGACTCCACGGTCTCTTGGAATAGCTTTCACAAGGACCTTGGAATTTCAAAGGACAGCACTCCTGCATGCGATGGTCTAAAGGATGGGGCTATAACGAGTGCGGCCTCTCGGGACAGCAATGTCAGAAAACTCAGTTCTGCTCTACCCAGTGCTGGTACAAGTTTAGGTGTTTCCGCAAAAGATAAAAGCGTTTCTCCTAAATTTGCCATGAGGGACGTCCTTCCTGCAACCTCTCCAAAGGACGCCTCTCCAAAAGACGTTCCGACGAAGGACGCTGCTGCGAAGGACATCCCTGCAAAGGATGTCGCTGTAAAGGATGTCATGGAGAACGACCTCGCTGCGAACGACGTTGTGGAGAAGGACGTCGCTGCGAACGACGTTGTGGAGAAGGACGTCCTCGCAAACGACGTTATGGACAAGGACGTCGCTGCAAACGACGTCGTGGAGAAGGACGTCAACGCAAATGACGCCATGGAGAAGGAGGCCGCTGCAAGGGACGTCGTGTGGAAAGACGTCGCTGCAAATGACGTCGTGGGAAAAGACATCGATGCCAAAGACATCGGGGAGAAGGATGTTGCTACAAAGGACTTCGTGGAGAAGGATGTCTCTACGAAAGAGGAAGTGGAGAAGAACGTCACTATGAAGGAGATTGTAGAGAAGGACGTCGCTGCAAAGAATACCATGGCGAAGGACGTCACTATAAAGGAAGTCGTGGAGGAGGACGTCATTGCCAAGGAAGTCATGGACAAGAACTTCGCTGCCAAAGACGTCGCGGAAAAGAATGTCGCTCCAAAGGAAAAAGTGAAGAAAAATGTTGCTACAACGGACATCGTGGCGAAGGACGTCGCTGCAAATGACACCCCAACACCGAAGGATTCATTTAGAGAGAACAAAACATATAGTGGCGGCGGCGTAAAATCAAACAACAAAAGCAATAAAGATGGAGCCGCGACACTCAGCCCATCAAAAATAACTTTGCCTAATGAGCTGCGCTTGCTTGATAGTATGCTGGATTCGAATACTCACCAATTCAAGGCTGCAGAAGTCATTCGAGGGTCCAGGATGATTCGAAACATTAACGTCATATGGGGTGTGTAATTTTGCTAGTTTAATTTTATTCATCTGTCAGATTAGGTCACGTATTCAATAACATATCATAGCCATTAGAATTCATGACAGCTTTTATTTGTTTCACTCTCTACTCTCAGCCGCAGCACACTGCGCCGACTAAACTAGATCTTCGTGTGCGTTAATTCCAGGTGCGAGTAGTATAGTACAGTTGAGTCCGTCTGTGAACTCTGGAGCGGGATTCTATCCTGACCCTGATTCTGACTCGGATTCCGATTCAACTCGTGGCGGAAAAGGTCCAATATTTTAAGCTCTACAACTGTTATAAATGTGGGCCTTGCTTTTTCAGGCAAGGAAAAGACTGGACAAATGTGTGTCACGAATTTTGTTTTCTGTCTTTCATGTAATAGTTTTGCTTTATGGTTTATTCGCAGTCTAATTAAGGTATATATGAATGTCTCAGGTATCTACATATGAGAATGAATATTGTCACCTCCTTAGCGTTCCATATACAGGTGCTGGTATTTCATGTTGCAGTACAATGAAATTGTGCTCTCTTTACATTTCTTGGACGAAAACTACTAATTGGAAATATTTGCCCTTTATTGGACTAGTGCATATCAACGCCAACATATCCATTGAGAGTATCTAACGCTGGAGGCATGTTTGATCTTAAAAAAATTGTTTAAATACGTTTCTCTGTAGCCCTGTTAAAATGGGTAGCGCGCCTGGCTAAGATTGCGGGTCCGATATTTCTCGTTTAGTCTTTTCCCGAATTATTTAGGTTGCTAACTTGTTATGGTAACAATAATAAGTTGATAAGAATAACAGATCGTGGGTTCTTCAAATGTTGCCACAGTGGGCAATATCATGCTCATGAATCCTCTTTGGCGATCTTTAAGATACACTAGTATCTGCAATCCCAAATTTTTAGATTTACGCAGAAAGTCTACGGATGTAAAATAAAACTTCTCAGATTGTTTTGTACATGGGCGTGCAAGTCGCCTGGCTAAACCGATGGATTACTGACGTCTGATGGCGAGCACGGTTACAAGGCTTTCTCAGCCTGTGTGCATATCTAATTAATGTTTGAAGATGGCTCATGACCTTTCCTAGCACTATTACATATAAACTGTCTTGGGAAGTTATTTGAAATTTAGTATGCACACCCCAAGTTAGATCGAGGAGCAAAGCCTTTAAAGAGAAAAAAGCACTTTCTAAATTATATCGGTGGTTTTTCTAAATGGTATAAATTAGTATTTATCTAGATTTATCGTATCTACAGTAGTCGATTAATGATCAACAGCCCTAAAATTTTTATAGTAATTCTAAGGCTATCTTCCAAAGATCCGAGCCCCAAAAGCTCAACCAAAATGAGCTATTTGATGGCTGTGAACCTTTTACATCCATAGCCCTTACTTAAAGTTCTCAAGGTGCTCAAGGACAGGAATGGCAAGCCTTACTCTATAGAAGATTTGCGTAATTCAAAGATATACAATTCGAAGTTAATATGTAGGATAAGTGCTGAATATTCCGCTAAGCTATGGGCTGTATATTTCAACATGTTAAACCTCTTTGACTAAACGACCTGAGGCTTCGCTCTATAGCTCGTATACGGCAGAAGCGACGTGATTGATGAAGCGCTGCAGGATACGAGATATGGCCATTCATCTTAGATAAGGCGTGGCTTGGCTTGAACTCTCCGAGTCGTACCTTTACTTTTAAACGGCTCGAGTTCGTTTGTCCTCCATGCCGTTGAGGAATTCAATTATGCCATAAAGTTGAATTAAATACTTCGTCAAAAGCCGTGAAGTCGAAAGCGTTGGCAAATCGCGGTAATATAAAATATAACACGGCGAGTATGTTTGCGTTAAATTGAAGCTGTATTTCATCAGCTCTAAATAAATCGAAGGCCAGTGGACATTTGATCAATGTCGTCTGGAGAGGACCTTCGGGTGGTTAAAAAAGCTCGCTCACACTAATTGAATAATAAATTATTTTTTCAGTATGTTGCAGGAATAAGTTTGTAAAATCTATTCCAGTCGAGTGGGTAGCTCATAGCCTGAAGATCGATCGCCAGGTTGATGACGTGATGACATGCGACATGTCCAAATCATTAAAAATATACCGGAGATTTTCGAAGCTTTGCGGACGGCTATGATAGTTTTTTTTTAAAGCTGGTAATAGAATCAACCCTATTGTTACCATTATTGAAGCTTTTTATTGATAGCCGTACCCTAAACTATACGTCAAACAAAATGTCACGTTAGTGTCTTGATGTGGCTTCTAGTTGCACCGGATTATATCCGTTCAAGGCCTCGAAGGAATTATGCTTTAATCGTTCTTGATTTTGTTGTTCTATTCAAGATCTGGAGAAAGTTTCCACCATAGGTATATGACAGAAATAACTCTATAGACAATGAAATTATTGTCTCGAATGTATGAAGGCAAGTTTTTTTTTTTTACAAAGGAATCTATTAGAGATTTGCGTACTATACAGATTCACCGCTGAACTTCATTTCATCTTGCATATTTTCGAATCATCAACCACATTAACTCGTAATACTATTTTTCAATGATTCATAATGAAACTATTTGGCTTCCACGGCTCAGTCAAAAAAAAAGCGCCGCTAAGTGTACATATCTGTGTTGTTATGAAGTGAGGCGTCTGCAGCTAAATAAGCGTATCGACGTGTCCTGTTGTGCCCACGTACGCATGCGCAGACTTAACAAGCGATGCAGTAATATCGCCCGGGACAAAATTTGCCTTGCGCTCATGGGTTTTTTGAGATTAAATGACACAGCCTTGGCAGTGGTCTGTTGACTATCGTCACTCGAGGTATATCAAAACCATTTCTCGTATTTTAAGACAGGAAGCGTAACACTGCAACAGGCGTTAGTTTCAAACTGTTAATTTTCCACACTTATTGCATAGCTTTTATCTGATATTAACATGCTACTACTATCGTTTATATTTTGTCAAACAGTGTAGCACAATTATGTGCCGATACGTCGGCAAACTAGTGAAGTTGACCCAAATGGATATGTCAAAACATCGTATACGTTGAAGTGAGATCATCAACCATTCCAACTCAGTCTACTTATTTTGGGCACAGGGTCTCTCAACGAGGCAATCCAAGGTATGCCGTCAGATTGCACGATAGGACCCTCTCGCTACATTAGCGATCTAAAAAAGTATTAAGAAAGCTAATGTGGACATCTGTCCTATTGTAGTATCTATCTCCATGCTGCAGCGAAAAATTTAAGTGGACCAGATGAACGCTTATCACAAAATATGGGTGATTATATATAAATTTTAGAAAAATTTGGATTTTTATCCTTTAATTTAGAAAGAATAGCCAATCGAAAAATCCTATCAGTTATGAGATCTTTAAGCTTCCAATGGCTATTTTTCCTCTAAAAAACTTGCATTTTCTTGCTATACTAGCTTTGTGCAGTCTCAAAAAATAGTTTGAGAAAAGCAAAACTAAAATTTAACAATTAACTTAAAACTGTGCCTTTTAGGCAGATTACGATCATGTTCTGAGTTGAAAATGAATGCTATTGTCTTTAACGAGTGGCAACTACGGAAGGGAAGTTGAAGAAGACAGCGTTGTTGTTGTTGTTGCTGTTCTTGTGTTTTAAAAGCAAACTACAAGCATTGGTCGCATTTCTTTTATTTTTATTAATATCAAAATAAAATATTACATAATTACTATCACATAATAGACGTGTGGAATCGGAATAACATTTGGATTTTGGAAGAGAACCGAAAAACGTCGTTGGCGAATCACAACACGTTCTCTACTTGTTTCTTCGTGTCCAACAAAATGAACTCCCTCAACGCGGAACCATTCAATTATTTTTATATCCGCTTTTTATCTCTGTCTCATATATATGTATAGCAATGAATAAATACATACAGCTTGCTCATAACTGAGTAATTGAAATCGAAAAGTATGCAACAACCTAGGAAAATGGTAAAAGGTATATTAAAAAATGGTCATCTTCATAAAAATGAACAAAAAAATCCACCCTATCAAAAGCGTCATATTCGGTGATTCGTTAACCATACAAAAGCGATTTTTGCCCTTCGCAATTATCGGAATGCATTAACAACAGTTTTCCGTTACAGACATCGATTAACACCCCACTGGCCGATCACTCCTTGCCCGGCGCGATCACTAAAACGCTCCCATTCACCAGACATACACTCATACATACATGCACACCAATGATGATAGGGGCAGTTAATAAGAGAAATATTTAATTAATAATTATTGATTAATGAATAATAACATGTTTTTTGTTCGTTCGGGAGAATAGGTCAAGACATGAACAGGGAAAAAAAATTGGAAAGCTTATATAGTTCGGTAAATCAACACCACGTAGTTGTATAATTATAGGGCCGACAGGTACTTGGAATCAGATTATTAATGAATGTGACTTGTATTTATGTACGTGTATGTAATAATAATAGTGCAACGAGCCAACAATTATATATGGTCCAGCTAAGAAACCGTTACATCGGTGTATATAGATTAGAGAATTGTACAATGTTGTAGAAGTGTTCACTCGATGTTCCGGACTATGCAAAGCTTATTACTGTAAACAAAACGATATAGATTCGTTTAAAAAAGAACAATAAGCCGACATTGATATGGATTCACAAGTGACAATTTCAAATCATAATGATCTTAAATTGTCTTTCGTCTGTTTGTTCAGTAATCATCGACTCTTGACGCAAAACAGACAAACATGGTATGTATCAGTGCTTGAAGAGGTGTACACGTACGTAAAATGGTTACGTTTTGTACACGTAGAGAATCATGGATGAACCTTAATTATAGTAGTGATACCGATGATTATTGTAGAAAAGAAGATGCGCTTGAGTATACTGTTAGTATCTAGTTTGTACGGTAATTGCTACACAGTGTCTAAGGAACTTAAAATGAAAAATCTTCGGGAAGCCTGCTCATCAACGGGGATTAGTCTATCATTCGACTCGGACTCGTGATGGGCGACATCTTCTGCTTCTTACTATATGACTGGATATTACAAGCGAAGTCTGCTACCGTTTTAACCGAGGCTCATCAAATATCGGCGTACATAAGATAACATTATAATATTATACCCGACAATTGACATATCTTAACGGGTACCAACTTAATAGACATTTGGCATGTTTTTAAATCGCAATTTGTCTCTTTTTTTTCGCTATATATATTTTTAGTTCACTGGGTGTATATGTATATATATTTGCTGTATATCAGTACCCTTAGGGTATATAAACAGTTTGACGTTATCCCTGAGTAGTTGATGCTACATGTCGCAATCATATTCAGTACCAAGTTCCATGATAAGAGCTTGCCACATACTACGGACGCAAAAGGGCCGCTTCAGACACAGATTAGGACCATTATTTCTTCTCCTAAATGAGTTTAATTTTAGCGCCACTTTTTGCATTCCGACAGTTTATCCTCCAACGTTTTCCGACGCCAGATACCTTGTCGACATTAACACGAGCTGATTTTAAAATGGCTCTGTGGCTGGACAAATGCGGGATAATAGTTCTTAGCGTTTATCTATTAAAAGCCTGTGTATAATTTACTCTTTCTAGTTTCCATTTCTAGTTCCATATACTATAGACCATCGCCGAGATCGACTCTCGCACTGTAGAACCCTATAAACGTACGCAGTTAGACAATTTTTTGCATTTTGTACAAAACTAAAAGTAGTGTTCCTTCTACTGTGTGCCGGAAGGTTATAAATAACTGACGACACAGAATTCCAGTTGCCGTCGATACGATGGTACCGAGCGTACGATAGTAAATAGCTCTAGCGTCTGTACAAAACGAAGGTTGGTGTCTCCAATTCAATTATGTAACACATATTGGACTGTTTACGAACCTTCTAGCATTAGGTTTATTTACTCATGTACTAATCAAGCCAGCATCTGACAGAGATGTCACTTGCGTCGGGCCCTCTCTGTTGGACTTAGTCCTAGGATCTATCTATCTCCTTCTATAGCTATGTATATATATATGAGGACAATTTACTAAGCTGATATGCTGTACTTGACGGGGTGACCGTATCTTACATCGTTCACTGGACAAAATGCAACGTTTTCGCGTCATTATAGATATCGTTCCCTAGAGGTGGAGTCGTTGGGTGGCTGGCATGCTCACATCTTAGTAATACGTGTAGCATAAACGTAAATGTCTAAGACATGCACTCGGGTTTTCTATATGCTTAATAACTGTATTTTAAATGACCAAAATAATACCGTTGATATCGAATGATTTCATCTATTATTTAGTAGTTGAAAAGGGAAAATATATACGCCTTTTTTAACGTGACGTGTGTTCTAACCTATAGGCATAATAAATACTGAACAAAATCTTAATAACAGCAACAACAGCAGTAACAGATGACAACCAACCGAAACACGACGTTCATTATACACATGCACAGATTCTAGTCTCTTTCTGATCTCGATTATAGGACTACTACCCTATATATTTGAACTTTGCTATTATTATTATACTGACACTAAATAATAGCAAACTGTGTAGCTACCATTTTTTTTAGTTACGGTCTTTGACAAGGAACCACTTGTACTACGATTTCTTCTAAGGTAGTATTTGTCGTCATCTCAGCTCGGTGGCTCATATGCACGCCTATAAAATTAGATAACCGATGACCGATAGCACGATCGTAGGGCAGTGAATGTTTTGTACGATTTTGAAAGCAGATCGACAATGTATGGGCGACGTAGGTGGTGCATTCGTATCATTTGAGGACCAATTGGGCCGACTCTGTGAAATAGCGAAATATCGCCTGGTATAGAGAAAATGCACGCTGCGAAACACAACTCAGACCGTCATAGAACTGATGCTTAATGTGGATTAGGAACGCCATTGATAATGTTTTTAAACAAACCCAATAATAACAAACTTTGCGCTATCTCTGTGAGAGACAGAATGAAACAGCACGCTTTATTCAGTCTGTTGTCTGTTTAGAAGGCTGCAGGGGGTCATTTACATTATACACAAATGCACCGTTGATTGATGGCGGTAACGCGATTGGCGTAAGCGTCCTCTACTATTTTGCTACGTATGGGTCTAGTATATTATAGTGTGTAGATTTCGCTGTACGATCATCGTACTTATAACAAGATAGTGAGCGTGAAGAAAAACAAAAAAAATATATATATATTTCGAAATCACCATTGCACTTCGCTCAGATGATTTGAAACGTTCCTAATCGACTAACAACGAAAATAAACATGCGGGACGTATTCGCTAGTCTTTAGATGGGCGGTAGTCAAGTAAATGGGCTTATTAGGGTAGGCAACTCCGGAACAACCTGGATTGACTCGGCGAATGAGTTAGCCAATATAATGCTAAACGATATCCCAGTGCCTCCCATAGGCGAACTGTTGTCACAATATTGTTTTGAGGATAATCGCTAACAAAGTTGATAAGAATGGCGACGATACACACAGAGCCGTAAGTGCTCGCGTGTCACTGGGTGACCGAGCATGCGGGGGTGAGGTTCTGCTGAAACTGTTGTTCTTCGATTCCTACATTCATCACGGGCTGCGTTGTGAAATGAAGGACATCACTCGACATTCCCGTTTCTATTTCGTTCAACAAGTCCGCGTCCAGAGGAAGATTGCTGCTGTCAGCTTCGACCACGAGTGGCTCACTACTTGTCGTTGACGTTAGGGCAGTTGAGGCGATCGAAGACGAGGACGCGGAAGATGCTATTGTCGATGAGGTGGGTGACGCTCCTGTTTGACAACGTTTAACGCCTTCTACAGAAACTGCTTCCAGAAATGCCATGTGATTGGAACTGACGCTGGGACTCCAGGCCTAAAAAAAAATCGCAGCAAATTTTAATTCGACCTTCCCAGTTGGTTTAACGTTTCAGGGTAATGTTTCAAAGCAGTATATTTAAGGATATGGAACAGAATAAATTCGGCGGTATTGTGGTTACCATTTATGCCTCATAACTAACATAAAGAATAAGAACGTATTATTGCGGAATAATGGCTTAATGACGAAAACGATCCTTATAAGTCGTAACAGTTGTACTATAATCGTCTTACCCGTTGTTTCATGTCTTCGCCCACCGAATTGCTCGCAGGAGGGCAACGCAGCAATTGCAGGATGCAGCTACGGGAGCCCGCTTCGCTTTCGTCTACGGCAGACTTATTTCCGCAATACGGTGATATCGCACTGTGGCTATGCTGCTGCTGCTGCTGGGGGTATGATCGATCCCCTGTACTACTATGGTCAAGGATATCACGCTCATGCGACCGTTCCCCGCTGGTTGCAAGCCGGTTCGTTAATACTGAGGGGGCTGACTCATGCTGTTGCTGATGAGAAAATTGTCCTACCGGATGGTAAATTTGGTGCTGCCTCGGTTGATGTACATTTGAGGTTTGTTGCGGGAAAATGTCAGATATTACTGGTCGTTGCTGGTACAAATGTACACGCTGGCCGTTTTGGTGTTGGGCTGTAATGCGGGGAGGTCCGTGTGGCGGTCTCTCCACACCAGCGGTCAGCAACTCGACAAGCGTCAACGGCTGCTTCCGTACGCTCAGAACCTTTGCATTTCTAACCATGGTTGCTGTTGAAGCTGGCCTTATGGGTAGTCGACATCTGTCATAGAAACAAGAATATAACATGTATTTCTGGTTTAAGGGTACGCGCGAACGCACACGCCTAGCTTGGTATAAGCGGTTCACCGGCGATATGACTGATTATCATACAGTATGATATATACGCATACAGAGCAGTGTGGTGTGAATAGTTAGTGTAGACGTAATTACCTGCTTGTGTCGCGGATGCTGAGGCACGCGTCACTCGATGAGGACACAGTATCATCAGCTTGCGTGGTAACCCTCTGGCTAAGCGATGTAGACCTTCCGCCCGCAGTTGTAGCCAATCCTTGCAAGCTTTCTTGGCAGCCAGGAGCTTCGTAAGGAGATGGTCGGACCGTCCGCTTACGTCTAGCACTCTCTCCGCCGCCACGTCCAGTCGTCGCTAGACGAGCTTTAAGGTCCTCAGCCTCGTACATTTGCTATTGATGGGAACAAGTCAAGGAAAAGGAAAGAACAACGGCAACAAACGTTTGTTAGCTCGTATGGATTTTTTTTTTATTTTGAACTGGCAAACGCCAAGCCAACCATCTGTCTACTATATAATATTAGCCCACTACTTAATTACATACACTGATTATTACACCTGTTTATAAAATAAAATAATACGTAAGTAAATGTACATTGTTGAAGAGCGTTGTGTGTACAGCCCGTGTGCTTGCTTGAAATGGAGAAGATGTAGTAATAATAATGGTAACGTTTCTGAATCGAACTCCTTTCGGGGAACGTAGCTCATATCCTGTCCCTGTACTTTAGATAGTTCTTTCTCATATCGCTAAGTTTTCACGAGGATCGGTAATATTTTTTCAATTAATGTGCATAAATTCTAATAATGCACATTCCGAAGTATGGGGTTACATGGGGAGAGATTATTATCGGAACTGGCAGCTTCTTGCTTTAAGTCTAACGGCCTATCTACTTTGCTACCATAGTAATCTACTATGGGAGCAGGTTGCCTGATAGTTTAGAGCGTATTCAAGACATATAATAAATATTCTGGAACAAATCGATTCAACTTCACCACCATGCTCTTCGCATGATGTTTCTAATATTTACTGTGTAAGCGAACCTCATGCAAAGTTTTATCCAGACGACCCAGTGTTTTAATCCTCATACATGTAGCATCTGACATCAGATACAAAAGCTGTGCAAGATAATCTCAATTAAATTAGCGGTAACCGGGATTGGCGACCGTCCGTGTGTGTGTATATGTGTGATTGACTCACATTCGGTTAGATGATTTATGCGGGGAGAGCCCACTGGCCTGTTTAAGCCACCTGATTATTGCCTGTTAGTCGAAATGACCGATCGCCGTTGGAGCACCAACAGAAATAGCAGCTGAAGCGAGTGGTTGTGGCGATGGTGCATGAAAAACTAGCATAAAATACACGCTTAACCAGAACAAGGAAAAATGGGGAAAATCTGGATTGAAATCGGTACAAGTCGACAATGGCGGAACGAGCAACGGTGACCATGATCAAGAGCTGCCAAAATTAGAGACAGGAGCAGTTCGCGCAGCGGCCGTGCTCCGAAAAACCCTTGCATTTTTCATTATTGTTTTCGGCGTTGCGGGTCAGTCCTTCAACCATCACTATTTTACCGTAAAGTTATTTCCAGCCTGCCTGCCTGCCTACCTGCCTGCGAAACATAAGGACGACGACGGCAGCGTCGGCGGTCGAGAAGAACGCTAGGGCTCATTCAGGCTCTTATAACTGCGGAAGAGCCACAGGTCTGCAAACGTTTGGCTGCACCCTGCGGCACTTTGGCTCCCATATGCTCTACAGTAGCGATACTGTAACTTAACTGATTGCAGCGATGATGTACGTATGAGTAGTAACGTATACAGCACCACACAAAGGTTAGCGGTCCTGATCGATTAGTGTTGCTGGAAAAACGGCCGATTCTACCGATGACGAGGCAAGTAAGATCGTTTTTACTAGCGTATTTAGCTTGGAAGGAAGAAAATTTGGGTGGACCAAAAAAGAATCTGGGTTTAGCAAGTTTGGTCGCTGATTCAATAGGTTGCCAATAGCTGCTAACTTTGGCAACCTATTGAAGTTGGCGAGGCCGAGTCTTTTTTGTTGCAGTGGTCCGAACGTACGATTGCTAGTGACGGAGTCGAAATCTTTTTTGTTTCTCAGTTGGAGCTAACAATGGAGAAAGTAAGTAACAAACTATTTTATAGTTATTTTTTTTTTTTGTTTAGGACGCGTTTTCATATTAAGGATCCTGACCAGCCTGTGTTAAAGGAAGTACAACAATATACGTCAACAACAAATATGGTATAATATATATTATACCATATGTGTACGTTGACGTTACATTTTATGTATATATTTATTTGGTTATGTAGTGCGTTTATAGAAATATTAACTCAATGAATAACGTAACGGCTTCTGGTACACCAGAAGCTTTCTCCATCATGCTTCGTATTAGCAAACTCGGCTATTTTATCTTGGCGTCGCTTTCTGCTATGCCTGTTGAATAATCAGACGACAGCGTATAAAAAACAGCTCTTTTAACTGTAATCTAGCATGTAATGCGGTGTTTTAACACATTGTATATAACGAATAAGCCACTGAGTACAGGATAATGTGATCATTACATTGCGGAAGTATCTTTCGCCAACTACGCACATAGATTTTTAGACCGTGATAATGCAAATTTTCCCTGTCATATCAGGCTGGTTGTAAGGCACATACGTAGAATAGGACCCAATTTGTAATTGCGTCGGCAGGATCCATCCGAGCTATACTTCGTGCGGTTCTCGCTGCGCTAATCTAACATGTACATGAGGCGGTTATCACTGCTTGAGTATTAGAAAAGGAATAGTTTGCAAGTAGGCTGTTCTCAAAGCTGGTCCACTTACGGCTTAGCAGTATGCGGCATTAAAAAGTAGGTTGCAAAAGCAGTTCCTGACCCAGTATCATGCTATTTATGTTCACAGCCATTACGACAGAACTGAGAAAATCATCATATAAGTGATACATTTTCTCCGAGGCCGAGACAATAATATAGAGGTTTTCGAAATGCGACGCGCAAATAGATTGATAGATAATAGGTTTAACAATATCATAATGATACTTAGAGCATGGTTTTCTTTGGCAGCGAAAGGGTCCCAGATCTGATATTGGGTGTCTGTGATGTAAAATATAACAGTAAATAGAACATAGATCAATTTCAAACCTAACGTCATTTCTCTAGCATCTTCTCACAGCTTGCGTGCGTAGTGCGCGTCCTCCTGTAATCACAGATTCTAGTTCGATTGTAAAATCTGCTAGTTGGGTAAGAAAATCATCGAGCAGCGTGTATCTGTGACGTTTTCTACGAGCTGACCCCAAGTCATTACCCACTTCCGAGACACTCTACAATCTATTGCACCACCGCCGATTTTCTCTATTGACTATCGTACAAGTTTTTCAAGCTGATAGAAATTCAACTAATCAGAGCGCATATAGAACTTTTCCTATTTTTTTCCCCTTCATGGTCGCCTGCTTGTTCGTTTTTTCGGGCCTTGTTGTCAATCGTTGTCCGTCACACATAAGCAACATAGAAAACTAAGTAACCAACGCTACTGGGAAGAGGAGACAAGCGAATATAACCGAACATTTGGAACTACATCCCATACCGCATAATTTCGAAAAAACCCATACCACGTATCGTGAACTTAGAGTGCGCGAATAGGCGGCCCTAGAATATCAACAGCAGTTCTGTACTAAGGTCTAAGGGTGTTTACTGACTTATCTAGCGGTCCGATTTAATGAAAAGCTACTTTTCCACTGCACTTTTTTTCGAAGACAATCTTCGTCCTCATCTTTTTAGTTTTAGTTTTAAACGCATTACCAGCCATAGCCGCCGTCGACCGCTCACATATGCGCTATGTATCTGACTGTTTGTGTGTGTGGGTGAGTGAGCATATATATATATATCCGGCGCTAACGTGTCTCTGTATGGGAAGATATCATCGAGTACTTGCCGACGTTCAGCAGGCTATGTGCCAGACCACAAGCAAAATTACTGTCTACTACTGTCATTACGGCTACAAACGCCGTTGCGACGACAGCAGCAATGGCGACAGCATACACACGACAAACAACGATCGCATGCTGACGATCGGTGCACGCCAGACTCAGCTGCTCCAGATCAGGTCGGCCCTAACGCGATTACTGCTACTCTCCGGCACTGTAATACTGGAGCTGCTGCTCTCAATGGCACAATTACTTCTTTACTATAGAGGCTAGTTGCCGACGGCCGCTGCCGCCGTTGTGTGAGGGTGGGGAATGAGCGTCGCCGGCGTCGGCTGCGGCGACTGCGGCGCTAGCCCGCAAGTCAAAGTTGCAGAAGCGATTCAAAAACCGGAGAATGCCACGGTTATCGACCGATCAATATGAATGAGTAGCCATTGCCGCTGGAGTGATGGCAGTAGCAGCACAGACATGCGTTGGTCACCATGGTGCCGACTGCCCTGGGAAGCGGAACCGGGTCAGATTGGCCCCTTTCAGCAGTCAGTCAGTCAGTCAGTCAGTCAGAACTAGTGCTGCCTTCGATGGTTGTGTTTGCTTTCGCTCTGGCTTGTTCACGCTGCGTCCGGTCTCATAGCAGCGGTAGTAGCATAGTGGCCTAACGGGCCAAGCAGTACCAATTTACTGAAGCCGGACCGACGTATACGCGCCCACTGTAATAGAGACTGCTATTGCCATCTAACTAACTAACGGATGAACTAAACGACGGCCACTGCAGACCTACAACGGCAATGATGACGGCGTAACTTTTTGTCGCATGCGAGGCGACTGAGTCGACGCGCGACACTGCAACACGAGCTTCACTGAGCTTGGAACCGTTATTAAGCTTTAGTCACACGAAACGGTTGCTCCCCTTCCCCAGCGTAGACGTTACCTAGTCTCGATATCCAATACACACTTCAGACATGTGCCTAGCTAGTGTTTGTAGCGAGACAGGCGCCATTATTGAAGCGTGATGGGGACGTGGTTTTTTGTGTCAACATCGGTGTGAACTATGTTACCACTGCCATCCTTGCCGCTACTGCCTTAGAAACGACAAACGCCAGCTTAACTAGGCAGCAACTGCTGGAGCGGTAAAAGGCCGAATAAGTTAAACTCAGTCGCCAAGCCATTATAGATTGCCGCTATATTCGACGACGACAACACTGAACATCAAGCGGCCATAGACCAGTGGCAAGCACCCCGCAACGGGCTTCTATTGACTGCTATAAAGTAGGCATGGCGTCCACACTGAGACTCGGGGGGCGATAACAGGGACAGCAACAGGAGAAACTGCGGCAATGTCGGTTGCGGTTGTTGTACGATCGAAGCCCACTACAACTCCATATAGTGGAAACAGTAACTAGGGCAGTGGCGCGCGCGAGCGAAAAAACGCTACTGGAACAAGCGCAGCTGCTAGGAGAGATAGACAGACAGACAACAACGGCCCGGGAGGAGGGAATTCAGTCAGCCAGTAAAGTTGTTTCATCTAGTGAACTTGCTTGGACCTTTGGTCTTTGTGCTCTTACTCTCTGCCGTCGACAGTATCGAAGAATCAAGCCAAGCGATGAGACTTTAGGAGACAGGCATCCGTAAATTTGTAAAATGGCTCAATTGATTGAAATGAAAGCAGCAAAAAATTTGAAAGTGAAGAAGGACACCAAATGCCCACCCGAATCGCACTACTTGGGGCACCCAATTGAAGATGAAAGGGCTTCGCTTTCCCTCTGTGGACCTCTTCGTTAGAGTCAGGAGGAACACACTGGCACGCCGCCTTCCGGCTTCTGTTGAACTGCCAACTTTGCTTCTATATCTGGCGGCCGCATTACGCGGCGCCGGCGTTGATGGCAACGACAGAGGGATCTGATCTATTTGATATGTAGTGGCGGCGACGGCTTGGCATAACGCTTGGGGATGAACGCGTCAGCTGATCTCAGAATCACTCACTACTATTATTATTACTAGCCAGCCGAATGGGACACAAGCATTGCTATAATGATATTACAGGCGGCAGGAGAAATAGTCTATATATATCTCCTTATGAAAAAGGTGGGCTAAAAACAACAGGAATAGGGTCGGTCGTGCGACCTGATAACCAGACCCGATGGGCAAAGTTGACTTTTCCCCGATCCGTAAATACTTCCTTAGTCTTGCTTTTTTCTTTCTTTTTTGCGTCATGGTCGCTAGATGATGAGCCCACGTTAGAGCCCACTTACCTAGCTGTAACAGTGTGACGAGAAACTCATTATAAATGCATTCGTGGAATATTATGGCTACGATATTACCAGACTTTGTCGGTAGGATTGAATTTTTTCCCAGCAAAATCAATCAATCGTTTTCTAGACAAAATTACAAGGGACGGGTCGGTCCAATTCGCTAACAACATTCTCTAGGCACTTGATCATGGATACCTTGTTCGGCTAATTTCAGGTATTGGCAGAGCATTTTTAGTTGACTCAATCAAGCTATCAATACCCAAATCATGTTCGTGATTCAATTACAGCAGAGAATAGGGATCGCGCCCTTAGGGATGGTATAACTGTAATATCCAAATTAATCTGTTTCTGTAAAGTCAATAATTAAATTATTTAATTAATATATATATATTTCTATGGCGTTTCATAGCAGCACTTCATTGGCCTTTGAGATATCTAACATAACGTATCGGCAGAAATACGTTTGTTATGCATCGGTGTTATGGAGGAAAGTCTGAAGTCCTTGCAGGTACCCTAAAGACATTTGTGCATATTCGCGTATTAGATATTTCAGTACGCAGTACGCCGTACGCAGTATATCTTCTTTTACTAAACTTGATTAATACCCTAAAATTTTTCAGCCTAGTTATTCATTAACCGAACGGTAAGCTGAGAACCATTGTAGTAACTCCAACAGAAGACGACAAACGTTAACGTAAATGGTTGCAGACATCAGTCTGGGCCCTATTGTTTCATTCTACTCACTCTGTGGCTTTCCTCGCAAAAATCTCTGCTCAAAAGTAAGTTTCAATATAGTTCGTTTAAGCAAATCGTATATTCTGAATTACATACAGTTAGACAATGTAACATATAAACAAAATGTGTGGCCTGCGCTTCTAACAGAGATCCCCCGTATAAGTAAAATATAATGTATTGGCAATACCGATCTGATTCGGCAGTTGCCGAGTTTCCTATGTCAACTTACTATGCAATTCCGTCAGACGTTCTCCCGTCCTTACGCCATCATGCATCGCCATTTCTGGCCTTCGACTTCAAAGACGGAAGAGGAAATACCTTTGTCCATTCACTTACCGGAGTTTGTCTCAGTAACGCTGTTAACAGAACGACCATTGTCTTCACGGAAATCGTTAAATTCGACTTCTTACAGAACACGTATCCTTTTTTGCGTTCAAACGAAGTTGCGAACCCAACGACACCTATACATATATATTAGGAAAGTCGGGACATTTAATTTGGCCTTCATTTATTTGTTAAGGCTGCTTGCTCTTTCGTCTGGGACGACATTAAGAACACCTTTACAGTTCTTTAAAAAGCAATCACTAGCACCAACGGAAAACACATAATCATGACGATTCTTTCCTCTCAACTCCGCTGCGTGCACAATTCGGAGGTCAACACTTATTGTTACTCGCATATAAACCCTTTACGTTTTAATGGACCATTTCGGTCCTTTCGAGTACAGATAGCTTCCACTCCACGCAACTGCACAACCGTCACAGTCTGGCTGAAATAACACCATGCGAGTGATATTTCACATGAAGCGGAAACACAATGACGGATAATAGACGAACGACGATCTTTACTAGCGAGATTCAATAGTAATACACTTTTCCCGGGCGCTTTTACTTTCTATTTTTGTTTCGTTTCCACCGGGAACAGGGGTTCTACTTTGATTACGATCGAATTGATGGTGCCAGTGGGTACAGGCAACTACACAAACCGCAGGCTACTGCCGCTTCAGCAGCCCCCATTGTGCAACAAAACAACAACAACCCCCGTGAATATCACCTCGCGAATATTTCTGCCTCTGTTCACCAATACCAGCGTCAGCCAGTCGGCAGGATTGGCGAAAGAAAGCATGTGCTATTGCTGCCGTCGCTAATGCCAATCTGCTTCCGCCAACGACTGTAGCGCCGCCTAGCGCCACCTCGTCTAGTTCCTGCTGCTGCTGCTGCTGCTGCTGTTCGCTATGGCCTGCTAGTCGGCTCACCACTACTGGCTGTTTCCCTATCAAAGGCGTCGTACAGCTCTTCACAATAGTTTGGCTATATTTCTATCTATCTGTCTGTCTATCAGTTCGTCCGTCGGTTGTTCTGGCTGTCCACGTAACGCGGCTCTTTCCCGCCCGCGCTCCTTATCCGCGTGAGACGCTGCTGCTGCTACCAAACTGCCTCAGCGACGATGTCTATCGTGGGGCCCTCTCCTGGCCGGAACTGCAGACGTGGGACCACGTACAGACGAGCAATTGCCACCACCACTAGACGCTCTGCTCCGCTGCTGCGTTTTCGTTGGGTTGGCGTTTGAGCTGTCTATTACAACGTGCGACTCATTGTATCCGTAGCCGTTACAAGGGAGCGACAGCCCGCGGTTTCCCGGTCGCAAGCGTTCAGCTGCTGGTTGACCTGCCCCTGCTGACCCGACTGGGCCTTCAGCGGCTGTCATGTCCGCTTTCCCTTTCAAAGCTGCTGATGGCATCGGTGCTGCTCGGGGAACAGCTGACGACGAGAGCTAGCGACGTGCCATTCCTGCTTTCTGTGGCGTCCGAACCTGGTGTAGTCGCCGCTCCTTCCCTCCCTCTATGCTACAGCTGATTGTAGAGCAGTTGGCACTGGCAGTCGTGGAGTTGCGGAATCAACGGACAGTCGACTGCCATTTGCTGGAGTTCATTTAGAGCAACACTGCAGCGGTAGCAGTAGCGGTAGACACGAAAAGCTTGCTACCAGGACACAGGGACAGACAGATAGGATCCGAACTCATTGGGACTAATAGACAAACTTCTACTCGTTCAGTTGCTCACAAACCACCGGCAGCGGACCATTCGTTCACCGGGGCGGCGACGACGACGGCGCCGGCGGTTGCTTAGCTTTTTCCCCCTGTTTGTTGCTCCTGCTGCTCCAAAAAGGTACCGACCATCATGAGCCACAAAAAGGCAGACGAGCGACCAAGATACGAGCCGCAAGGGACCTCACGCCGGATAGCACTATTGTAGCAAGCAGCTGGACGAACGTCCACGGCACTTGGTCTATTGAAGACGCCACATCGGTTGATCGCCGGTGTTGTCTGACGTTAGCTACTGGCATAGCGGTACCGAAGCGTCATGACACCATCGCAGCATCGTTTGGTCCGGTCATTCCAGAACATAGACCAAAAACAGGCAATACTTCAAATCATATGCGCAAGCAGATGGGGCGCAGAAGCGTCCACGTATACACCAAAGAACAAGCGTCTGTTCATCGGCTCATCGAATGAACGAGCCCTCTCCAGTCAGCTTCAGCAGTGCTGCGAAAAACCGTCCTGCGGAGCAGTCACCGTCGATAAACCCGCAAGCATAGGTATCTGGAGGGGCACAATGCATCTCAACACATTTACACAGACACGCCGATAGTAACCAAGGGCAAGTGGCGGCACATGGAACCGTTAACACCTGGTCACCTGGAGTATCGTGCTATAGCAAATACGCACAAAATGACATACATGGGGACGGACAGCGGACGACTGTTCCGTGAAGTCTATTCGAAATCCCGCGAAAGGGGCGATTGGTCAGCGTAGACACACAGGCTAGCAAGGGCGTACAGAGCGACACGCAGGCGATGTGCATGCAGCCAGCGGCATCCAGGGGATCGACTAAATGAAACAATAACAATGTACTTTTGGAAGACCTACGACTTGCTAACAGAAACCATACTACTATTACGAACGGAAGTCGATCGAATTTTAGATTGGGAAAGATAGCAACCGATAGCACAGGAGTCTCGCTTGTTGCAAGTTCGCTAAGAAGCGCGGCGTGGCTACTTATACAGAATCGAGACGGGGATCAGCGAAACGCGATAAAACAGATGGAAACAGCGGATAACAACACAAGTCTAACTTGTGCATAGGTAAGCTGCGAATATGGTTCAAAAAACAGTTACTGGGAGGGAGCAAAAAGTCAAAGCTTATCTCCGTCATGGTCAGTTTCTTAATAATTCAGTTAAATTATGGCAGAATAATGGAATTGTATGAATAGATTAATGCCACTCGTGGTTTACGTAACAGATGGTACTGTAAGGAAGCGAACTTAGAATAGGTATAGTTCCACATACGGTTCTATTTCTATTGTAATGTTACTGATGGGTTGGGCACACAATAAATAGATGATAGATCTTCTCGATTTTTCGAAAGTTACTTATTATTCGCGCTAAGTAGCGTTCAATTATCTAGTTCCGAATTCTACTATTTAGTTATCGCAACCAGCATTTCCGCTTTAAACGCGTACATTGCTAACAATTGTCATTGTATTTTTTTTTTTTTTTTCATTAAATCTAGCTATGTCTGAACGACTAAATCAAAGCTCCGCGTGTCTGTTCCTTATTATTCAGCTCACCTTCTTGAACCCTGATTTGTTGATGTTTGAATCTTGCTTCGCATATTCAATATACCTTACATTTTAGTTAGGTAATTTTAAAAAACAAAGAAAACGTTGAGGATCCCCATTCTGCCTGCATGAGTTGTTTGTCAGCCTAGCGTGCAGGCAATTAGCGTTTCGTCAGGAACACTTACGCATCCCTGTCCACAGGCAGGCAAAATCCTTGCAAGGGTCTCGCAGAGTCGGCATCTCTTAAATGCATATGGATTTAGCCTGGATAGCGCCATGATCTCCACATTGTGTCAAGACTACGGTTAGAATACACCAGCTAAATGAAAAAATGCCAACACTAAAACTGTAAACATATAGAACTTTTTTTTTCTATCCAGCTTAAGTGCTACCATGCCACATGCGGAACATACGATTTAGACAAGTGATTTGCTCATCACCATGTTTATGGACGAATGTAGTAGAATTTATGATGGATGAGGGCTCTTCTGTGAGGGCAAATACGCCAACTTGTATCAGCCGTCGGACATCAATAATATGATCATCCCGTTGTTTTTGCTGTTGACCCCTATGTGTTGTTCGATGACGGTATCCTTTAGCCAGGGTATGGGCGGAAGTGTTGCCTGTCTATTTGTTTTCTGTGTGTGTTCACGCAAGGGGGGCGGAGAGGCGTCATCTAGAAGGGCTCCATCCGCCGATGCTGATACCGTCTCGATCAGCCGATGTAACCGAACTGCCGTTTCAATCCGGAAGCGACGTCGCCGCGATTTGCGACAGAACACCAATAAGTACCCGCAGCCGTAACTGCAGCAGTAACACACAGTTTCTGAACTTGGTCTGCAATGCGACTGCGATTTTTGGTCGCTCGTATGAGTTTAACCTGTCGAGGCCACAGATGACTTGCCTACATTATCAGCCCAACTATTTCACCCTCGCCCTTATCGACCACCCTTGCCAATTGTTCTCCCGTCAGCCCTCGCCTGTGGTCCATCTGTTACATTGATGATCGTCAAAAAGGTGACAGATTGGACGCGTTATAATGCTATAAGAGCACACTGTAGTATTTGCTGTCGTTTTGATACTGTTGCCAATTGTTCAGCCGGGCTTCGCATACTGCAAGGGAGGGTCGAGTTCGGTGGCACCTGTACAGTACCACTGCCTCCTCTCCGATTGCTGTTCGACCACTATCTGATCGTGACGCCATCTTCACTGGCATGACAGCGTGCGGTGGGGTTAGGTAGACAAGTTAAAAAGGACCCGCGTGAGCCCAAAAACGGCTTAAGCGGGCTTTATTAGCAACGCAGTGATGGCTATAGAAATAGTAACAACAACAACGGCTGAGTAGAAGAAAAAAGAAGTTGGGAAGACTACAGCAATGACAACCATGGCACATTCGCACCTCAAATACTTCGATGGGTCTTCGTTCTTACCTATACCATCATAACGAGGCAATTGCAAAATGGAGTATAGCGGAACGAATATGTACGATGCCCTGTCGTCGATTAAATGGGGATCTCGTCATGTGTCGGTGTTTGTGTGGGAGAACCTGTGGGGCTTAAGTAGGGATAACCATGATGATGATCGGCCGGCTTAAATAAAATAATACCTCATACGTTCAAATAACGATTGTAGATTTTCGTACGCATATATACATAATTACACATGTTTATGTATACGTAAGAGAGAGAGAGAGAGAGCAGCCCGTGTGGTTGCGACAAGTGGCATATCGCCACTTGATCTTCCTCATTATCATCAGCAGCACAAGCATAAAAGCCTTACCCTGTTCGCTCAACTATCACAGGCGTTGAACGTATACAACTTCAGGGACTTCATTCAATGTTACAATCCATAATATACATTTGCGCTTTTTAAAGCGTTACTGATAATACTTCTGCGTGCTTACAGAGGGACCACTGAACTTCAGCGCAATTTTTTAATTACAGAAAAAATTATTGACATGTTATGCAGCTGGTGCGTCATAGCGCTTCGCGTTTGACGATTCTCGTCAATCTGCAGACGACTTCTATCGCCGAGTCATAGTTTTTGCCCCGTATACTGTACAACGTTAAATTAATTAACAACGGAAATTTTACTCTAACGAACGAATAAATTAATCATTGAATTTACGTAACGCCTAAATACGGCTCGTTTATGGTTCAGTTACGATTATTAGCAATTGTACATCGTTGCCGGTGTTCGTCTGCTGGATCCTAGCAGGCGCATGACAGGGGTATGTATTTTACTCATTTTTGGCCATCGGAACATTCTAACTTCGGCAACAGTATCCGCATAAAACAATCTCGGTAAGAACAATCATGCTTACAACTATGGCGCTAATCCCAGCTATGAAAACCCGATGACTTGCCATCGTTATTTCAGGAGCTCGGCGTGAATTTGCAGCCGATTAAGGCCAAGGTAGGCCTGTTTGAAACACCCCGTACTCTAGGCCAATTTGTATTTGAAGCGTCTCGAAAGCTGGATCCCAAATCATTGTTTCTGTCTTTTGCGGTACTATCACGAACTGTAGATTGCTCGGTCGACATTTATCTGTTTTTAAGTTCTAGCTCGTTCGATTGGTCCACGGCATCCGTCTATAGTGCGGTTAGGTAACTTGGCTTCTTTAAAGTACTCTTCCTGCTGAGGCATCTACTTTTGGCGTCATCATTTTTCCGCCACTGTCAAAGATCCGTCTTTGCGTATGACAAAAATTCTGTCGCCC